CCCTTCTTCACGATCCCCGACAGCCCGGCCATCACGCGCGCCCTCTGGCTCTCGCCCGCCGAGCGCGTCCTCGCCCGCGACCGCATGGCCTCATTCGGCGCCAAGACGTCCTCGATGCTGCGCCCGGCGGCCCTGCGCCGCAAGCTCCGCCAGATCGTCGTCCACCCCGTCACCTACTTCTTCCTCTTCGCCTTTGCCCTCAACGCCTGGGCGCACCGCGCCAACGCCTACTTTGTCCTGTACCTCGAGTCGCTGACCAACGCCGACGGGTCGCGCCGCTACAGCGTCTACCAGGTCAACGTGCTGCCGCTCGGGGGCTACGCCCTGCAGATCGTCACGACCGTCGGCCTCAACGCCCTCTCCGACTGGAAGCACTGGCGCTGGCAGGTCAGCATCGGCAGCGCCGCCCTTCCACGGCCTCTTCCTCGCCGTGCTCTGCGCCTGGCCGCCCGACGACCGCGTCGTCCTGAGCTTCTACTTCCTCACCTACGCCACCAACGCCGGCTCCTCCTCGCTCATGGCCTGGTTCGCCGAGATCCTGCGCCGCGAGCCCGAGGCCCGCGCCATCATCGTCGCCGCCACCGTCACCATTGTCTACGTCGGCCACGCCACCATTCCGCTGCGCGCCTGGCGCGTCGCCGACGCGCCCCGCTACCCCGTCGGCTTCCCCCTCGTCACCGCCTTTACGGGCCTCACCGTCCTCGTGCAGCTCGGCCTGCTGTTCTGGGAGAGGCGCCACCCCGAGATTGTCGAGTACGGCTACGAAAAGGGGCCTGCGGGGAGCGTGGCCGGGTCGGATGAGGAGGGTGGGCGTGTCGATGGCAAGCTGTCGCCCGAGGTCGTCTCAGAGGCTGCCAGGTGAGAGAGACTGCGATGGACATGTGTGTGATGTGGTTTTCATGATTAAAAGCGAATCCATTTGAGGGATAGTTCATGCGAGATTTGGTTCTAAACGAAGATTCGATCAGCACGAAAGAACCACCAGGTCGAACCCCACGGAGGTGATGGGATATGTGGCTTAGATCTTGTGCTCGGTCAGGAAAGGGATAGTCCCGAGGTACAAGCTCGTGCCAGCGAGGACTTGGTTAAAATATAATTCGAACACCGTGTCTTCAATACCGGTTCGGTCTCTCCAGCTCGATTATGTCCTCCTTGAGTTTGGCCTCGCATGCTTGATCATCTCTACCTCTTCGCGAAGCTGTGCGTTTTCTTGCCAACCATTTCATGACAGCATAACGGATCTTATAGTGAAATAGAAACCCAATACTAACTAACTCATTTATAGATTAGTTCTACTATGTAAACGTTTTTCCTTACTTGTTCAGATAGTGAGCTCGCTCAGGTGCGTAGATTGACTAACCATTCATGACAGTATGATGCGTCTCATGGTGAAATGAAAATCCGATACTAACTCATTTGTGAAGTAGTACTATTATGCTAACACTTCTCCTCATTTATTCAAATGGTGAGCTCCAGCGCTGCACCCCGACCGAACAAGTCAAATATGGGTGTCGGATTCGGTTGTTTAGTCCGCCGAATTCGACGGATTTGGTTGTTTGGTCCTATTTGCAAATATTTGACTTGTTTGGTTAGTAATGAAGCTATCACGATAGTCATTAGCCTACCTAAGACCCAGATTCCGTGGTGTTACGTTGGTGGAATTACCCTGGGTTCTACATAGTAACGCCCTCTTAGGAATTAGCGGAAATATTAGCGATAATTTAATAGAAGATTGTAAATAATAGATTAAAGATTTATAGAATATAATAAAAATGAATTTAATTTAGGCCTAGAGGCTATTAACTTAATATATAATAATAAAATAAAGTAATACTCGAAGGCGTAGACCTTAATAATTAACGATAATATTATTATAGATCAAGTTAATAAGCTATTATAGAGAAAGGGTATATAGAGACTTATAACCAGGGTAGCGAGGGAGGTAGCGATACACTCCTAAGCGTATATAGTACGCTCTGCCTACTCTATAGAATAACTACCCGTAGGAATAGGGGCTAGGGCTATAATACTAGCTATAGCTATGGAAGCTATTACCTCCTCCCTACTTCCTCTTCTTCTTGCTTATCCTCCTCCTTATTAATTTTATCGTCGTTAATACTAACAGCGCGCTCCGTAGCGTACTACTCGGCCTTCTCCTTAGCGCATACGATAGCGCGGGCGTAATGTGGGCCTAGGGCTATATCTCGGCTACTACCTTAAACGTAGCGAGTAGCTAAAAGAACGAGCGGCTTATAGCCTCTATAATAACTAGGTTATGCTATGCTATAGCGAGCTATATAGTAGTAGCGCGGGCGTTAGTACGGTTAAGGACTTAGTGCGATATTAGAATAGCGGAAGAGAACTAGCCAAATACGGAAGACTAACCTCCTAATACTTATACTTACCCCGGGTATACTTTGTGCCGAATTCCTCACCGAAGTCTGCTTTGGTTGGCGTATCACAGACAATCAAAGTTCAGCTGTGTCTTGGCAGCCTGGTTACTGCGTACAACGCAGAATACTAAGTACTTGTTCTTTCGTTTCCCTAGGAGACCAGGAGGAATCGGGTGGATCGAACAATTCCATCGATACATGACTAACAGGTCTATCGAAGGCATACCGAGCCTGCCTGTTCGTGAAAGGTGGAGTTGCTCATCAGTATCGTGTGAGCGAATATTGACGTCACGCAATGGATTCGATACCTAACGATTGAGACGAAATCTGCCGAGGAAGAATCGCCGAAAAAGCCATGACTGCACGACGGAGCGGAACACGGATCGCCATATTGTGAGTCGAGCCACATTCAGCTTTCCTAATGCGACCCTTTCGTATCATCCATCATGGTCTCCTACGAAGTAGCACTAGGCAGGGTCAATGAAGTGGCCGCACTGACAGCAGAAAACTCGCGAACGCAATGTATTCCCCTCCAGGAAGCCGTCGGCAATGTTGTAGCCAAGACTCTTAACAGCCTTGTTGCCACACCAAAGTACGACACATCGGCTATGGATGGATATGTGGTGCCATCAAGTGTCACAAGGAATGCCTCAATCGACCACCCGGTGGTTTTGGAGGTCTGCGGCACGATAGCTGCAGGAGATGACCCAGGACTTCACGAGTCTCACATTGATTCTTCGACTCTACCGTGCCTTGAGATTATGACTGGCGGAATCTTTCCAACCAAACCTATCTCAGGCTATCACATGGACGCGTGCATCAAGACCGAAGAAACGTCAACCGTGACGGACGCCAAAAATGCCCGCGGTAGGATGATCAAGCTCACAAGACCGGTCGCTGCCGGGGAACACAGACGTGTTGCAGGTGACGATATCAAGGATGGCGCTGCACTTCTTTCGCCTGGGATGACGGTCCAACCACAGCACATCTTGGTCTTGGCTTCAATAGGAGTGACGGAGATTTTGGTCTGGAAGAAACCTCGCGTCGGACTCTGGTCTTCTGGAAAAGAGATCGCGACAACAGGCCCTGGCCACGTTCCAGATGCCAACGGCCCGTACCTCACCGCGGCTTTGGCGGAGGCTGGGGCACACGTCTCGTTTCTCGGAACATTTCCGGACGATGCCCGTGAAATGGCAACACAACTTCAGCGAGCGGCCGAAAGTGAGGACTTCGACCTTTTGATCACGACCGGCGGCGTATCAGTTGGGAAATTCGACTTCCTATTACCGTCATTGCGCCGCCTCGGCGCTGCCATCGAGTTTCATGGGCTACGGATCCGACCTGGTCATCCGGTGTTATTTGGAACAATCCCTTCGCGAGGAGCTCACAGCGTGCCTATCTTCGGCCTGCCTGGAAATCCAGGGGCAGCTGCGGCAACGTTCCAGTTCCTTGTGCGACCTTTTATCAAATGCCTCCTTGGCAAGCCCCCCGAAAAGCCGATAATCGCAAAACTTCTCCCTCGACGGCTAGAGCAAGGTCATCTCGGCAAAATGCCAGACGGCACGGGGTCTCGTACATTATTCAAGCATGGGAAGATAAAACAGACGCCTGATGGGGGCTTCCTCGTGGAAATGAGCAAGGAGCAAAGCCCAGCTAAAGTTGCACCCTATCTCGATGCTAATTGCTGGATACAGCTTAATGAAGGGGAAATATTGGATGAAGAGGAGCTTGATGTTGCATGTTATCCTTTCAAAGAGTTCAACATTCTCAGTACATGATAGTGGTTGTCAGATCGTCCGTGTAATCAATTACTCTTGTCGAACCCGGAGATCTGTACTTCATATAAACCAATGTCGTCCCACCTTTGCAGGACTTGCGCCCATTCTTCCGCTGTATTGACATTCGCAACCCAACAGTCAAAACCCTGTGGCACTTCCAACATGTGACCTCCAACCTCTTTGACTACTGCCGAAGGGCTCAGTCTCCCGTCTGCAACTCTTTGTGTGAGCGTGCGCAACGCTTCCGGGGACCATAACCCGAGCAGCGGCTCACAGAAGCCTTCAGAGGATTTGAAGCACTTGACAGGATGATCGGGACCATGCAGCAGCTTCTGAAGAGCTTCTGCCGGGACGAGTGGATAGTCGCAGGCCACCACTAGCCAGGAAGCCTCTGGATCGTATGCATGAGCCGCAACGAGCCCAGAGGCAGGGCCAGAAGAGACATCGGTCCCATTGGGTGACTGATCCATGAGAATGAATATAGAATTGTCTTGAGCACCACATCTGTTCGACAAAGATGCGTCTTTCCTGTTGATGACTTCCAGGCTGGAGAGCATCTCGTCTTGCTGCGACTCCTGGGCGAGCGAGATGAATATCTGGCAACTTGGCAGGACGGATCGGATGAGTTGAAGCTGATGATGATACAATGGCGTCTGTTGTGGCGTTTGGAGCAGGTGTTTTGGCCGACCGAGTCTCGATGACTTGCCTCCGGCGAGGATCACTGCTTTGATGGACCGACTGGTCTGGGCCGGGCTGGCCGTCATTATGAAAGCTGCTGATATTATTCCGGCGGGACAAGAATTCCCTTTCAACAACACCGTGATCCCAGACGGCTACACGTCAGCCCTCAAGACCTTCAATCGAGCGTTCCGGAGAAGCTACAATTGGCCCCACAAAACCGGCCCGGACCATGACGCACCAGCTCGTCAGTGTCGCATCATAAGTCCGGGGCACCGAAGCGTCGCTGCTTTCCAATAGCAGTCGCGTTATTGCTCAAAAAATTTGTGTGTCCAAGCCCTCAGTATTCACTCTCAGCCATTCGTCCCTCAGAGTCGCATCGAACTGGAACCGGAACCAACCATGCCATCAGGCTCACGAAACTTCGGCGAACCGCCGGCCCACTGCGGCCGAGACTGCATAGAGGACATTTACGGCCCCCGGACGCCGTACAAGCACGAGTGGCCGACTCGCGTCGACCACGCCTATGACGAGGAGCCGGAGAAGTGGGTGCAGAGCGCGTGCGTCCTCTGCAGCAACGGGTGCGGTCTCGACATTGGCGTCAAGGACGGCAAGGTCGTCGGCGTTCGGGGCAGGGCGTCGGATCGGGTGAACAAGGGGAGGCTCGGGCCCAAGGGGCTTCACGGGTGAGCGTGCTCAAAGTCTATGTATGGGTGCAGCAGCTGACCTTGTCACCAGGTGGAAGGGCATCAACAGCCCTGATCGCTTGCAGCACCCCCTGATTCGGCGGAACGGAAAGCTGGAACGCGCCACGTGGGACGAGGCCATGGGCCTCATTGTCGAGCGCTCCAAATCGCTGATGGAGAGACTCACCAGTCACAGTATAGCCTTCTATACGAGCGGGCAGCTGTTCCTCGAGGAATACTATGCCCTGGCTTTGGTAGGAAAGGCAGGACTGCATACGCTTCACATGTAAAGCGAACCCTGTCCCATGTGTGGATGACAACTAATGGAGAAGCAGGGACGGCAACACGCGTCTGTGCACAGCTACGGCAGCTGCGTCGATGCGAGAGTCCTTCGGGTCAGATGGGCAGCCTGGGTCGTATACTGATATCGACTACACAGACTGTCTTTTCTTCGTCGGCCACAATATGGCTGCGACGCAGACGGTGCTGTGGAGCAGGGTGCTAGACAGGCTTGAAGGGCCAGATCCCCCACAGCTCATTGTCGTCGACCCGCGGCTGTCGGAGACGGCGAGGAGAGCCACGGTTCACTTGTCGCCCAGGATCGGGACGAATATGGCTCTTCTCAACGGAATTCAGCATTTGATGTTCAAGAACAAGTGGTACAACCAAGACTGGCTCGGAAAGCACGTTATCGGTTTCGAGGATCTCGAACAGACGGTAAAGGACTACACACCTGAAATCGTCGAAAGAATCACAGGTGTTCCTGTCAAGGACCTACAGAAAGCCGCCGAGATTCTCGGAAAAACCAAGAGCCTACTTTCGACGGCATTGCAGGGAGTCTATCAGTCCAATCAAGCCACGGCAAGCGCCTGCCAGATCAACAACATCAATCTCCTCCGTGGGCTGATCGGGAAACCCGGTAGCGGCGTCTTGCAAATGAACGGCCAGCCGACTGCACAAAACAACCGCGAGGCAGGCTGCGACGGCGAATTCCCCGGGTTTCGCAACCACCTCAACCCAGACCACATGGAGGAACTCGCAAGGCTGTGGAACATCGAACATATCCAGGTCCCCCACTGGAACGAACCGACCCATGTGCAGAACCTGTTGAACTTTATGGAGGATGGCTCGGTTAGGATGTTGTGGATCTCGGGAACGAATCCCCTGGTCAGCCTGCCAAATCTGCCCCGCGTCAGGAAGATCTTAACCAGTTCGAGCCTTTTGGTTGTGTGTCAGGACATATACCTGACGGAAACAGCTGCGGTCGCCGATGTCGTTCTGCCGGCGGCGCAATGGGGCGAAAAGACGGGATGTTTTACAAACGTTGACCGGACGGTGCATCTCTCCCACAAGGCTGTTGAGCCGCCCGGGGAGGCCAAGAGTGATCTTGATATCTTCATGGATTACGGCAGGAGAATGGGCTTCCAGGATAAAGACGGAAAGAGCCTCTTTCCGTTCAAAGACGCGGCGGATGTGTTCGAGGCGTGGAAAAGGGTGTCAAAGGGTCGACCTTGCGACTACAGCGGCCTGTCTTATGAGAAGCTTAGCGGCGGCTCTGGACTTCAGTGGCCGTGTAACGAGGCGAATCCTACTGGAACGGAACGTCTCTTTACCGACGGCAAGTTTTTCACTGACCTTGACGTCTGCGAGAGTTTCGGACACGACTTGGAGACTGGCGCGCCGTACTCGAAGGAAGCGTATTCCGGTATGAATCCTGCTGGGCGCGCCATTCTTAAGTCGTGCCACTATTTCGAGCCGATGGAGGGTACAGACGAAACATACCCCTTCCGATTGTCAACCGGGAGGAACGTGTTCCACTTCCACACGCGCACAAAGACTGGTCGCGCCAAGTCGCTGCAAAAGGCTTGTCCCGAGCCTGAAGCGCGCATCGCCTCTGAAGATGCTGAAGAGCTGGATATTCAGACGGGAGATATGGTAATCGTCAGGTCACGGAGGGGTGCAGTCGAGGTACGGGCTAGGGTCGGCGGTACCAAGGTCGGACAGGTGTTCCTGCCATTTCATTTTGGATACTGGGATGGCAAAGACGGACGGGCGCGGGCTGCGAACGAGCTCACAGTTGGTAAGGCGTGACCTGGTGTGTTCATGCTCTGAACAGCGCTAACGGACGCAGAGCGATGGGACCCTATCTCGAAACAGCCGACTTTTAAAGCTGGTGCCGTTCGTATCGAAAAGGTGACTGACACTGGAATAATTAACGTTCCCGAGCCTCAGTCTGCAGCGGAGGTCGAAGCATCAAACAAGTCGGCTCATACCTCCATGGCTGCTGAAGACTCCATGCGCAAGCGACAACTGGAAGAATGGCTTGGTGAAGCCTACGAAAGCATTAAACACCTCTCCGAGATCTATGGAGACCTGATTCCTGATCTCGTGCACGATCTTGAAATCGAAGCAGGGCTGCGCGTCCTCCGCCGCATTGCCGAGGGTATGCGGCGTCGATTCGAGACGTATATCCGCGAACTTGGCGAGGACAGCCAGCGCGGCAGCAAGAAAGCGGAGAAGCTGAGAGACGCACTGTTCCCGAGTCGAGACTCGCAGCGCAGCCCGTACGAGGTGATGGAGACACTACAGGCGCTTCATGTCTATCTGGCTCACATCGATGGTGGCTTGACGGCGCTGGTGCCAGTCAGCCAGGCCATGTGGTATCAAGGGTTCTACGATGCGGTAGTGGAGGGAAAGCGGAGCTTGTCAAGGATGGAAGCCTGGGTCAACCAGCAGATCAAGGTGAGGGCGCCGCAGACGTTGCTAGTGCCTGCGTGGAAGGGTGTCGAGGACGAGGAGGGCGGAGGTGCTGGCATTTGAGCATCCGGTTAGAATGTTCCCGGTGTTATCGTGCAGTGGTAGAAAGCTGTATAGAACAAGGGGGAGAGGAGTCATCCAAGATGCAGTTTGCAAGGCTGTGTCAGCTCGTAGTAGGAATCATGATGACAAAGCCGGGTCTACGAGGAAAAGGTAGCAGGAACCACCTACCTTAGGTACCTATTCAAGGAAGGTGGTGTTGTCATTGATGGCAGGCAGTGGCTATGATGATGTTGGCAAGGAAAGTGCAGGCTTACACAGTGTATTGATCTCGTCCCTGCAACTATCATTGGATGCGCATCGGCCACACATGTGTAGGTACAGTGCGCTCCACATGAAGTTGATCAATAATCAACATTTTCGTAGGCAGCCGTCTCAGGGCTCGCTCCTTCAGGCAATGCAGAGAGACACCGCTTGTTCGCCATTCTATCGACTTCTTCCAGCTCGGGATTGCATCCATCCTCGTGTTTTTGGTGACCCCAGCCGGACGACGGACAGCCTGAATCTAGGAAGATGGAGGTCAAGAACCCGGCGGTTCATATCTGACCAGGAGTGAGGGACCCGGACCTCCCGAACCCACGTCGCTAATCACATGCTAGCTTGCTCGCTCATAGATGATCACGTCAGACCAATCTCGACACCCTTTCGTCTGGGAATACGGCCCTTGCGCGGATTCGGATTCCTGCTCCCTGTCCGCCTAATCTCAAAAGCGCCAGCAACAAGCCCCAGGTCAGAAGCAGTCCCGCTGGCGCGCTGGCGCGACAGATCCCAGCAGATAAGGTTTCTGTCTCGACGCAGATCAGCTTTCCCACCGCTCGTATGCTGACAGACAGCAACGACCGACGCGAACGGACGAATCTGCTGATGCCACGGCCGTCGTGCGACGGCGACGACGTGAATGGCTGCTGGCCGCTCTCCATTCTGGCATGCTGCGGATCTGACGCGCACACCCGATGCCTATTGGCGCTCATGCGAGGCGGCCGTTACTTTTGCCAATCCATGTTTCAGTCGCGCTGCTGCTACGGTACAGTAGTCCGTAGCATCATCTCCACCTCCGAGCTTTTGTTCCTCTGAATTCTGGGTGCTGGGGGGCGTTTGGCGTCTGGCGTTGGGCGAGGTACTTTTGTCTTGGTTGATGTTGATCGCGCCCATCTGACAAATTTCCTCTGCGCCCAAACTCCGCGGCGATTCGGGGGCTTGCCCTTGCATCTTCACTTCGCATTCCATTGTTCTTTCTGCCTACTTCCGAGGTCGTCTGTCAACCGCCACAGTGTACCCCTTCGCATGCTATCTTGGCGGTTGGCCTCAGCGTTGGGGTGCGATGGTGCGATGATGCGATGCAGTGAAAAGGCAGGATAGAGCGGATCCATTCTCCGTAAGTCTCCGTTTGAGCTGTGCAAATGCCTCCGATGAGCTCAACACCTCGTCGCCTTGGCTCTTTGAACAAAACATCATCGTCGGCAGCTCTGTAGACGATCGCCTACGTCACAGCGACCAAGTTGCGAACTGATGAGAGACACGGGCTGCTAGACGCGCCCGAGACCACGAATGATGCCTGGAGTTTGGTTAAGCCCGGCAGCTCAGCTGTACCAACACACACACCCTCAAAAAGGGCCAAATCCCATCCATCGGTAGAAACCCATTGTCGGAAGAAACCCACCCACGGAGAAAACCCATAACTCCACGGGCGGTACCCTTCGAGCGCGCTAACGCCATCCAAAGTCCGCAAGCCAGCATCCGCAAGGCCAGCATCTGCAAACTCCACCACCCTCCCAAGCCTCCCTCCAAGTCAAAGGCCAATGGAACTGGCCACAGGGCAACGGACGTGGGCATGAGCCACACACTTTGTCCGCAGACAGGGCGCTAGGTAGCCAAGGCGCAGGCCGACTTGAGGCCCCGCAAAGCACGAGGACTCTGGATTGCTCATCTCATCTCGCCATCCACAAGGCAGCCCCCCTTGGACAACGGGCAAAACCCACCAGCGGATCATCTCACCACATCGATGCCCGGATTGGGCCACCGTGCTGCAGCTCAACAAGGGAGGGATTCTCACCTTTTCTCGTAGGACTTACCGGCTACCATGACATCCTGACACCCCGCCCACCGATTACCAATAGGCATGTTGGTGCCTAGCCGCTTGCTGCCCTCGTATGAGCTGTGAGGTACGGTACGTACCCAACAATGTACCTCGTCGTCGTGCGCAATTCTGCCGCTGGACACAGGTCGCCTGGTCTGGCCATTTCCAGGCAAAGCATGGCACACATGTACCACCACCCCTACCCGGCCAGATGAATCACCCTCTCTATCCCTGTCCGCCCGAATCTCCGTGGAGCCGGCATTACGAAAGATGTCTCCGAACACGTGCATTGGTCACCTCGAGACTCTCGGTCTCGGTTCTAAGCCCGGGCGAGAACTGGCTGCGCAGGAGGGACAGAGCAGCCATGGGCAGAAACAGACCAGGCGGACCCCCTGCCCTTGCGGAACTGAGGCAGCAAGTATGCAGAGATGATGTGAGGCAGACCGTCATGGTCGTCTTGGTAAGATTCTTTCTTCATCGCAGTGGAAAGGCAGTGCTACATAAGGCACGCCCCGAAGCCATCTTACACGGCCCATCCCTTCCTTCAAGCCTCTCACACACTTACATCGCGGGTCCTTGCTCACTACCAACCTTATCACGGTAGCACGACACCACATCAGCCCTGACTTGACCTCACCCAACCCATCAACAAACACCAAGGGGCTTCCTCGTCATGTCTCTGACCGCCAGTAACCTAGGGGGCAACCCTGAGAAGGAACCCGAGAGGTCCCCTTCCGTGACACCATCGGCGTATGAAGAGGCCAAGAAGGAGTATGGCTCGACCACCGACGTCGATGAAGAGGCACAGACGCAGACGCAGCCAGACAAGGGTATCGAGGACGCCGCACCGGCCGAAGAACTCCAGTACCCTACAGGCATGCGCTTGACTTTCGTCTTTGTCGCCCTCATGCTTAGCATCTTTCTTGTTGCTCTCGACATGACCATCGTCGGCACAGCCATCCCTAAGATTACCGACGAATTTAAGCGCTTGGACGAAGTGTCGTGGTACGGCGCCGCCTTCTTCATGACCGTGGCCGCCTTCCAGTCAACCTGTAAGTGACTGACTTCCCGAGACTGGTCCACCTTGAGATCACCGTGCTGATAAGTGGTTCTTTCTCAGGGGGCAAGGCGTACAAGTACTTCCCGCTGAAGATTAGCTTCCTCATCTCGATCGCCATCTTCGAAGTGGGTTCGCTTATCTGTGCCGTCGCCCCGACCTCCGTCGCTCTCATCGTCGGCCGTGCTATTGCCGGTGTTGGTGCCGCAGGTATCGGTTCCGGAGCCTACACCATTATCGGATTCGCCGCTCCTCCGGCCAAACGCCCCGCATACACTGGTGCTATCGGTGCTTCGTACGGTATTGCCTCGGTCATCGGCCCCATCGTTGGTGGCGTCTTTTCCGACCACGTCACTTGGCGTTGGTGCTTCTACATCAACCTGCCCATCGTGCGTTGCCCCAGTCCCTGAACCTCATTCCGACTCCCCAGACTGACTTGACTAGGGTGCCGTCTCTGCTGCCATCATTCTGTTCTGGTTCCAGACACCTCCTCACGCCATTCCCGTCGAGGCACCTCTGAAGGAGAAGATTCTGCAGATGGATCCCCTTGGCACTGCCCTCATCATGGCTGCCACCATCTCTTTCCTGCTCGCCTTCCAGTACGGCGGCGTTGAACATGCTTGGGACTCTTCCGTCGTCATTGGCCTCATTGTCGGTTTCGTCCTCATGGCCATTGCGTTTGGTGTACTTCAATGGTACCAAGGCGAGCGCTCCATGATTGCCCCGCGCCTCATCAAAGACCGCACGCTTTACATCTCCAGCATTTACATGTTCTTCTACGCTGGCGCCTACTTCACCCTGATCTACTATCTGCCCATCTACTTCCAGTCGGTCGACAACCAATCCCCCACGCAATCCGGTGTGCGCAATCTGCCTCTCATCATCGGTGTCACCATCGCTACCGTTAGTTCGGGCATCTCGATCACCATGTATGGGCACTACACACCCATCCTCGTCGTATCCGCTGCCGTCTCTACCGTGGCGGCTGGCCTGATTTACACGCTCGACATTGGTAGCGGCAGCGGCGAGTGGATCGGCTACCAGGCCCTCGCTGGCTTGTCCTGGGGCGCCTCGTTCCAGATTCCGATGATTGCCGTCCAGGGAACCTCGACCCCCGAAGACCTCGCCTCCAAGACGGCCATTCTGCTCTGTAAGTTTCTCCTGTGGCGCTGACAGCTTCGACATGGCCATCTCTGCTAACACCAACCAGTCTTCCAGATTATCGGCGGTGCCTTCTACGTTGCCGGTGCTCAGGCTGGTTTCCTCCAAACCATCCTCAAGACCCTTCGCGATACAGCTCCCCAGATTTCCCAAGAGCAAGTTATCTTGACTGGCGCGACTGAGATCCGCAACGCCTTCCCCACAGAAGTCGTCCCGCTTGTCATCGAGGCTTACATGGACGGTCTTCGTGTGACGTTTGCGCTTGTTATTGCCGGCGCGGGTGTGGCCTTTGTGGCGAGTCTTGGGTCCAGGTGGAAGAAGCTCGACACTACCACACTGTCTGCTGGCGGTGCGGCTTAGACGTTGCGGTCTGTGGGGAGTCTTTGATATGGATAATGGATAGCTGGAGGATCAGGTCTGGGACCGAGAGTGAAGGAAATAGTGGCATAGATGGCGTTGGTGGCTGGTTGCTTGAGCAGCATGTCTGCATCTCTTATTCTGCGTAATGACTAGAAATAATACCTTGTGTTGACGATGACAATATGTCGATTGAAACGTCCTATAGATGTTAATTCGATACCAAATGATTATCATCTACACCGGTTCCATCGAGTGCAGTAGTCATAGACGTGTGACTTTTTTACGCAATGTATTCTGTTTGTTAACTAGCCAAGTAATTTACGTCGAGGTCCAACCGCCCATATTCCTCACAAGCAGGATGTAGCCACGTCTCGTTCTTCACAACTTGTCATACATTTCGCAGCCGCAGATTCCCGAAACTGCTCTCCCAGAATGAAGTCAGCTGACCCAATGCGTGTGCCGACCTCATGGGTGAACCCTCAATCTTGCCGAGTAGAGCGCCCGATTCATCAACACGTCCACCCCCTCTTCCTCCGCCACGGGCTGGCGGTAGTCGTATCCTCGCTCACGCCATCCTCCCAGCTCAGCTCGCCAAACTCGCTGTACGGCCTGACGTGTCGGAACGCCAGATCCGTTGAGCGCGGCCTCGTTCTCGACGGCGCGCGGCGGGGGCCGTGCCTCGCGGCTGCCTGGCGCCTGCGGTGTGTGAAGAGGCACGCTGCGCAGAGGGCTAGCACGACGACGACGGGCAGGATCGTGCACAGGGCTATAAGGGCTGGTTTTGAGAGGGGGGCCTTGACGTCTCTGGGCTGCGGGGGCTCGGTGCGCGGGGTGGTGGGATCGGGGGTTAGGAAGGGGCTTATCTCCGGGGGCGGGAGGAGGGGGAGGAGGGTCGTGGACCAGGTTTCTCCGTTGAAGGTTGCGGAGGCGATCTCCGTGGGGGAGGCCTGGTAGTAGAGTGTGAAGACGCGAGCTCCGCGGCGGGAGGTTATGGTTAGGGGGACGGAGGGGGTGTGTGCCTTTGGCCAGAGGTCGCGGGGCTGGGTGGGCTGTGGGACCCAGGTTTCTGGGCTGTTGGGTGGGGAGAGGAGGTGATGGAGCCTTGCGTCGGTTCCGATGTAGAAGAGGGAGGATGATCCTTCCTCGTCGGTTGTGAGGGCTAGGGAGTGGAGATTGTTGGATGGGAATGAAGCCATCTCGCCAGATATCGAAGTGGTTGCTGATGGACACTGTCAGCGGCGTGATTTAAGGGGTTGATTGCGTTCACACTTACACCTGTCCCAAACAGTGTCTTTGATGTCCTTATGGAGCACTTGAATGCCTTGCTCGCCCGGCACAATGACGGTGACCTCCTTTTCGGCCGACGCAGCAGATGCCAGCGCAAGCCCGTTTCCCGGCTGGTCTGCCACCGATCCACCATAAAGCCAGCCCGTTGGGTTATGGAACGAAAGTTCATGGATCCTTCTTTCCTCATCGTGGGCGTAGACTCGAATGCCCTCCTCGGCGCCAAGGAGGACGGCACTGAGCGCCGTACGATTATGGAGCGCAATGCTATCGGGAAGAGCTGTCGAGATGATCTCTGAGTTGTGAAGCGCGTAGGCGCCGCTGGTGGCGTTGCACTCGTAGCGAGCGTACACGAGGTTGTTTGAGGAGTCTTGATACCAGAGACAAGCCTAGAGAGAGAGTCAGTCATACTCTCGAGAGACGAGCTGCGTTGGAGGAAGGACCCATGTTGTGACGGCGTCGAACCAGCCGACGCCGGCCAGGCTGCCGTGTTCTTTGGGGGGAAACTCGGTCTCCAAGATGAAAGGGTCGTTGACTGGGAAGACGAGATCGGTGGAGGTGTTGCAGCTGCTGTGGTACAAAAGGTGGGAAGTGGGAGACTGGAGGACAAGCTGGTCTCCCATGTCTGTAGACCAAGCCGCCATTGAGGCCATTGCAGAGCTGAGGAGAAGGAAGCAGACGAGGGCTGCGACCTTGGACGTTGAGGTTTTCATCTTTGGTCTTGAGATCGGACTGCTTATGTTGAAGATGAAGTAGTAGTCGGACTTTCGGACGATGAGGTTCCTTCTGAAGAAAGGTTAAAGAGAGGAAGAACAGAGCACTGGGGAATTCAAGAATAAGAATAGATCAGACAGCCGACGGTTAAGAACAGTATTGTATTGAGAACTGGAAGGAACGGACTTGCATATTGTTTGACTGGCAATGTTGCAGCTATTGAATAACGAAAGTGACACGGATTGTTTTGTTCCTTCCTTATGGAGGAGATGATAAGCACGGTCAGGGAACTGTCAAAAGCATACTGTCTCATCTCAATTGACAGAGAATATGTATATCAACTTTCATGAAGGCTACCAACGCCTTCATGACGGCAACAGTACAGAGAATCACGCATCGTGCAACTAGCATAAACGACACGGATCTACAATATCCATTGATGAAAGTCTTTGACACTCATCACACGACCTCTATTATTTTGAAACTTTTAAAGCAAGCCTACCCCGACCCCGCCGCGTTTGTCACCTTGACGCTACCATCTTCCATGCCAAAGTACGCCGCCACAGGCTTTTGGGCCAGTCCAAACTTGCCCACCTTGGCCGCCTCGCTGCCGTCGAGACCAAAAAAGATGCCGACCTCGACAACACCAGGAATCTTGACAATCTCGTCCGCCAGCGCCTTGACGCCCCACGAGCCGTCAGCGGCACGCTCCGCACCGGCGCCCTCGCTCAGCAGCTTCAGCGGCGCAAACGGCGCGTCAATGATCCACATGCCGTTGTCCGTCACGACCTCGCCGGCCTTGCCAGGGACACCGGGGCGAACAAGGGGCCCGGTCGAGCCAAGCGCCACGAGCTGGTTCAGGACATCGGGCGCCGCCATGGGCAGGACCTCGATGGGGATAGCCTTCCACTGCGTGAGCAGGTTCTTCGAGAGCTTGCGGTAGTCGGCGACGACGACAAACTTCTTGGCGGCGATGGCGACGAGCTTCTCCTGCAGCAGACAGGCGCCGCCGCCCTTGATGCAGTTGAGCTCGGCGTCGACCTCGTCGGCGCCGTCGAACGCGACGTCCAGCGTCACGGGCTTGCCGCTCTCCAGGGGCCTGTCGTCGAGGTTGCAGAGGCGCAGGCCGGCGGCCCGGATGAGGCCCTTGCTCTGGCTGCCGGTGGGGAAGAAGGTCATCTCGCCCCAGAACGAGGGGCCCTTGGCGGCGATGGCGTCGACGACGTAGACGACTGTGCTACCGGATCCGATGCCGACGTAGCGGTGGCTGGGCTGCAGGTGTTCGGACACGGCGCGGGCGGCGGCGGCCTTTTTGGCGGACTCGACGGGGGACAGGGTGGACATGGTGCGGGCTGCTGTTGAGGCTGCTTCGGGAGCAAAGTGAAGCCGGGGAAGGAAGGGAAGGGGTATCTTGTTGGTAATTGTTGCTTGAGGGCAGAAGAAAGATGGACGCACGAGGCGGAACATGGGGAAGGGAGGGTGGGGTGAGGGTAAATCTCACGATGGTAACGACTGTGGTTGAGGGTTAAGCTGTAGTGGGGTGGTATGACGACAGCCGCCGTGAACCTCCGCGTCCGGGTGCTGAGTCAGTGAGAGGTGGGGACTCAGCTGATGGCACGTGATCTTGAAGACTGGTCCACACTGTAATTCCTGGACTTGGCACCAGATCTTGAGACAAATTTTCTTACTTCACTTGCAGCTTTTTGTAAAGCCATCATCCCCCGCCTCCGTCATTTTCAACCATCCTCATGGGATACCATAAGTTACGAAGGAATTTTACACCGCTGTTGCAATACCGCCCATGGAGAAGTTGCCGCGAACCACCGGCATGACGCAGGCCAGTTGACGTACCACCTCTCCTTATGCGGGGTCATGATGTCTCCGCACACCTACGCCCCTCACTCAACGGCGCTTTGGCCGAGTGGTTAAGGCGATGCCCTGCTATTGATGAGTGTCCTCCGACGTTCGATAGATTAGGCATTGTGTTCGCACGCGCAGGTTCGAATCCTGCAGGCGTCGTTAGTATTTTTGTGTTTTTGCTTGATGATGGAGCACTGTATCATTAATCTTGACTACTTACCTACCTAAGGTACCTAAGGAACGCAAAGTACCTTCTGCATTGATTGTTCGTCCTTGGCTCCAGGAGTGTTGCGGCAGATGTTTTATCGTTCACAAGCCCCATCCATGACGAGGAAATGCGTACGACTACCTACCTACCTGCCTACATATATGCAGGTACCCAGCCAAACATCGAGAATACATCCTTCAATCCCAGCATCTCTCATGCCGACATCTCAAGATGACCGCTTGCAAGGCGATAGGTGACCGTTATCAGACAGAGCAGCCGCATATCATATGCCGTTGCCAACGGTCGCGTCCCTGTGGAACCGCTCGACCCACCTTTGGATTGACAGTGCCAGAGATACGATCGAGTTGCACTGTTTGCCCGGGACCAGACACTTCTTTCCACATCGACAAGCCAGGCTGGACGCACCCGTCTGAGGCTCCCGGCTGCCGAGCAGTCTTGGCACTTCTCCATTCAAGCTTTTAAGAGATGGGTAATGATCCACTTCAGATCAAGTTCACAAGACAAGGCCAGCATGGCCCGGGACCGACTTCTCTCTGAAGAGTCGCATGTTCTCGTCAGTGAAATAGGCTCGTCGTCATCCTCTTCGATGTAAACACGGGATCAACACAATCACGATCGAATTGAGTGGCTTTTCCCCAGCAGAAAGATGTCCTTTTGGCTCACTCTGCCTCTGGAAATTTCGAGGAGAGCATTGTATTTGTTGCGCCTTGGGGGCAGGAGCTGGCTCATAAGGCCGAGCTTGACTCTCCTAGGGCTCTTCAGCACAGCATTTGAAGCAGTCCATAAGGATCTTGCAGATGTGGCAGTCAAGGCCATCTTGACGCACGACCACCCTAAGGCATTTCGGGGTTCATAGGCAGCCATGGAAAACGTTTGTGCGGTGTACGAGTGGGGGATTCACGGCATTGGTCTTTTCGGATGCAACGTCGGAGATGATGTCTAGAGAAGCTGACCTCTCTCGACCTGTTGAGGCATTGCACCCTTCCTGTCTCCACCAACCAGGTGCCGTGGTTTGGGTTTCTTGAGCATCGCACCATGTCGGGCTTGCCAATGTCAGATGATGGTAGCCTGCCGATGAACGTCATTAACGAGCGATCCAGTTTTGTTCATGATGTTTCTGCACCGACATTTTGGACAATTGAACAGTCGTCGCCTTCTGACATGAGGGAAGTCCCTCTTCATGATGCCTCGTTGTGATCGAACCCTACGGCATGTAATTATGGCGCAGAACTCCAGAGACCGAAAAAACGATGCGTCACATCCCGACGCGTCGGCTCCCGAGTTCTGCGTCGTTTGCGAGCATCGCGAAAAGGCAGTAGTGAATGAGACACGACCAATCGCTGCCGAGTTCGCGTCAATGACGTCGGCATGTAACGCAATACCGTACCGTAGGACAAAGTTCACCTACGCGCTCAGACCAGACAAGACAAGAGATAAGCATCATCTCCGACCTCCTGACCATTCCTTCGACCAGAAGCGCTGGCCATGGCCCTCTGGCCTCCCATCCACAACCCATCCACGATGTTGTCTCTTTTCGCCGCTCTCCCGGCCATCGTCCTCTCTCTCCACTTCACCATCGCAGCCGTGGCCCGATTGAGCGACGCACTCCCGACCCTCCACGCGCGAACCTATCGGAAGACGCAGCTCTCGGCAGCGAAACTCTACCCCGTCGTGCCCTTCAGAGACGACATTCCCAAGCACATGCGCTACGTCGGCGCCTGGTATCTCCTGACCGCCGCCATGCTGGCCTGGCCGTCGACGCGCGGCAGCCTGCCGACGCTCGGGCTCGTCCTCTTCTGGACCGGCGCCGGCGCCTGGGGCCGGGCCAAGAGCGGCCTAAAGTTCCGCCTGCCGCTCATGAACGCGTCGCTCGGCGTCTTGGTCTATGTCACGGAGAGACTCAACGGCTGACTGGGCCGGAAAAACAGAAAAGGAAAGAAAAAAAAAAGCAACGCGACGCGAAGGACGCGTTTGCCATGGGAACGGGCCCGCGCGCTCGGAGGGTGGATGATGTAGAAGGCTGAGATGACATCACCATTCGCTCGAGCTGTTTTGGAAACCAACATTTTACCTTCTCTTCTTCGGTTACGAGACATTCATCTTCTCGTCTCCAGCATTCAGTCAATATTCGAGATCTACAGAATTCAATCATCAAGATGGTCGCGACACGATCTGACGACGCCCGTGCCAAGGCTGATGGCGCTCACGGTGATGCTGCTGCCGGCGAGAAGCATGTCATTGACAACCAGGACACTGGAGCCTCGCCCGACGCAAAGCGCGTGAAGAGAGATGAGTCCGACGATGGGAAACAGACGACAATTGAAGAAAGCTTTGGCAAGAGTGGCGAGTCCAAGCCCACAACCACAACAGACCGGTCACGAGACGATGAAGCCGATGAACAGACCAAGAATAACAACGACACGGAAATGGGCGACAGTAAGGACGAGGAAAGCGACAGCAAGGTCGATGCCAAGCCCACCAGCAAAAGCGACACCGCCGAGAAGCCCCACGAAGACCCCGACGTCCCCTCTAGCATCCTCGAAAAGGGTCTCATCTACTTCTTCATCCGCGCGCGTGTCAACATTGATGAGCCTGAGCAGGTCAACGACATTGCTCGCAGCTACTTCATCCTGCGACCTCTCGCCCGGGATGCCCGTCTCGGCGAGGGCCCCATCGGCGACGCGGGCAATAGCCGTCTGCTCGCGTTGCCGAAGAAGGTCCTCCCTCAGAGCGGAAAGGACCGATTCATGGTGTTTGTCGAAAAGTCGGGCGCGAGCTTCAAGGAGCTGAAGGAGACCTTCCTGCAAGGCGCAGAGAACGTGACCAAGACGCAGGGGACGAGCACGACGCCTCCCGCCACGCCGGCCGCCGAGGGCGTGTATGTGATCACCAGCACCGGGCGCGATAGCCATCTGGCGTACATGATCACCCTGCCTGGCGAGTTGGGGGAGGTACAGAAGGACCTGGGTGTCAAGGCACAGGGCAGCTTCATCTTGAGCACCAAGAACCCCGAGCAACCTTCGCCCGCCAACACGCAGTTGCCCGAGGGGCCGGGCTTCTCAAAGGAGTCAGTCTCTGCTTGCTCCGATACCGCGATTTTCTTGCTGACACCGATTGCAGGATCCAAGACGAGTTCCAGGGCCGTCGCTGGCTACCCTCGAAACCGGCGCACTTTGACTACCCCAACGCGCAGATCCTGCTCATTGGCGAGTCCAGCGGTATCGAGAAGGCCGTTGAGCCGCAGCAGAAGGACCAGAAGAATGGCAAGGAGGAGGCAGAGGAGGTGCTGAAGGATCTGGAGGATGACGATGTCGATCGCATGAAGCATCTGGGTGACAGTGACTCGGAGGCTATTTTCAAGGACCTGAGAGCGAGTGCGGATGACTATCCCAAGCTGATGACGACTTTTTGAGCCATGGAAAATCATCCGAGTTGATGAAGATGGCAGCTCAGCGTCTCATTTTGCTGATGGAGGCGTGAGCTTGACAGCCATCCGCATTGGCGACAGCATGCCACGTTTGACGTAACATACATTGGCGACATTAAAGGCCGCTGATAGTCGTTCTGTTCACAGTTAGCTGTACAATGCAGGTCATGGCGTTGCGTGTGGCGAGGATTGTGCTGGCAAGCTTCAGATTGAGGACTGATCGAAAGGGTCTTCGACGGGATTCGTCGATGCGAAGCCCGACAAACTTGCGAGCTCGAAAAATGATAACAGAAGCGTCCATTCTAGATTGGCTCGAAGAAAGGCTGTATTCCTTACTCTGTTCTCGGCGAACAGACAATCCACGACATCATAGCTCCCAACATTCTGACTGCGAGAACTCGGTGAGGGCGGGGTAATCGACTCCTGACCGAAAGCTCCTTAGTCAGCCGCGGGGTTGTTCCTGCCACTTCGCATCACCCTGCCGTTGACTCACGAATGCGGCCAGAAATTCGGACCTCTCCTCCGCGATCTTGAAAGTCCGCGACGTGTCCACCGTACCTCCTGTCCTGACTGCTTTCGGAGCGAGCTCTAGCAGGCCTTTTTGCTCAGACGTTCAGTAACGACCAAGTGTCTGGCAGCATTGACACGACTTTTGTCGCTTACGACCTCCGAGCACCCCGCCAACGCGCACGAGTATCGACCCCGCGTTGCGACCATCACCATGTCTGCCGCCCCCGAAGCTCCCGCCCAGGAGGTCCCGCCCGCCGCCGTCGGTGAGGCTTCTGCCGACTCCTCGCAGCAGAAGATCGACCCCTGGAATGTTTCTGGTGCTGTGAGTGTTCTGTGCCAGGCCATGGAGCGGGCAATCGGCCATCCGCCTAGGCCGCTGGCTCGACAAGGTGGTGAACGAGGGCTGATCTGTCCAGGTCGGCGAAGATGGCAAGATTCAGGCCATTGACTACAGGGTACTACTTTCACCGTCCTACACGATCCGATCGAGACGGCTGACGTGTAGTACAGAAACTCGTGGACGAGTTTGGCACCAAGCTCATCGACGAGGCCATGCTCGAGCGTTTCGAACGTGTCGTCGGCGTCAAGCCGCACCACCTCCTCCGACGAGGCGTTGTTTTCTCCCACCGCGACCTCGACCTGATTCTCGACCGATACGAGAAGAAGCTTCCCTTCTTCATCTACACTGGTACGCCAACAATACTGGGCAATGGTGGTCAACATAAAGTAGAATCATGTGCTGATGCAGTTTGCGTACAGGCCGTGGTCCCTCTTCTGACTCGATGCACATTGGACACGTCATGTGAGTTTCGTGTAGACTTGTAAGCGAGGTGAAAGCTGATGACTAACGTATCAGTCCCTTCACGCTCACCAAGTGGCTGTCGGATGTACTGGATGCGCCGCTTGTGGTATGTTGAGACTGGACATGCGATTCCCATGGCACGACTGACATCTTGCAGATCATGATGACGGATGGTACGTTTTGCGGCTTGACCTACACCAACGCACAGACATGTGTAGCTGCGCTTCCGTTTCTGGACTAACACGCTGCCAAAGATGAAAAGTTCCTCTTCTCCGAGAAGCGAACGTACGTTGCCAGCCGTACACCTGTTGCCGCCGAACTGGGCTAACCAGCAAAAGCGTCGAGGAAGTGAAGCAATACACCAAATCCAACGCCAAGGATATCTTGGCCATTGGCTTCAGCCCTGACAGGTTCGTGCTGTACCAGTCGGTGGACCGACCATTGAAGTCATACTGACCGGTGTTCAGGACATTCCTCTTCAACGACTACGACTACGTTGGCGGCAAGTTCTACGAGACCATTTCCAAGGTGTCCAAGAGGATCACTGTCAACACTGCCAATGCGGCTTTTGGCTTCGATGGCAGCTCCTCTATCGGCAAAGTAAGGGAACACAGGTGTTGCTGCCGAGTCTCACTAACGGTGCGCAGGTCCACTTTGCCGCCATTCAGGCCTCAGCCTCCTTCGCCCCGTCATTTCCACACATCTTCGGCACAGATGAAGCCCGCTCCAGCCAGATTCCGTACGAACCCTGACCAGCATGGTGTCCTGTTTGATGTTAATGCAGCTACTAACGCAATCCAGTTGCCTCATTCCCTGTGCTATTGACCAAGGTGAGTCCTTTTGAATGATCTTCGTCGCTATGTTTGCGTCACTCCTCACCCATATCTGCCTGTTCTTTGACCCGCACTTCCTCTGTTGATGGGCTTCGCCACTCAAGCAGCCACATGTGAGACCTCATGCTAATACTCAGAAGACCCCTACTTCCGCTTGACCAGAGACATCAGCCAGGGCCTGAAGTACGCGAAGCCCTCGCTCATCCATTCTCGGTTCCTCGACGCCCTGCAGGGACCTGGCTCCAAGATGTCGGCATCTGTCGCATCCTCTGCCATCTTCATGTTCGACACACCCAAGCAGGTCCTGTCCAAGATGAACAAGTACGCTTACAGCGGCGGACGCGAGACGGCGGAAGAGCAACGTGCGCTGGGAGCCAACCCCGATGTCGATGTCAGCTATCAATATCTTCGATTCTTCCTTGAGGTACGGGTTCACTCTCCTACGCTCTTCACACCCACTGACAGGTCATAGGATGACGAGGAGCTGGCTCAAATTGAGAAGGACTACAGGTCGGGCAAGATGATGACCGGCGAGATCAAGAAGAGGTAAGGGCTGCCCGCTCCTCAAAGAATTTTGCACCACTAACGATAGCCAGGTGTGCCGAGGAGTTGTCCAAATTCTGCACGGGCTTCCAGGAGAGGAGGGCGAAGGTGACCGATGAGACTGTCGCACAGTTCATGGCTCGCCGTCCCTTGGTCTGGCGCGGCTCAGAGGCCCTCGCCGACCTGGCTGTTAGGCCTAGAGCCGATGGCGAAGGCAAGGCCGAGGGTGAGGGAGATGGAAAGCTGACGAAGAACCAGCTCAAGAAGCTGGAGAAACAGAGGCAAATTGATGCGAAGAAGGCGGCCAAGGCCCAAGAAAAGGGTGCCAAGGATGCCGGTGTCGCTGAAGCGCCGGCCCCTGCTACCGAGGCGACACCTGCGTCGTCATAGGACTGCAAGACAATATACCATGTTCCGAAGAGGCTTTTGATGGAGAAATGGTTCCCTCGAAACATGACCGCAATTCCAACACCCCTCATGTCCATTTCGGGCTTGGCTTGCTGCTGTACTCCCGCAACTGGAAGGTCGTCAATACAAACGGCATCGCTGCCGAGGGTGTTCACATCATTACTGAATGGAGCGCGGAAGCAGCCTCATGCGCGTGTTCTGCATACGACAAGGATTACGCAACTACCCCACGAGATCCATCGCATCTACCTCGAGGCTTTGATTGGCGGCATATTATAACAGCTCGATTGTCAGCGGCAGATCGCCGACTTGGGCTGAGCGCCAGATGGCTCGGGAAAGCCTAGATGGGTGACGAGACGGCCGAACCTTGTTTCTCTCATCAATCAGGGGTGGCACATCATCTGTAAAAGGCTGTTAATTCGGACTTGGGGGCCTTTCATCGAACCTCCTGACCATCACTCATGCATATCCGATCGCTCCTGACCCTATGCCATCCCGGCCAGCCAAATCATGATGCGTGAACAACGAGGCTATCGCGCCATGAATCCTAACACTGGTGGATAATTGAAGATGCTTCACAGATTTCAAGACTCGGCAAGTCGGCATTGGAGCACGTTCGAGGTCTGGGCAGACATTGTGCGGCTCGGCATTAGTATAAAGGTCAACAGATCCACTCTGAGCCTACCTACAACTGTTTGCCACTCATCAGTCGCTATCGCGTTCTACATCACGAGCCTCTCAAAACTACGAAATCTATCACCGGCATTCTTCCAAGGCCTTATTATATCCTGTGAGCTTCTGCAAACATGTTGAACAGCAAGATCGCTCTGGCCTTGTTCGCTGCTGTCGGCACTGCAGTGGCTCAGTGTGGCAACGCTGCTGTCGACGAGCTTGTCGGCTACGGCGCTGCCACCACTGGCGGAGGCAATGCCCCGCCTGTTGTCGTGACCACATGCAGCCAGTTCACGGCGGCTCTGAAGAACAGCGGCGTTATTCACGTCAGTGGAATCATTGATGGCTGCGGCATCCTCCGTGTAGAGAACAACACCTCGGTTCTCGGCCTCGGTGCCAAATCCGGCTTGACTGGAGGTGGCCTGCGGATGTACAAGGTCGACAACATCATCCTGCGCAACCTTCATCTCAGCATGGCGCCCCGGGGCGGCGACCTTGTTGAGGCCGAGCGCAGCACCAACATCTGGATCGACCATCTCGATCTCTCCAACGCGGGCATCGTCGGCAACAAGGACTTTTACGATGGTCTGCTCGACATTAAGCGTGCCTCGGACTGGGTCACCGTCTCGTGGACCAAGTTCCACGACCACGCAAGTTTCCCTCCGCGTACATAAGTCCCCGAATGTATCTGACGGCAAATTAGTGGAAGGGCTCCCTCATCGGCCACTCGAGCGGCAACACAAAGCAGGACGCCGGCACAATGCACGTGACATACCACCACAACAGCTTCATCAACGTCAACTCGCGCCTGCCTTCCATCCGCTTCGGCACCGGCCACATCTACAGCTCGTGCTACCTCGACAACCCGACGTCGGGAGTCAACTCGCGCGAGAACGCGCAGGTCCTCGTCGAGTCGACGTACTTTGAGAACACGCGCCTCGCCATCGTCACGGACCTCGACGCCAAGCTCGAGGGCTGGGCTGTCGAGCGGGACAATGTCTACGTCAACTCGGACATTGACATTACGCAGGTGGGCAGCTTTGTGGCGCCGCCTTACAGTTATGATGTCGATGCTGCTAGCTGTGTGTGTGATTTGATCGAGAGCCAGGCTGGAACTGGAGTCGTTGGCTGATCGTCGACACGATATGATCAACTAGTCCAGCTGGGACTGTGGAGGACGAATTTGGGAGGATGTGGTGAAATATGAATTTCTTGGTGGATATTCAATTTACATCATTCATTTTCAACAAGATTCAAACCCTCTCATCATGGCAGTTGCAGTTCGTAGTATCGGCGAGAGAAAGTGAACTAGCTTGGAATGACGAGGATAGGTGCCAACAGGCTAGACATGGTCTTAGCCTGGGCCCTTAAGCCAGACTTAAAAACGCGTTTGGCGATGGCCAAAGTAATCAGAGGTAGTCTCCAGCGTATTGCACATGCTTGCCCAGGGCATTCGTACGCCTTATGGGATGTTCTCTGGCCGTAGTTGTATTCCAAATAGCCTGCATCACTTAAGCGTCAAAGTCCTCTTCTATGCCTACCCATTATCTCCGAATTTCCCACCATTGCAAGGCCCGGCGGCTCGCAAGTGTTCGAAGTGATGAGATCATTTAGTGGACTCTGTGCCTTCAAGTAGTGCCGACAGCATTAATATCTTTGCACGGCCTGAAACCTGTCAGACCAGTCAAACAAGGGATGCTTGCGGCAAGAAGTGCTGTGTTCATGCTGGTCGTTTTTACAAAAGACCGCTCCGCCTTATATCAAAGCAACTAACACAGGTCGCATCATTAGACGCCATCGCTTGCAGTGCCGAGCTACTGGAGCGTCATCTCCAACACCCACAATGTCTGACACACCATCTGCAAATATGGATTCTACAGGAACAAGAAGAACGCCATAGTCGTGACAATAGCGGCAGACACCCGGGGCACCAACGTCGCAGCAGCGCCATACTTAGCCCAGGTCTGGCAGTCGCCAAAGTCGTAATGGAAGAATGGACGTAACTTGATGCTCTTGATAGAGTGGGGAACGGACTCGCACCGGCCAGTCTCGCCAGTCTGGCAGCTGGTCTCGTACCACGGAAACTCGATAACGTCGTCTCTCTGGCAATCATTGTTCCCGCCATAGGTGTCGAGAACCCAGCGACCGTCCTTGCCTTCTTCAGACTTGCCGTCGGACGACTGGTTGCGCTGCTCGAACCAAATGACGGACCAATTCTTAGCCGGGTCGTAGTCGATTGAGTCGCTCGTGATGTACCACTCAATGCCCGGCGGTGGCAGTTTGTCCACATCAACGTAGTTGGGGTAGGTGACCCGTTCAGAAAACGTGTCGTTAAGGAATCCCATCCGCTCGTTACCTCCGAATATCTCTTCGATGTCAATGCAGGTTTCGTGCCGGGGTATCGTCTCGGTGGTCAAGGTGATGCCCCCCTGTCCGCCGCCTTCGCAGCTGTCTCCCGCATCAGAAGGGTAGAGTGTGAACGTGAAGTTGGTGCTGATGTCCCTGAGTACCTGATTAGCTAATTGCCAGTAGTGTTTTGAGATGGGAACTCACCACTGCGCGAGGGCAGACAGTGGTGCAATAGCCAGTAGAATTGTCGATGTTTGCAGCATCTTGGTAGCTCGTGGTGTAAGTATAATTACAGCCGTGGAAGACTTTATAGTTGAACCGGTTCTTTGAACAGCGGGTGAGCAACGAGGTATTGTCATAATTATAAAGAGGAGACAGTGGTAATTAAACCATGAACGGGTTGTGCCACATTGGCGTGATGCCTGGGATAGCTGACCATTCGCCTGTAGAATACAGTGTGATTGGCTTCGGGCATGATCTCAGTTGCTAATGTTTTCTTAGTGAAGGATGGCTAACAAGACGTCATATGGCACTCCACGTCCCTTGAACACAACACCAACGGCGGCCGCCTCGGGCGAAGATCTACCCCTTGCTGCGGGCGATCGCACAGGGGACATGGACCACCAAGGCCCATTCGCAACTGAGATACATAACTGGGGTGTGGACCACTTTACATGGTACGCTCTGACCGCCATCCGAATCCTTCATCCTTTTAGGACCACTGCTGGCTGCGGCACAGCGAGTGTCCACCCCAACTTTGATTGACACATCCTTGTTCCGAGGTTCAGTCATCCCATTTGGGTAGCATTCTTCGTTATGTAACGCTTCATACTGGGCGGTCAAAGCCTAAAATAGTAATTCCCTTACGGAATGGCTGGGGCTTGAGCAATGTGTGGAAGCCGCCGACTGTAATTAGAATAATACTCACACGACCGTCGTGAACACTTGCAACCCCCCTTTGCTTTGCCATTTCACCTCGACTTCCGGCGCAATGAAAAAGATGAATCCTTCCTTCACATCAAACCTCTGGCCATTGCCTTCGAGGACGCCCTCGCCCTTGGTAACAATCGCAACGCCAGGTCCTTGACCCTTTGAAATGACCTCCTTATCGGCTTCCTGCAAGTTCGTCAAGAGCATGTCAAATTCCCTGAGCGGGGGCCCGTAAAGGAGCGTCTTGCGATTCGCGCCGCGCTCGCTTCGCTTCGGTGTAAGCACCACATCCGACGGGCGGTGCACAGCAAAGGTCAATGCATCACTAAACAAGTCGACATTGTCCCGATCGCCCTTGGGACAGAAGCCCGTGTTGAGCACATTGTTGCTCCGTGCCATGCACTCCACAATGTCGCCGGAGAGGTAGGCGTGGATGCCGTCGGCCGGGATGAACAACGCCTCGCCGGCCTTGAGCTTCATAAAGTTCATGCAGACGACCGCCACGAGGATGCCGGGATCCTGCGCGCCAAAGTCCCGCTTTAGCCGGGGCAGCAGGTCGAAGATGTACTTGTTCTCGCCGAGGTCGTCGCGTGAGAGCTGCGCCAGGGCGTCTTGTGCCGCAATGACCTTGTCGTCGTCCGCGAGGAGAATGGCGCGCGTAGCCTCGCGCAGAGTTGACTGCGTCCACGGAGAGGTGGCGTTGGGTATGAAGGCGCGGAGGGCCGGGATGTTGAAAAGCGGCGCAATCAGCTTTGTCGGCTTCCAGCCGGCGAAGACCTCAAAATCAGATAGTGCGATAGCGATCTCGGGCTTGTGATTGGGGTCGGTGAACTTTTGGGGGTCATCTCTGTGGAGCTTGGCCGCCAGTTCCTTGTTCGGGTGTATCTGCAGGGGAAGGGCTTTGGCGATAGAGAGAATCTTTGGAAGTCAGGATGAGTTTGCCTAAGACAGAGGGGGGGGCAAGTCTTACTTTGGGGAGGTAGGGCAGTTGGCTGTCGAGTTCGTTGTTGACCTTATCCCCCAATAAAGTCTTCTTATTCTTTTGCAGGACATCTGCTAGAAGCTCTCCAGTAGAGAGAACACGGGCAGGAAAGTCTGGGTAGTCGCCGAACCACATCTCTGAGTAATATTGATCATCGTCAATCTTGAAATCTGTGCTCGGTGTGTTGGCGCAAAGGCGGGCGGCGAGGGAGTCTTTTCCCTTTTTGCCCCAATCGTAATTGTTACATGTGCCGCTAAGCTGGAAGATGCGGTCTGTGGACGACATGACGAGCGGCTTTGGATGGAAAAATGCGGAATACAAAAGTGGCCGGCTGAATGAAAGTTCGTGGTACTGTTGGATAGTCTCTGGGAGAGGATGTTCGGATGAATCTTGACGATGGCTTTCTCTAGCAGCAGCATGAGCTGTTAAATGTCCACGCAACCTTCAAGAAGCCTGCTTGTTTTCGCGCGATCATTATTTTCCTACTTCACGTCAGACTCCGTCATTGACGTCTGGGCAGCGCCAGCCGGCTCGGGAACCAGTTACCCAGTCTCGGCGGGGCCGGCCCCACAGCACTGGAGCCGGACCGGACTTTACTCTCCGGGCCACTCATCGGCAGACGCTGTCAAGTCGGGCAGCGACTGAGGCACGCCTAGTACCTGGTGCGAAATCATGATGACGGAATAAAAATTACATTAAGAACTAAGATATCTCATCTCATGGCCTCCATCTTATTAGAAGCTGTAGCAAACATCCCACAATGGCACCCTGACATTGTACAGATCCCGCTGCCAGAACTTGGTCGCGAACGCCGAAACGTTAAAGTAAAAGTCCGATGCAAACTCGACACCATTCGTTTCGGCGCACACGAGACCGTCCTTGGGAACCTCGAAGCCCGCGTCAATCTGCGCACCTGTGCCTCCGACCCAGGCATCCTGTTCACCGCGCAGCTTAAACTTGTTGGCAATGCCAGGCGAAGCAGTGACACCACTAGACAGGTCGACGAGGCCACCAAGGAGCTTGAAGGCCAGCTGGACGGTAACATCGGCACCAACGTCGAGGCGCACATCGGCAGCCTGGGAGATGTTGGCGTAGCTGTTGTATTGAGGCTCCCAGCCAGAAGTGCCGGACTTGGAGCCGTCGAGAAGGTCGACATGCACGTTGCCGGCGGGTATGTTGACGTCGACACCAGCGTGGAGACCGACGGCCGCGGTGGCCTCGACATCAAGAGCGAGGCCAAAGGCAATGCCTGGGCCGAGAGAGACGATGCTGGGGACCTCGACGAGAGACCACGCTAGAACGTCCGGTGAGTAGCGGATGGTCTCGGCAAAGGATGCTCTGATTTCGGCCGATACAGCGGCGGAGGAAGCAAAGTTGGCATCGAGATCAAAGTAGAGGTGCTCAAGGCGGAACCTCCAGAAGTTGTACTTGAGGTATCCGGAGAAGGTGATGGTGGACTGGAACCAGGCCTCCTCGGCAGTGACGTCAATGTACTGCCCGTCAGAGAAGAGCACAGTGTTCTCAGGCAGACCCTCTGCGAAGCTAAGCGAGACGCTGGGGTCCAGAACGAGACGGCGGGTCAGAGATGCAGCAGGAAGAGACGTGAAAGCCATCTCGCAAGATTCTGAAAAGGTGTCAGCAGCATTTCACGATACAAGGAAGCAGTTCACTGACCTGCGATGCTGGCGAGCTCCTTCCTGGATGCCTTAACAGTGACAGCCAGCTTTTCAGCATTGGATGACACGCCGGACGCGAGGAAGAAGCCGCGCTCAAGGGCTGCGTTGCAGTTACCCATGTGGTTGGTGATGAGGACAAATGCCTCATCATCGCTCCAGTCCTTGACAGCCTCGTTGAAGCCTTCAAGATTCTCAAACAAAACTGTCACTGTAAGGTTGTTGCAGATGACGTTGCTGATAGAGTCAATCTGTTCCAGAACGACAGTAGGGTTATTCATGGTCAGGTTCATGCCGATGGAGCCCGGCTCCTCCTCGTCCGAGGACGAATAGTAGAGCGAAACATTCTGCGCAGGCACGATGTTGATGGGGTCACTGCGGTCGATACCTGGAGCCGAGCAGGGGCCAAAAGTGTGCGTTGTGTTATCAGGGTGAGTGTCGGGCTTGGGTGGCTCAACAAAAGGACCCTCAGTCGGGAAATTGGTAGGCTTGGTCGGTACAGTATGCGCAGTTGCCGTGGGCTTGACGTTAAGTTTGGAGATAATAGGCGTGGGAGTAGACAACAAGGAAGACTGAGTCGATTGGGGATCGGGCATCTCAACCACGATATAAGTAACCCTTTGGGTCTCCGGCGAACACTGGCAGTCCTCGGCTCGGACCAGACTGCTGGAGACAAGGAGAACGGCGGCCAAAAGCCATGAAAAGGCGAAGCGCGTCATCGTCAGCCCGAAGAAAAAGATGTAAAATGAATGTGTTGCTTGGGAAAGAAGAAAAGAAGGACAGGACGCTCACGATGGAGAGCTGGTGTTCAGAGAGTGACGACAAGACGACCGCGACTGGTGCCGGGTTGTAATCATTGTCGCAAAGGTGCCGGCACGGCGGGAGCTTAGATATAAGAGACAATGGGACAAGGACCAGTGCCGAGACATGTCAACGCCATGGGGGGAACTATTGGCGGCAACCATCGCGAGCACCTGCAGGGCTGGCTGTCGGCCGAAGGGCCGAGGCGATAACGGCGCGATCAGATCCTCACTTGCGCTTTCGAGATGGTTCATTTTCCTCGGGCCACCTCTGTGGTGCCGTTGGACTATCAAGCCACCGGCCTAGGCTCGATTAATGAGGTGACGCGTGTTTCCAGCGAATGAGAGTACGTGATGGCTCGCTATGGCCCGCCATGGTGGTAGGGCACCTTCAGGTGAGCGTGCCGAATGGGCGGCTTGGAAGGCAAGTAGGGGATGACATCCGAATGAGGGTGGGTTATTGGACCCTTTTCGTTCAGATCATCGCAGGGATGTAGGGTTCGTCATGCTATTGTCCCCCAGTATATGGACTAATCGGGCGGCAGGTCATGGGTGCATCAGAAGGCCTTCACTGCACATGAATCGCGTATCGCATGTGACAGGAATCGGGAGGTAAGTAAGGGCGGACACTGATATGGTATGCGGGGTCGTCGGCCACCAAGATTTGCTGTCGAACAAGTAATCTTGTGCATGCTGCCACGCATGGACGCCGGACTCACAGATCACTGGCGCTGGGAGGTCATGGTTGGATGAGCATGGAAGAGAGGACCGGCGCGACGGCGATGTCGAGGCCTTGTAGAAAGTGATGTCTGTGCACATGATTGGCAAAGGTGACGAGACTTCTGCCCATCAAATGTTTCTTGCAAGATACACCAATGAATGAATGCAGCAAAATAGCCTTTCCTCATGCTTCTAACCCGCAGCCCCCGGCAAGTCCCTCTTTAAATCCAATGCCCAGATGCAATCTCAACTCATCCATTCTCATTCTCATTCGTAAATGGTAATCAAAGGACACAGCTTATGGATCCGCCAACCCATCGTAGCTTTGCCCATGCGAGACATGCCGCCGTAGCTTTTCGATAGGACGGTCAAGCGTAACCATCAGCTTCCTGTCCTGTCGCACGTCCAACAGTCCGACACGTTTGGCTTTGCGCTCTGCCTCATCGCAATGGTAGTCCTCGCCTCGGCGTACTCGGCGCGTCCCAGATGCACGCTCTCGGCTCCTCTCAAAGTCAGGCGCCAAGGTCTGCCGGTCATGTCCGCCCAGAGGAACGGGGTCTCTTGCAAGTCTTCGGTGTGGCAATGAGTCAGTCAATCAGGACTTTCGGCCGAACGGCACTAAATATCTTAGCATTCGGTCTTGGTCTATGCGAAAGGACACAGCGGAAGAGCACAGCCAGGCCGACTCTGTCTTCGGGGTCACCAGAGTGTCTGTGTGTCTAGCTTGGTAGAGCGCCTCAAATGAATCGACAGCAGGGTTGCCATGGCGCTCAAGGCTTTGTTGTCTTCTCGATCCGTATCCTATATCACAAACTTGCCACAAAGACGGCGTAGACCAACTTGATATGGCGGGTCAGAGTGGGCGTTTTCGGCCTGTAGCATAGTGTGCCATCTTTTCTTCTCGGGAACGCTCTTGTGCGTGGCGGACCATGATCCGCGGTTGGTAGGATCATGTCTGAAGATCGAGGAGGTGCTCGGTGAGATATGACTTGATTTCGGCCTCTCCGAGGACAAGTGTCATTTAATCAGTCACTGTAACTCAGGGATTGCTCATTGACTCGGCAGAGGCTTTTCCATGGTGGGATAGGAGACTGGATGCGCAGAAGATAGATAAGGTCCCACGGATGTTGAAACCCTGAGCCTCGGAACGAATTCAACTTGCCATGTAGACGACGAACTCGTGTTATCAAATGTCGAGTGGCTTTAAGCCAGGAATTCCGGCAACAGCGGCAAACCCCCGACTGTGTATATGGTGAGGCTGTTGCCCAGAGCAAGGAAGCCAGACGGTGAACTATCAAGCTGATTGTCACCGCTTGGCTTATACCTCACTGCTTCGATTTGGATACGAACTTGAAGCAGGACTCGCATAGCTTCGAACGCAGTTTCTGCCACCCCGTCGCCAGAGTAGCTGCGACAGCCCCACGCTCATGAACGGGCGTTGATACCATCAATTGTGTTGCGGACTGTCCCGAGTGTGCAGGACGTCAAGGCTTTGTAACGCGTACCTACCGACGTGGCCGAGACTTCTTGGACAGATGAGGCCATTATTACCTCGCGTTTCGGTGCAAGATGGGTGGTCATCTGTTGTCTTCCAACAGAGCCAGCATGCCTATCTGGCGTAAAAGGAACCACGGGGCTGAGTGTCTTCGTGTGCTTGCGCTGCTCAACTCGCAGACTTCGCTCTTTATCAGTCGCATTCGTCGGATCCTTCGAATATTGCATGTTCATGTCGTGCACACCTTGTTCAAGCTCGTCTATATCATCGTCGGGGTCTGAGAGACAATCATATTCAGTTTCTAGGTCACTCTCGGGGTAGTCAACCATTGGGGCATCGGTGTCAAATCCGTCTTCATTTTCGAATGCTTCTGAGGCGATCTCACGTTGTCGTTGGTTCTGCTCCCAGATCTGTGCACGCATCTCAAGTTGGCGGAAGCTTTCGTCGTCATCGCTTGTTGTAGGTATCGCAATCTCGTCTTGTAGATGGCACCTCTTGGCGGCCCTCGCGTTGTGCAAGTCCAAAGAGGGTGGTCTCTTCATCGCTTTCGATTTGCAGGGCATTTGGGCTTAGGTGCAACGTCGATTTCTATGCTGAGGTTCTGTGTCTCGATTATTCGAGTCGGTCTTGAGGTGTATGTCGGAAAACGTGTTTTTATTCTACTGAGCTCGTACAAACCTGTCCAGGCAGCGAATCCGGCCCAACCTGGCACTCTCTGTGACATTCTGGAAAGACCAATAGCTCTGTTCGATTTGATGGACTTAACAAAGCACAATTCAGTACGTAAATGAGAACTTACTGCTGGTTTGAGTCAGATATCTGGCGATGCAAGGCCGGTGAAAGAAACAATACGGCTCGGGCCGCAAGCGGCGCGAGCCTGGTTATTATGTCTTTGTTGGCACTGATGGCGAGGAACCTACCACTGAACCAGTAATCACTGCTACAGCCGTCACTAGCACCCCCAGCAGTGTCGTTGCCGCCGTTAATGCTGCCACGACCGTGGCGCGACTACCCTTACTGTATCGGCGTCAGTGAAGCCGCAATGACCATCACCATGGGGCCGTCAGTGCTGACATGGAGATCAAAGAACGAATGTAAGAGCTACGGAAACTAATATTTTCCTATATATCAATTGTTTCACATGCATTCGCAGTCTGTTGAGTAGGTAAGCATCATGGCCCTAAAGCTCGACAGGCGCGTGTAGCAGTGATCATCAAGACGGAGAGCGGAAGAGAATCCCCGTCTCACGGCCCAGCATCAAAAGCAAACATGCTCCCGGCGGGGTGTCGTATCCGGCTCACCCTCATATACGACAATATGCTCGAGTATCACGGCAAGGTTGCTGAAGTCCTGGCCAACAGCGCGCTGGCGTTCACGGACTTCACGTGCCTTAATGAGGAGCTCCAGGTATGTGTTGCTTTCCAGCCGCTGTGGAACGAGTAGCTCGGGTAAATGAAGCATCAGGACCTCGCTTCTCAACGTGAAGATGTTGGTACCGTAGAGAACATCAATTGTCTCGAAGTAACTGCGATGGATTGGGCTATTCAGCGAGCGTATCATCTTCAAACCTCGAGGTACTCCGCCTGCTTGCAGCTCACAAAAAACCCCATTATGCCGATCTCGCAATTGTCCGGCGACAGGCTCTCGTAACGATTACAAAACCCGCCGACCCCCAGCATGTAGTTGTCGAACCAAGGGCCTCACCGGACGAACCGCTGAGCCATGCCGGTTTGCGGGAGGTCAGGATGATTCCGGTGACAGACCCAGCTTTCCCAGCGCCATGAATTGTTACTTGCGACATTGGTTTGGGGGTACGATGCAGGCCTGTCCGCTTTGCATACCCGTTCATTATGTTTCTGATGTTGCGTCAATGGTCCGGAGGGATTGGGTGCGTCAGAGGTGAGATCCACGTGAAGCGTCCTTTCGCAGAAAGCTGTCACGAAGACCTTCCGTCGAATATCGGCGGGTAGCTTTGTCAAACGTGAACTTGTCGAAGGCTGGTTCTGGATCTCGTCACGGGAGATGGATCGAAAGCATGGTAGTGTTGGGTAGAGCGGCTGATCACCAGTTGCTTTACTTGGTTCTGAGCCGACCAAATCTTTCCTTGGCCATATACCGAACCCGAACTTTACCATCGCACGTTTGATATTTGACCCGATCACTTGCGGAATGACAACAGTGGCTAGACCGACTAACTGCAAACGTCCTTAATACAAATGAGCAAGGGGTGGTCGCGAGCAAGCCGCTTTTGGTTGACTAGGTACCTGTGAGAGCGAGAGGATGATCAGGACGAAGAGGTCGCCCGCGGGCAATATCCGCAGTCAATTGTTAGGTACGGTGTTAGAACACATCTGAATGCTAGCTCTGTGTGGAGATGAGGGCCTTTCGCGGCTCTTATACAACCGCTCCCTTGATCTCAGCCCCTAAACCAGGCCTCTAATGCCCCCTGTTCCTTGGCTTCACAGATGCCGACAGCAGGGTACCTCACCATACGCATGACGCTAGCGCCACCTTTACCAGATTGCTGAGATACGTAGTCATTGCCTCTCATTATCCACGGATTCCTTGCGTTTATATCATGCGGGAATTTCCGCCATGAGATCTTTCTCGACTCTCCACTTCCAAACATGTACATTCTCGAGTTGAAACTGTTGATAGTGGTTTTCACTTGGTCGATGGCCCTCAAATGATGCCAGGTAGCCTAAGGTATGTGCCAAGTGCCTCTCTTGGTCCTCGGCACACTTGCCCTGTAGAACAAAGTACCGAGCCACAGAATACATCCACCTTTTCTGCACTTGATCCCCTCCAATCAAATCAGCGCCGGCGTCAACAAGGGACCTCTGTCAAAACTACGGCCCTGCCAGAAGTTACCGTGTGGTGGAATGAGTACATAGGGAGAGCTGTCGAGATGAACGTACACGATGAATTATGTGGTAGGCTTTGTTTTCACGGGTGGCCCACCTTCACTTGGTATGATCGGTTCCACGTCTGTAGCTTCATTCAAACCACGTGCCCAAGTGTGTAGTGTCATGCGCAGCGCAAAGTAGAAGTTCCCGTCCAAGCCTTTGCTGCCTCCCCACCTTATTGAGGTTAGACACTACTTGTGTCGATCAGGTCTTCAACGTGAAATGATCGACTCGAAATACGTCCAAGTGACGGTGACATCAGGAGGCATGTTGGCCGCCCAGCAGCAGGGAGTATTTTAAGAAGACCAGGATTGATCGGGCAGACTAAAAGCGCTCCATCATTGAATTGAAGCTCAAATCAACACTCCACGTCGTGCTCAAAATACAGTCGTATTCCCCAAGAGCACGCCACAACTACATCGCTTCTTTTCAACAAGTCATGTCCACATTATGCAGGTCCCACATTTCACATCCGCCCTGACGCAACGTCTCAACCCGTCTACCACTTGGCCTCCTTGCTCTCAGTAAAGGCCTTGAGGATGGCCACAATCTTCTCGAGGGCGGCGAGGTAGGTGCGCAGGTCAGAGGCGACCTTGGCCTCGTCGGAGCCGAGCTTGGCGTAGAATTCCTTGCGGTAGGGCGTGGCGCTCATGGCGGCGCTGAAGATGGGCTTGACGATGAAGGAGTGGTGGGGCTTGAGGGTGTTGCTGTAGGCGGCGCGGAATGAGTCGGCAAGCTCTTCGGAGGGGTTGGCGACGTTCTTGGAGAGGGCGATGGAGGTGAACTCGAGGCCGCTATGTGCGTGTTAGCTTTATTCCTTTGCCCCTTGCTACTTTCCATGTTCTCTGTGACCGTTGGGAGGAGTGGCGTACCGGGTCAGCCAGAGGAGACCCTCGGCGGCGACGTGCTTCTTGGAGGCAATCTCGGCGCGGACGAGGGACTGGAGGTCGAGGGACTCGGCGGGGGCGGCGAGGAGGCGGTCGCGGATTTTCTGGAGAGTCAAAAGGGTTAACTTGAGCTGGCTGGAAGGTGCAACGTCGGCTGCCTCGTATCTAGGGAGGGCTGCACGTACCTTGACGTTGCCGAGCATGTCAGACTTGACGGGGGAGAAGGCCACGGAGCCGAGAACATCTGCGAAAGGGTCAGCATGGTGTTCGAGACCGGCGGAGTGGTTCGGACAAGACAAACGCACCAAAGATGGTGGTCAGAGACTCGGTGGCCTCAAGGAACTCGGCGGTAGCGATGGCATTGTTCTTGTCGGCATCAACTGGGACGTCGACGAAGGACTTCTTGAAGGTGTCGACGATGGTGCCGCCGGGAGGGATCGTGATGGCAGACATGATGGCGGCTGGTGATTGTTTGGCTTTGGAAGGTTCGGGAGATGTTGTCGAGTATGGAAGGATCAAGATGAGGTTGCAATGGAGGGAATCATGGAGCGGTCAAGCTCGGAGAGACAGTCGAGACCGAGACGTTGGAGGGGTCGAGGAGTAGCTGCGGCAATGTGGGGTCGATTGCGTTGTCAGGGACACACAGTGCGCGTGTCGACTATTGACGAAGATGAAACGCGTGAATCACAGTGTTCAGGGTTTCTTGGGACGGTCCATGAGGGGTACGGTGCGCGGAGGAGGGTCCCTGGCTTCCGGGCCAATGGTGGGCACACCATCACTGATGGCGGGGCATCTCGAGACAGTCTGGAGCTGCCCCTCACTAGCAATTCCAGCAGCACCTCATCGTGGCACCACAATGCAAATCGCCATCCTCATCATGGTCGCGAACAGTACATCCTTACCGCGCGGTGATTCCTAGCCGCCAACCAGACCAATGGCTCACGAAGCCAGTCGCCAACACAATGTCAGAACCAAGCTAAACTACTACCGAGACCCTGGAGATGGATCTCCGCCGGTTCCTGTTCTTGTTGGGGGGTAATGCATCCCTGAACCCTGAACCATTAAACAGAGCCTCTCTAACAGCCCTCTTGCAGAAACAAGGTTACCAATGAAAGGCCCACCGTACCTTTCGAGGTGCAGGTTACTGACGTTTCTGGCAACGAGTATCGTTACAGCCTCAATAGCCATGGGTTTCAGTATCTCAAGCACGAGAGCCAGGAAAAAGTCTTTACAGATGTGGCGGCACTGAAAGGTGCATACTACGCCGAGATGGAACAGCTCTACAAAGACGTGTAGGTGTATCAATGTAGAAAGTCGTCGGGAAACTTCACTGACATGACCAGCACTGGGGCCACCCGCGTCCACATTTTTGGGCACCAAGTACGCCGTGGCCCGTCCAATTGGCACTCTCTCGGTGAAGGCAACGCCGCAAAGAAAGGGCCTCTGCATCGCGTCCACGTTGACCAGTCCACGGACGGCGCAGAGCTGGTCCTTCGCAAACACATGCCCGCTGCCGAGGCCGACGAGCTGTTGCGGCGCCGCTATCAAATCGTCAACGTGTGGAGGCCCATCAGGACGGTGTTCAAGGACCCGCTGGCTGTGGCGGAAGCGCACTCGGTGGCTGATGAGGACCTCGTTGCGGCGCAGGTGCTGTACCAGGACGGATCGCGAAACGAGACGTGGGCCGTGCTGCCGTCAGCGAGGCACCAGTGGTACTTCAAGCACGGAATGACGCCGGACGACGTGCTGCTGATCAAGTGTTTCGATTCGAATTTTGAGGATGGGTTGGCTAGGAGGGTGCCACATTGTGCATTCGAGGATCCGGGAGAGTTGGAAAGGGAGGACCGACAGAGTATCGAGGTGAGAGCGCTGTTGTTTTACTGAGGGCCGAGCCATGATTCGTAGTCCCAGACGCGTCGCGCCGACACCTCGAAGGAACACAGAGAAACAGTAAGGGACAACACTTCGGTCAGGTGCATCAGGTCCAGCATGTGCCAAGGGACATCGATCTTGCAAGCCGTCTCCGAGATTGTCGCTTCTGACAACTGAGGGGCATCGTGCTCAGCAGGCAGACATCATGCTCAGCAGGCAGACTTCATGCTCAGTAGGCAGACTTCATGCTCAGCACGCAGACATCATGAACCAAAAAGGCAGGCATTGCACTGCACTCATAGCACCTGCCCACAAGGTGTGTGTGTTCTCGCTCCTCACGCGGGCAAGAGCTGGCCTGTGATCGTATCCGCACTTGCAGCAGCTGAAGGCTGTACACAGTATCAACGGTCGGCAAATCGGCATGGAGGATGTGCGCCGATGACGTCAGTGCGGGAGCTAAAGCCCAAGCCAGTTCCCGCCTTGCGACTGCCATCTCTGTCGTGCATCGTTGTTGCCCCTCATTCCCTACAATCGACCTACCCCGACTGGCTATTACATGAGAAGCAAAAGCAAGCCAAGCTCAGCCTGGCCAGGGCTGCCTCTAGGTTGCCTGCCCGAGTCTGCTTTGACCGACGCGACTTCCATGTCTCTGGGATCTTCCTGCCCCGCGAACGCGCGGCCGCGACAGCCGATCTCGAGCCATGACAAGGCCTAGATCCATCTTGGCTGCCCTCACTTCGCTCGCGTGCTCGAGTTGACACCAACCGCATTGATCTTGGCTTATGTCTTCCTCTGACTATGGCTGAACAAATCCAAGCCATGTCTGTCTCCATTTCAGGAGAATTGGCTCGAAATGGACGCACCCCGCTCTCATCTTGTCTTATCCGTACCAAGCATAACTACCCACGCCCACCTTTTCACCACCCCCTCATCTCCCCTAAACCACATGGGTTCCGGCCCTGTTTTTCGTGCGCTTGGCTGATCACGCCGCCGGATGACATCGCCTCTGGCTCGCTCAAGCTTTCTTTTAGTTTCGCCCAGCCCGTCTCGTCCTCTTCTTTTTCGAGTCAAGCCTCCCGTTCTCCTTGTCGCTCGCCGTTCGCCGTCTTGGAAATCTCGAGTCCTCGCTTCGACCTTACGCGACTCATGATACCCAGATACCAAGGCACCCGACACATGTTCTCGTGACGAGAATCCAGCTGCGCTACAGAGAGGCCACTCCAAACACTGGCCGACCGGTAACCTCCCCTGACCATACGAGCGACGCAGCCATGCCTTCCACCAACGACGAGAATAAGAAGAAGGTCGAGAGCGGAAGTGGCGCCAGCTTTAAGGACAAGCTGAAGGCGCCATTCCAGAAACTCGAGGAGAAGCTCGAGGGCACCCACCTGCATGATGCGAAGATCCACATCACCCACAAGAAGCACCAAATTGGCAAATTCGCCAACCTCGTAAGTTCCGGCTGCCCGTCTTGAAAGCCTGGGCATTGCGCGTCCCCAGAGCTTGGTTGAGCTTGTCTCTGTCCCCACGAACTTGCTTGCAGCACGCCATGGCAATCGGCTTACCTGTCCCAGTTCAACCGCAACCACCGCCACGACGAAGAGCACGAACAAGCTACAGACGACAAGCGCCAGAAGATTCGCGATGAACACCGATATGATTCCTTCTTCCCCGAACGCGACGGCAACATCATCAAGTGGTATATCGATGGCCGCGACTACTTCTGGGCCGTGTCGGAGGCTCTCGAGGCCGCTCAAGAGACCATCTACATCTGTGATTGGTGGCTGTCGCCTGAGCTCTTCCTGCGCCGTCCTCCGCATGACAACCAGCAATGGAGGCTGGATCAGGTCCTGAAACGACGCGCCGAGGCTGGTGTCAAGATCTACGTTACCGTCTATCGCGAAGTTGAGGCGGCTCTGACATGCAACTCGGCCCACACAAAGCACGCACTCCACGGCCTGTGTCCCGAGGGTTCGCCAGGCTATGGCAACATCAAGGTCATGCGACACCCCGACCACAACGTGTTGGAGAATGCAGCCGATATGACTCTGTACTGGGCTCACCACGAGAAATTCATCGTCATTGACTACCGCATGGCTTTCATCGGCGGGTTGGACCTCTGCTTCGGCCGCTGGGACACACAGACTCACGCGCTGGCCGATGTGCATCCCGAAGGTGTAAAGAACGAAGTGTGGCCTGGCCAGGATTTCAACAACAACCGTGTGATGGATTTCAAGAATGTTGACGACTGGAAGCAGAACGAACTGAGCAAGACACGCTATGGCCGTATGCCGTGGCACGACGTCTCCATGGGTGTCATTGGACCTTGTGTTTACGACATTGCCGAGCACTTTGTCCTGCGGTGGAACTTCATCAAGCGCGACAAATACAAACGTGACGACCGATACGACTGGATCCAGCTGGCTGGACGGACGGGCGAGGACGAGGATCTTGTAGGAGTGCAACGGCCTAAGCACCCGGTTGGTGAATACCTCATGCACCCTCTGACACCTCTCGAGACGAAGAACCTTGAGAACCGTGGTACTGTCCATGCGCAGATCGTGCGATCCAGCGACGATTGGTCCTCGGGTATTCTGCTGGACCACTCGATCCAGAACGCATACTCGAAGACGATTCTCGAGGCTGAGCACTACGTCTACATCGAGAACCAGTTCTTCATCACTGCCACGGGAGAGCACCAATCCCCGGTCCACAACACGATTGGCCTCGCCATCGTGCAGGCTGTGCTTCGAGCGGCGGAAGAGAAGCGCAAGTTCCGCATCATTGTCTGTCTTCCCGCGATTCCTGGATTCGCTGGCGACCTCCGTGACGAGGCGGCCATGGGTACCCGAGCCATCATGGACTACCAATACAAATCAATCTGTCGCGGCGAGCACTCGATCTTCGAACAGATCAAGGCCAAGGGCGTGAATCCTCGGGAGTACATCTTCTTCTTCAACCTCCGTTCCTACGACCGTCTAGTCACGACTCCAGCGCTTCTAGAGCAGGAGAAGAAGACGGGCGTTTCATACCAGCAGGTCCAGCGCGCTGAGGCCGAGGAGATCATGTCCGAAGGCATCCACGGCGCCGTGGACCCGACTGGCCACGGAGAGCGAGATAAGCACATGGGCAGCGCGCAAGATCAAGACCCCAACTTAGCGACCCCCGAAGTCGAGAAGGCACTCGATGCGAAGCAGCGATTCGAGGCGGCCATGCCCGAGGGCAAGCTGACGGCCGCACCGTCCTTGGCGCATCATGCCATGGCTGGCAACGAGCGATCACTTCTGGACGAGCCTTGGGACGATGAGGATCTCGAGACCGAAATCCAGAACTGGGTGCAGGAGGAATTATACATCCACTCGAAACTGCTCATCGCCGACGATCGGATCGTCATTTGCGGATCAAGCAACCTCAACGACCGTTCGCAGCTGGGTCTGCACGACAGCGAGCTCAGCATTGTCATGGAAGACAGGGCACAGTTCACAAGCACGATGAATGGTCAGCCATTTGAAGCTGGCGTGCATGCGGGCACGCTGCGACGGTACCTGTGGCGCGAGCACCTCGGCCTGCTACCCGCACAGGGTCTCGACGGAACAGGTCTCCAGAACGCGCAGCCCCCCGGTGAGAAGTCGCCCAACGATCCTTTCGACCGGGACGAGAGCTGGGACATTGTGGCCGATCCGCTGAGCGATGACCTTTGGGAAATGTGGACGTCGCAGGCGACGAAGAACACGGACATTTACCGGCATGTGTTCCACGCGGACCCTGACGATCACAGTAAGTTATGCTTCTTTTATGGCCTGGTTTAAGCCACGGACACTGACATTGGCGATAGTCAAAAACTTTGATGACTACGATCGGTACCTGCCGCCGAAGGGTATCAAATCAGGCCATGTCTACGACTTGTTCATGCCGGCGGAGGACGCGCGGAAGAAGATTGCGCAGATCAAGGGCCACCTGGTGTGGTTCCCGCTGGAGTTCCTCAGGGATGCGGAGATGGCCGAGACAGGTCTGCAGGTCAACCAGTTCACTGAGAGTATTTACACCTAGATTATGCGCATGACGTGGGTTGATGGGGGAATGCATCATGGCGAGTTGCATATGGGACGCCTCAGGTGGTGCGGTGGCGGCACCGTGATGGGCTTCATGACTGGCGTGTTTGGTGTTTTTGGGATCCTGTTTTCCATACCTTCTGCTGAAGAAATTGATATTGTTCCAACCAGGCAGTCTCATACTGGCCCATTGGCGTGCTTCGCGTACTTTGACACGAAATTAGCGGTAGCAAACCCGGCCAGGGCACACAGTTCGTGGGTCACTACCAACGATGCTTTGCAGGTGTTAAAGCCATGGTGGCGGCGAACATCCATAAGGGTATGACTCCCGAAGTCAAGATTGACCTTCACTAATCTCCGCATATAAAAACCACCCTCAGCAATTTCTCATCAAGTTCGACATAACCAATAGCAAAGAAACGAAGATATTGACCCCTCTATAAGATCGTCGATCCTGACCCGGCTGCAAGAGTCCTGCCTACAGCATCCGCAATATGCCCATCCTCTCCATCAAGCAGGTTCAGGTGAGTCGGTTTCCAGCCGATTCAACTTCATTGCTCACATATCCAGGCCCCGTGCGCACTGCACCCTAACTGCCTCAGTGCTCAGAGAGGCGCCAACCCTGGCAAGGAGGCAATGCATCCCGTGAATGAGACCCTAGCCGACGTCGCCATCGAAAATATTATATTTGAGATGACCAGGCAGGGGCCAGTCCTCTCACTGCCTGATGAAGTACTGGACTTGATCCTAGTTGACCTGCCCAGCGAAGACCTCGCAAGTCTCCGTCTGGTCGCCCGACGATTCGTTCCCACGACCACGGCCCTCCTCTTCGCGACTATTTATATCTCGAGCCTGCACCGCGACCGTGACAACTTTCTCAGAATCGCTGCCACAACACATCTGGCCGCTGTCGTTCGCCATGTGGTCTGGTACGAGCTCGCCCAAGGGCCAGCGAATACAGCCCTCTACTCCGCAGTACCCAAACCGCCCGAGCACGCATGCCTGTCTTGCGAATTGCCCTATAACGGCTCCACCGGAATCATGCGCTGCCACTACGCGTTCAGATATGAAGCCAACTTTTTAGGACGAGTTTTTCGCGAATCGAGGGATCTCTTCTGGTGGAACGTGCCTTACCCGCGGTACCCCAGCCATGCTCTCTGCAGCACGTTGAACGAATTCAACAACGCCAAGGTCGAATTCTTCCCCCTCTTCCTGGAGTCGCTGAGTTCGATGCCAAAGCTCGTTGGTATGGCCTCTAAGCCCATGCCATTCCATCGCGACATGAGACTGCGTGGGTCCAACATGTATCCTTACACCCCGCAACTGTTTCATGGAAGCCAACGGCCAAGAACGTGGGATTGGAACCTCGGGCTCAAATTCTTTCTGCTCCCGGCCATGGCGCACTTTTCGAGCCTGCCGACCAGCCCGATCGTCGTCCGCAGACTGCACATTGCCGACGAGACCATTGACACGGTCTGGCCCTTGCTGGGCGAGGAGCTGAGGCTTTCACCCAAGAGTCTCAAGACCCTGACCCACCTGGAGCTGCGTTTGTCGGCGTGTGCGGAAACCCGCGACGAGTTCGGCTACAATGCCATGCTCCAACTTTTGGCCACGGCGGCCAGTCTGACGCACTTGACGGTTAGTTTTGAGCGCAGCGCGAGCAGCTGTTGGGACCTGGACTCGTTCCCGCACTTTCCCAGCCTGGTGTCCGTTGACTTTACCGGTGCCGTTGAGGAGGCGGAAGACATTGTGGCCTTTGTGCGCAAGCACGCCAGGACGCTGCGGCGCGTGCGTCTCGAGGGGTGTTTCCTCGCCCCTGAGGCTCTCCGGGATTTGGCAGCCATCCCGCATCTGCGCCTCGATCGATTTGTCGTACTGCCCTACAAGGGAGACGTTGAGATGAGATGACAGCTGTGGTGATTTTGAGGGGTTGATTCCTGATTTTCTCAGCTTAGGCGGCAGCAGAGACGAGGCGGATACAGCACAATTTCAGCGCTCTGCAGAGTCTATCCAAACGAGGAAAGCGTACGAATGGGCTGGTGATACTGGAGGACAGAAAAATGAACTCGACGGTCCGCTTGAAATAGCGCGTCTGGATCCTTCGCCATATGATGCACGTCAGAGAGGGGGGACGCAATACAGACACATCCAGCCACTTTGACGCAAAAGGCTGGGCGGCAGCTGCCGTCTGCGACTCCCGAGGGGCATTTGGCTCGCGACATTTAGGCCAGGGCTTAGAAGCCCTGGATCAAGATGCGGGCGACATACGCTTCTACCAGGATACGACGAAGAAGCGATGTACCCGGATCGCGATGTCGAGACAGCTCATCGTGAAGCTGTGGCCGTGGATCTTGACCCATCGGCCAAGGTAGCTTCAACGAAGATCAGATTGAAGAATATCGAGGGAAAGGGATGATTCCCTCTTCCAAACAGTGACGACGCCGCTCAGGGAAAGTTTCGTTCATGAGCGTGCAGCAGAAGGGGATTCCCTGGCGCACCCCATAGAGATGTGGCAGTTCTCGTACTGAAAGAGCGAGGATGCATAAGGAGATGAGCCTCTCACGATCTGGGACCACTGCAAGGGTGCAGTGTACGGAGATCAGACACAGGTCACCCCATAGGGTGTGTCGCCCCGGCAGTTCGTTGAGACCGCGCAGTCAGGGGATGGTTGGCAGGCGATGTGTGCACGTGGTTCTCGCCCTTGTAGATACGACCCGCGGGCTGATCCATTTGTTGAGCAGAACGATGGAGTTCACTTGGAGCACCTGGCAGCATGGGCGGAGCGCTGGTAGACTTTTGCAAGGGCGAAGAGCTCGCCGCCACGGGAGCCAGGGGTGTTGTTGCAAAGGCTGGTACGAAGGCATCGTCTTGGGAATACAACTAGACTTCTATACCGCAGCAAAATGAATTAGACAGGCTCATTTGATCTGCATGATTTGGAAAAGGCGATTTCTTTTGGGCCAGGATGTGGGCACTTACACATGTCAACAGGCGGGTCTAACTATCAGACCATGAACACGTTCAGCTATTCGTACGAGCTACTTTCCAAGAATCCAGCAGAAACAAAAGTGCTGTTTATTCGAGATTAGTATTAGAATATTTCATATGTCCGATCAATGGTGGTTGATCGAAAGTACAACCTGCAAAAATGCAAAAAAATGTAGTCCTACCGAGGATTGAACTCGGGACCTTTGCATATCATACTAGCATGACCAGTAGGTATAACTAAGCGGGGTTAGCGGTGGCCTGTGACGGGTGTAAAAGGGCTAAACTGACGAGCAACGTGATAACCACTACACCACAGGACTTTAGAGGTCGCCAACCGAACAAGCCGGCTGCTCTATGTACCCAATTGCTTGATCCATGAACCAAATCTTTCCATTTACACTCGCACGTCTGCGTTTCAGCATGCATTCAATGCTTGAGATGATTTCTTTAGCTGAATGCTTTGTCCTGGACTATTTTGATATTTTCCAGAGCATAGCAATAGCGCTACAGGGGATTTGGCACCATGGCCGTCTCTGGCGTCGATGTCGAGGGTGGGAGCATGCATCACCAACCTCGTGCACGCTGACAAGGTGTCTCGGGGTCACTACCCTCAGAGTCTAGAAATGCTGCAATCTGCAGACAGCCGTGGCACTTCCATCGCAGAAAGCAAATCGCCGCGCAGCGTGACGTGGCCATGCACATGTCGAACCATCGTGGTCCTGTAGGGCTGCAAGGGCCCTGATGGTACAGCGGGTGGGCGCCCCCTGATGAGTGGCCTCCACTGCCGGCAGCCCCTGAACCGCCTGAACCGCCTGAAGCGGGCTACTGTCGGCTCTACCCTTTTTCTCTCGTTCGAGGCAGCCAGACACAGCTTGGAAGCAAACATGCTGTTGGCATCTTATTTGAAGCGACCGACATCTACCATGGCCAGCCACAGCACGGCTTTGGCATATCGTTCTTCGTTTCCATCGTCATACAGCCGAGAACAATGCTCCATCCATTGCATCTCTCCGCACAATATCTGTTTTACCAGATCCCAGCGCACCAGGTAAAAGCGAGCATGCAAACACCTTCAGCAGCCACGACAGCAGCGATGCCAGAAGCGCCTGACACAGTTCGTACTTTGATGCCTTTTCTTACGCTTCCCGAATCCACAGCGGCGCCCTCTGGCATTCAACATTGTGATCTGGCGAGGTCGACTTGGCATCCCCAGGTCCCCCCTGGCAGCTCCCAAGCCTGCTAACAGCAAGGCCGGAGCATGCCGCTGAACGTTGGGACACCGCCGAGACCCGCGCCCGATAAGCGACGATAAGACCTAGAGGAACCACCAGCTAAGCCAAGTGGAGGCCCGTCAAAAAGGGTCATCCCCTCAACCTTGTGATGGACGTCACACACCGTGGTGAGATTGACGAAGCTCTCATAATCCGGCATCCCGTCAGCATACGGCTTATCCTCGAGCCTGACATCGAGGTTGTATTTGGGATCGTGATCCGTTGATTGTCTTGCTGCCTTTTCGACTTGGAACTCGCAACACCACGCAAACCTTGTCTCAAAATGGCGGCCAACCAGAATCACGAATTCACCGAGTGCAGCGTACCTGCAGCAGCGATGGATCAGTACTTGGCGCAGCGCCAGCACATGATCGACAAGGAGCATTCACTCAGGCACGGTGTGTCATCTTTGCAGCTTCAACTCGTTTGGACGGCACTGACACGAGGTAGACCATGCCTTTCGACAGAGGGCATCGCCTCTGGCCAAGAGGGCGGCGCGCATTGTACAGAACGTGCGAGAGCGCGAGCTGAAAACCATCTGGAAGCACGAGACGCGCAATGACATCTTTGGCGGCATGTCCTTCAGTCGTGCGCGCGACACAATCCATCAGACGACCCTGTGGAAGATTGTACAAAGGCTGCCCAAGGGCTCCCTGCTCCATGCACATTTCGAAGCCATGGTCGACAGTAAGTGAATCTCAAGGGATCACGTCCACCAAAGGGACCAAACATGTTGACACACCGGACAGTGCCGTGGCTCGTCGACGAGGCATTCAAGTATCCCGGCCTCGCCATCTTTTCAGACAAACCCCTAGTCGACGAACATGCCCGCGCGTCGGCATTCATCGAGTTTCAATACGTGCCAGATCTCGCCTCCGAAGTGCATCATCAACTTTTCGAGGCCGACTACGTCCCTGGTTCCTACGTGCCGCTCCGGCAGGCGGCTCGCGACTTTCCCGGCGGCGACGCAGCCTTCAAGGCCTACCTTCTTTCGCGCATCACAATCACCGACGAGGAGTCAACAGAATACCACTCCGGCATCGACGACGTGTGGCAAAAGTTTGCGTCAATCTTCCCCGTCCTCAACGGCATCGTCTTTTACGAGCCCATCTTCCGCACCATGCTGCGACGAACCCTCGAGCACCTCCTCCTCGACGGCATCCAGTACATCGACCTCAGAATCGCCTTCCTCTTCAAGTGGACGAGGCAATCCGGCGAGCCGGGCCATGTCGAAGATCTCATCCGCACGTTCCAGGACGTTCTCGAGTCGTTCCAAGCCGCGCCAGAAGGCCGCAAGCTCTGGGGCGGCCGCATCATCTGGACCACGCTGCGCAGCATGCCGCCCGCCGCCATCGAGGCGTCGATGAAGCAGTGCATGGCCCTGAAGAAGAAGTACCCGGCCGTCATCGCGGGCTTCGACCTCGTCGGCCAGGAGGGCCTCGGCCACACGCTGCTGCACCACCTGCCGCAGCTGCTGTGGTTCCGCGCCGCCTGCGACGGCCAGGGCCTCGACCTGCCGTTCTTCTTCCACGCGGGCGAGGTGCTCGGCGACGGCGACGCGCACGACCTCAACGTCGTCGACGCCGTGCTGCTCGGCACCAAGCGCATCGGCCACGGCTACTCGCTGCACAAGCACCCGGAGACCATGCGGCGGGTGCGCGAGCGCGGCATCTGCGTCGAGGTCTGCCCCATCAGCAACGAGACGCTGCGCCTCAACGCCAGCATCATGGGACACCCGCTGCCCGCCATGCTGGCGCACGGCGTGCCGACCGTGCTCGCCAATGACGATCCCGGCGTGCTCGGCCACGGCGTGACGGGGTCGAGCCACGACTTTTATCAGGTCATCCAGGCGTTTCAGAATGTCGGCCTCGAAGGGCTGGGCGACATCGCCGAGACGAGCGTCTGGTTCTCAGCCTTCCACGATGGCCAGGGCGGTCCGGAAGCGATCGGCTATGAGCAGGGCTCGCCTGATGGGGTGAGGCGCAGGTGTGTGGAGGACTGGCGGAGGCAGTGGGAGGAATTCTGTTCGTGGGTTGTGGCTGAGTATGGAGAAGAGTGGGAGAACACGAACCAGTGAGGGGACTAGATATTGGCCCAGAATCTAATTCTCGCATGTTACTACCGAATACTGCAACAATGACAACGTGCTGCCATTCTTGGTGTGTCTCGAGGTTGCTCAAGGGTGGAACGCTGACAATGTTGCGTCCCTACCGTTACGGTCATACTTTGGAGAAGGCGATCATGTCAGGAGATTTGCCATCGTAGAATCAAGTATATCAGATATCGCCGAGAAAGTGCCACATAAGCACTGCTCAAATCAAGCAGTTTCGTCCAAACAATCCAAATAGTCAATTATTCGAAACAATGTCATGTTAGGGCATCATGTTCTCCATCAAAAAGGGTATCCGTTCCTCACACAGCATTCTTCTCCGAAGCGCTGTGCTCAACGTACTCATCCATGAGGCCGACATCAGCACGCGCCTGCTGGAGGATAACGGCATCCTCAGCACCCGTGCGGCTCCCAAAGATCTTGTCCATCTCTTCCAGCGTCACACCCTTCGTCTCGGGCAGGCAGAACCAAACCCAAATGATGCCACCGCCGAGGAAGACAGCAAAGAAAATGTACGTTCCCCATCCCCAGCCGGCGAACATGGCGGGCACGTAAAACGCCACGGCAAAGTTGTTGAGCCAGTTGCTCGACGCGCCAATAGACACGCCTTTGGAGCGGATGGACAGGGGAAAGATCTCGGAGATGAGAACCCACGAGCAGGGTCCCCAGGTAGCCCCAAAGGCGCCGACGTAGATCCACACAAAGACAACGGCGACCCAGCCGGCCACAGGGTTGCTAGCCCACTTGTTGTTGAACTTGGCGTCGATAATGCCGGGGATGACCATGGCAATCCACATGACGATCGAACCGACGATGAGCATTGGCTTGCGACCGACCTTGTCGATGAGTGGCATGGCGGGGATGGTCGAGATGAGGAAGATGACGCCCGTGACACCACTAGCGAGGAGAGCCAGGGTCCCGCCAGTCAGGCCGAGGCTCTGGAAAACGTCCGCAGAGTAGTAAATGATGGCATCGATGCCGCTGTAAATGGTCAGCACCGAACTCTTGGGATCGTTGTTAGACCTGATCAACTTACCTCCATTGCTGGAAGAACATGACGAGCCATGCCGTGGCGACTCTCTTGAAGTGGTCCCAGTTCCGCAGGATCTGCCAGTACTGCGCCATCTCCCTGCGAAGTACGTTGGTGTTCTTCTCGGCAAGACCCGGGAAGTTCTTCTGAAAAACGCGCTGCTCAAACAGAACTTCAGCCTGAATCTCCTTCAGCTCCGTCTGAACAAGCTCATCGCTCTCGGGTAGGTTGCGAAGGTACGAGAGAGTCTTGAGAGCCTCTTCGTCGCGGCCTTGCTTAGCGAGCCAGCGAGGAGAGAAAGGAAGCCACCAGATACCGACAGCCAAGAGGACAGCTGGAATTCCCTGGATGTACGAAGGGAGGCGCCACGCAAGATCGGTCTGACCTTGGCCGATTCCTCCAATGTAGTTGCTACCATAGCCAACCCAAAACGAGAGCATGATGCCGAGAATGGTGCAAAACTGGTAGAACGACACGATAAAGCCGCGGAGCTCAGGAGCAGAGAGCTCAGCATTGTAAAGCGGTCTGCAGTCGGTCAGCAGTTGAACGCGTCGATCATACTTTATTCATCACTTACCCAACACCGCTGAAGGTTCCGACACCAATACCGGTGAAGAAACGGCCGGCATACAGCATCTCGGGCTTGTGGAAGGAAGCACCCGTGTAAAGGAAGCTACCAAGGATGACCCAAAGACAGGCCGAGAACATGGTGTACTTGCGGGAAAAGACCTCGCCAAAGATTCCAGCTGTCACAGAGCCGAGAATACCTCCAAGTTGAAGGACAGAGGTCAACCAGCCCTTGGCGCTGGACGACTCAACAACAGTGGGGAAGTTGTCAATGAAGCGCGTCATGACAAAGGACTGCCCGAGAACACCCTGTTGATAACCATATTCGAAGCCTCCGAAGCTAAGACGTCAAGTCAGCACGTTGATTTTGCCACCGGTCCAAAGGCTGTTGTGCCACGGGTGAAGATACGGACGAGATCCATCACGACTAAGAAAGAACGTACGATGCGAATAGAGCAATGACAATAATCTTGGGATTGCTTTTGAGTGTCTTCCAGCGGTTCTCGAAAGCGAGCTCAGTACGCTCCTGAGCCGCAGTCTTAGGCGCGTTGCTGATGACAGCCATGCTTGCCTATGTTGCGATGATAGGGGCCGAGGCGAGGATGGCGCTGGTGACGAGGTACCAGTGATGGGCCGACTGTGTTACTTGGAGGCGCGGGAGGCAACCGGATCCGGAGTCCAGATGAGCAACTTCTGACTTTATACTTTCTGCTGTCGAGATTCGCTTCCTCCCCGCCTGGGTCAACGGTGTTTCGTCCGCACCATGAATTGGCCTGGCGCCTGATGGTGGCCCGGCATTAGGTAACTTTACTCCACCAGGTGTGAAAATTGTCTTCCCCGTGGTGCTCCAGATGCTCCACGGTTCCCCAAAACGTGGAGTTGCCCACCGAAACCCAAGGTAAACATGCCATGGTGCTTTTCCAATCCCCGCGTCTTTGCTGATGTTTGACCAATGACGGGGTATCGAGGGGTGCAGTGAATGACACTGCAACCCAAAGAACCTGATCTGGGCAGGGATGAGTCGGGACGCCTGGTGGTGCTGATGGGGGAAGTCTGTAGCCTACAATGCCGGGCAAAATTTCAATAGCCTATTGCTGCCAAGCGGAGCTAGCTTTTCTTAAGCTTGCAGGAATGCTTGTCCAACGTCGTTTGGGCGCCCTGACAGAGTCGTCAGCCTGTAGCCTATTATGTCCCAAGTCGGCTAGTTCGCAGCATCGGCAGACGACTCGGGGCTGTGGCGATCAATTCTAGGTCCTAGCGCTTGCGAGTCTCGACATCCCAGCGACCAACATCGGTGACAAGGGTGCGTCACCGTCGATCTGTGGGTGATGTGAGAGGCGGGGCTCACGCAGGATGGACACTACCATGGAGTGTCCAGTCTCGCATGGAGATGTGAGACGCACGGCCTCAATAATCAAAATCAATGTCGTGATCCCCTCGAAATGCCTGCCAGATGCCGTTGAGGCTCGCGGTCTCCCGTTGTAGATCCACTCCAGCGTCTCGAGAAATGCGCTGCAGGCACTCTTTGACGGCAAGTTGCTGAGCCAGGTGCGTCACCTCCTCGGCAATCAGCAGCAAGGCGCCGATGATGAGGGGATCCCATTGCTCTGTGTAGGTATTCCACACGGCGTTGCCGGCGATCTTCTCCGAGTGCCAGCTTCGCGATTCAAACGGTCGCCGAGGCCTGATAGCCGCCGACAGGCCAGGTCGAGACTTCAAGAGTAGTAGGCACGCCAGATGCATGTTGGTGTTGCTCTGCAGGGAGATTGGACTGCTGTATATTGACACGGGGAAGCCCGGGTCGTCTGTGGTCAGGGCTGCTGCTTCGAGCGCCGTGGTCTCGAGGATGGGAACCGCGTCTTGGGGCCGTGTTTGGTACCAGTGGGTACAGACGGCCCAGTACGCAGACCATGCGGACTCGAAATCAGTTGATGCATCTGGGGTCTGGCCGACGAGTGGGCCCAGGTGTTCAGCGGGGAATACAGACGGTCTGCTATTGACGAGGTCGATGCATCTAGCAAGATGGCAGATGCTGGCAGTGTGCACGTCCTCGGGCGACGAGCTGGATGCAGCCAAGGATTGACGACGGCGAACCCAGGACAGAAGATGTTCTGAGAGAGGCCTGCTGGTGCGGAGGGAGTTTGCTAGCTCTGACGAGTATGCTCCATTAGTACGCCTCGCCACGCGACAACCTCAGGAGGTTCTCGTGCCAATACTCTGGGTTGACCTTACCTATCTTGATCTGAAAGCGGACCAGTGATTTGAGAGGCTCCTTGTCGCTATGCAAGAAAAGATCAGACGGTTCGATGTTGGGATGGCGCACCATATGGTTCGGCCACCGGGAGGGCGGCCTGCCAAAGAACCCTCCCAGTGTCACCAAAGAGAGTCCAACATGGGCTACTGGTGCGTCCTTCGTCGAAAGCTCGTCTAGTAATTCTCGTTCCTTCTCGCTCGTGTACATCTCCGCCGGGGGGTACAGCGAGGGGAACATGGATCGACTCTGGACGACCAGTGCAATGGCTCGCACTATGACATCCTCTCTCTGGGCCAGCTCCAGGACATCGACGGCAAAAGTGGACCGCGGTGCGCTTGAATCAACAATTGGAGCAATGTCGTATCGAAAGCTACGGAGGATGACAGCACGCTCCGCAGATTGCGCAGCAGTTGTATTCGCGAACGCATGAGGCGTTCCCACGTGGGCCGGCGTGAAGACTTGGCGGGCAGAGGCAGCGCCTGGCGACATGCTGTACGAGGCGGAGGCATTGTCAACGTGGATGCGGCCATGGTGTCTCGCAACTGTCTTTCGCGTTGCTGCCTCGCCGACAGATGCTGACGATGGGGAGGATCCGCGTCTTGGGGTCGGCAATGGTGGATCTGATGATTCGTGTCTGGCAGGATGACCCAGATGTCCGTTGGGCGACCCTGCCGGCAACGTCTGCACATCGGCGACCCAGGTCAATGGCTTGTAGAGGCAGGTCACATTCCTCTCCTGGCAGCTGCCACACGAAGGCTTCTTTTCGTCACCTGAAGTGAAGATGAGGTCAATTAGTGGTGGGAGACAAATGGCGGCACGTATGTCGCGTCGGTTGTACCCGAGATATGGATCACGACAGGAGCTTACATTTCCGGTGCCGCTTTCGACAAGGGATGCAACCCCTACGCGAGCGTCGTCTGATTTCCGGAGGAGCTCCTGTGATAGACGCTGCAGTCTTGTTGGATGGATCCGCTGCAGACATGGCGCAAGCGGATGAGGTGTCTGGGAGTGAGAGGCGATGTTGCTCTGTGATAGCCTATGCTGAAGTTCCGAGGATGAGAATTGTCCGGGGGCAGTGAGAATCCTGTGGGGCACTCAGGGAGGGCAGAGGGGAACGAGCCCGGCAGGAGCCGACCTGCCCTGGAAGCCGAGAAACAGAGGGGAAAGGGTAAACAGAGGGCCTAGGGTCAGTGAGATGTTTTGGCGCCAGTGGCTAAGTAGCGCTAGCGCTGAGGGCCTTTCATCTCTAAGGTATGCAGGCACCTTACCATCTTATCTACTTGGTTGCCCCTTCCCAAACACCCGCCGCCAGCCTGCCTGCTGACATTGCTACCACCAGCTACCTTACCACCCCAGCTTTCCACCACCAGCAATCATCATCGCCAAGCCCCATGATCCATTGCGCCTTGCATCAAGATTCACCATCCCTATCCTTCTCATGACGACATCAGATGAGATGGACGGCCTGTCCGCCGACCCACGGTTCCTCGAGTTACAAGAGCAGCTGAGGGACGCTGTCTTTACTGGATTATCCACGCTGAGTCCGAGCCGCTGGGCGACGCCAGAACCCCAAGCGACCCCCGCTGCCCCCCACGACAACAGCGAACAGCAGCGGAAGAATCGACGTCTGGACTACGCCAGCACCAGCATTCCCCAGGTCCGCCTGATAAACTACCTTCGCAACTGGGTCACTGAATGTGCACCGTACCTGGACAAATTCGATGAGGCCCGGCATTTTCAGATCCAGGTGCCCATCCTGGCACAGAAGTCACCGGCACTCTTCTACGCAATTCTTGCCTTCTCAGCCCGCCAGATGGAGAGACGGAACCCCTCACTGCCTGAGAGCTACGACAGCCTGGAGCTGTACCAGCAAAGCATATTGGCATTGGGCCCCAGCCTGCAGGCGAAGGATCCAAGCATCCTTGTGACCGCATGTATCCTTGCTGTCTTCGAGCTGATGGCTGGCAGCTCCAAGGACTGGCGTCGGCATCTAGAAGGTTGCGCTGGACTCTTCGAGTTCTTTGGGGTCAACGGCTTCTCGGGCGGCCTACCTCAGGCCGTGTTCTGGTGCTATGCTCGGATGGAGGTTTGTGGCGAGATTATCTCCTCCGGGACTGAGACAACCATGCTACCGCTCGACAGATGGATCCCCAGACCGGACAACGCCGCAACCCATGTGTCGCTCGAGGAGTCTGGACATGCTGTCGACACCTACGTTGAGGAGCTCTTCTGGCAACACAGCCAAGGTTCCCGCGACATGTACGCCAACTGGGCTCTGTATCTCTGCGCCGAAGTGTGCAACCTGCGATATCGACTCGTCCGCTACCTTGGTCTCGGAGAACAAGACGAGTCCGACAACAGACCATTTACCAAGCGATGGGAGCAGCTATGGTTCAGGCTGCAAAGGTGGTACGACCGGCGTCCTCGTCCCATGATGCCCATTATAGACGCCAAAGCAAAGACTGCAGAGGGCCATCTTTTCCCCACGATTCTCTTCTCTCACTGGGCCGCCATATCGAGCAACCAACTCTATCATGCCGCCTGCATCCTCATGCTCGAGATGCGCCGCTCGAACAGCGTCACGCCCGAGTTCTCCGCTGTGTGGCATGCTCGCCGAATCTGCGGCATATCGGGCTCGAACCCCCACCTTGGCAGCTTGATCAACGCTATCCAACCTCTTTACTTGGCCGGCAAGATCTTCACCCACGTCTCCGAGCGTCGCGAGGTCGCCAGAATTCTTCTCCATATCGACCAGGCTACTGGTTGGGGCGCGCTCTGGCGATTGAGGGATCTGGATGCCGAGTGGGGCTACGAACCCGACGAGATGTTGAACATGGTGAGAGGTGGTGCGACCTCCCCCACAGCCGTCGCGTAGAAGCTACCGATTCGGTATGGCGCTTTCTTGTTTGTTGGCGTGGTCGCCAGTCGCATCGCCCACCGCAAGCTGGAGCCTCAAGTAGGCCAACGGCCCCACAAGGGGTCCAGCATTTCGTGAATGACATCGGTCGTCACGCCCCAGCAAGAAGGCTTGGTGACACGGGTTGGTTGATACCTGACGCACGGGATTAAAGAGGGCATTTGCCTCGCATGCAATGGCCCTTCGTCTCGGATCCTGAAAATCGGTCTTCTAAATACCACCAGACTCGTCAATCCGACAGAGCGACACCACTCCAGACTATCATCCTGCATTGAGAGAACACTCGTCACATACGTCACTCACGATGAGCGCCCGCCGACCCGTCATCCACGTCTTGGGATCGTTGAACCTGGACCAAGTCTCCTATGTCTCCCACCACCCACATCCAGGCGAGACCATGACGGCCTCGGGCTTCGAATCAGGCTGCGGAGGCAAGGGCGCAAACCAAGCCGTTGCTTGTGCCAAGCTGTCACGGACTAGGACCCTTGAGGACCCCAGTGTTGATGTATTCATGATTGGGGCCGTAGGAGGAGATGTCGCTGGGTCCAGGCTCAGCGAGAGTCTTGCCTCGTGCGGTGTGGACACCAGCATGGTTCGGGTTAATGACTCTGGCGGCGAAGACTCTCAAACTGGCATCGCCGTCATCATCATCGATGAGTCGGACGGCCAGAACAGGATCATTCTATCTCCCGGCGCGAACCGCTTCGTTGGTTTTGATCACGTCCAGCAATCTGTTAGCCTCAAGCCGGACCTCCTGATTCTTCAGATGGAAGTTCCCGCGCCCACTGTTCTCGACAGCATCCAGGCTGCCAAGGCTGCGAAGGTTCCCGTTCTTCTGAACCAGGCCCCTGTCATTGCATTGCCTTCTGAGGCATATCAGGGATTGGATCATCTGATCCTGAACGAAACCGAGGCTGCGCTTGTCGCTGACGTGGCGGCATCTGAGCTCGAAGATCCCTCGTCACTGGCCACTGTCGCCAATCAACTCTTGCAAAAGGGCGTTAAGAATGTTGTTCTCACATTGGGTGCCCGCGGTGTGTTTTATGCTTGTGAGAGTGGCGAGAGGCGGCTGGTGCCGGCTCTCAAGGTTGACGCCATAGACACAACGGCGGCTGGGGATACTTTCATCGGAGCCTACGCTGTGGCCTTTGCAGAGGAAACGTCACGGCGTGAGCATTTCAAGGTCGGGGACGCCGTTGCGCGAGCTATCAGAGGATCAAGCATTACTGTCTCCCGTCGAGGAGCTCAGACGTCAATCCCCTGGAGGAACGAGTTGGAGGAATTGGAGCTAGAACACCAAGATCTCGAACTTTTAGCTCAATTGGATAGCCGTCGTATGGCACTTAGGACCGTGTGAGGGCTGTCACTAAGCCCCTTTGGGGCCGACCGTAACACCCACGGCTATGCCTGGGTGCCCGAATTTGGCCTCAGTACATACACTGACTACCGCCTGCCACGATAGCTTAGCTTGTATCTAGGCAGGTACTTTCTCAGTTCACTAATGCCAACTGGTATATCTGTGAGAATCGGTAACGGAAAGACATCCTGATTACTGTTCGCTTTGGCCTTTGTCAATTAGCGACATGTATTTCCTGCCACTCGGCTGGCGCTCATACAAGGTACTGAGGCCAAACTCGGACACTAACCTGGTGAATCACTTCTTCTCCCTTCTGACATGACATTGTCCCATACTTTGTTCGAAGTCTTTGGTCCGCAGCTGTAGTCGTGTTCCCACAACTTCATACCGTGCCTTGGACGAAGTCAGGAGCCTGTGCAAATTGGAACCCTTTGCTTCGCCAGGTTCAATCATTGTTATGGGGCTAGATATTAAAAGATAACTCTCGCAATGAGGGGCATTTGGACCTGAGACCATTGGAGTTTGAGGCACCAAATCCACAATTTCCCTGGGTTACGTTTACTATTAACGTCTTCGACGGTTTGGGTATGGCAATGGCTGCAGGCAATTTGCTGCACGTCCCGAAGATCGTGGATGGGGTGGCATTGCGTTGATGTGCTGTACAGGTATCCGATGACAGCGGTTCCCGACTCCTGTCTACTCCAATGTCATATTTGACGTGGAAGATTTCAAAGTCCCTTGAGTGCAGGAAACCACAGTTTTAAGTCAGAGGGACTAAAGACAGCACGTTGTTTACTAAGGCAACTACAGAATCTTTCAGCACATCGAAACAATGAGAGAGTTTAAATCTTTAAAGGGTAAGAGAACGACGACTGCTGAATTATGACGTCTCCCTAGCTGTAAATTCAGAACTACTCAATCATACAGTCATCGATCTTGGTACATTGGGCCATGGGCTGGGGCGCCATATCCACCTCGCGCCTTAGGCCCGAGCATCCCCGCCATCCAGAGTTGTGTCTCTTTAAATTTGGACTCTTTATCTTCTACTTGTCCTAGAGTACTTGCCACATCACCAACATATTGCACGGAAGACCAAAGGATCACTGGTCCTCACTGTCTTTTTGTCCCGCAACGCCCCATGTCTGCCCCACCCACGACATAGCCATTTCTCCTTTTGCTAAGCACAAAACAAAAAATTTATCCAAAAACATACAACATCGGGGATTCGCTGGTGGTCACCCACCCAACTACTAGTCCAACCCTTACTGGCTTATCTATGGGAGAGCGGACGGGATCCCGAGTTTTCCAGTAGGTATGGTCGTATGTGGTGGTTGACTGGCGTTTGTCCGATCATGATGCATTGAACTACGCCTCAGATTGCGAGAAGAGTGGTGAAACTTGGGTAAAATCAATGCTATTCGGCTTAAGGAAACCCCTAGACAACCAAGCAGAGATCAATAGTGATATATCTGTATGGGCTGCTAGCATCTTATTCTAACATATATAGTTAATAGCAACCTAGCCGTAATCCGGCAGTTCCTCCCAAAGGTGATCCTCCATCCCACATCAAAACATGCCACAACAAATCAAAGGCATAAGACTGCGAGAGAGAAAAAACTTCTATGAGTAGGTGAGCAATAAAGAATAGCAATCACGAAAGTTCGAACAGTGACTTTAGTCCTTAAGAGCCTTGTCACAGAGTCAAGCCTCGGACACCATTTTTGGCGTAAGCAAATGAAGGCATCGGGTTCGAGTGAGATGCCTGAAAATCTTAAGTCCGGTAGCAAGGGAGTTTCCGTTGATGCTACTCTTGAGAATGAGATACCGACTACTCACGCTCTTGGTGACCTGAGTCCTGCTTCCACCAAAAACGATAAGTGTGCCGCAATAGCTAGAACGGAAAGATATTGGACGAACAGATTGGATATACAAGGCTTCTGGCATTATGAATTGCTTCAAGAGTGTTAAGCTGTTCAAGTTCACTTCCCGTGCTTAGAATTCGCCTCATGGCCTATTCCAGGCCAGCATTCAAAATGCTGGATAGCTATTTGGGTAGTTTCCATTTACTTGATTTATGGGCATTCAAATTACAAAGCTTCACGATCCCCATCCCCGTGTTTGATGTCACACCCCCGTATTTTTTCATCCGCTATCTTGATATCACCGAAAGTAATTCCCTCAAACTTCCTCCAATGCTGGTGAGATGTACACTTATGTTACACTTCCCCTTGATTTATTCTCTTCTTCTGCTTCCCTCGCTTCAAATACTGGGCTGTACAACGGTAGATGTTTAGGAGCCTTGCGAAGAGTGACGAATTGCAAGTGTCGGTTTATGATGGCGGTTCCTTCATTTTACTCCTCCTGTGCAACTTTCACCATGAGTACCTAGTAGATTTGGGGAATTTTATGATGATGCCCTATGGGCCGATTCTGTATGATATTGTGACCCCATAGGAGACCAGGATTGGTCTACCAGGTAGATTTTGGCTTCACCCTCGTGGCTACCCTCAAGATGACGCCCAGGGGCACTAGAGAGGCTTGTCAACACGTGAACGTGCGGATGCTAAGGCGTGCCAATGCCAAAGAACCGTCGAGCCGAGCTCGCGATGAGGTGTCAAAGTGTTGGTTAGAGCAGAGTGAAGAGGTCTTCCGCACGTGGTCCGCAGGCAAAATAGAACATAGGTAAGGGGGTAAGGGTATATCTGAGTTCTGGCCCTCCGCAGTTAGGAGGCCCGCAGCCTCTATATATACGTTTCTCGTAGCCCTTAGCCCCTGGCCGACCCCCTGCATGGCGGCTCCGCAGGGTCGCCTGACACGACTTTGCGTTCCTCTGCCTAGCATAACCCGCCGCCCCCCCCTGATCCCGCCTGGCCTGTGTCTTACGCCATCAACAATGGGTTGCTAGAGTTCAAGCGGCCATCTACGATGCGGTCCCGACCAGTGTGAATATCAAAATGAATCGTCCAGCCGTCGTCCCGGAGGTCGCCGTGAAAGCAGCCGCACTCTTTGCGAGCTATGGGAGCAGCCCAGATGTGTTCCTCGACGTGGTGTTCCTGGTCAAGGGTGCTGAGCCCAAAGGAAAGCTGCCTATTTACATGGCGTCCTCCGATCAAGCCGTTGATGAGTCTTTCGAGGATCTGCCATTTGACACCAAAGATGCTCTTTTCAGATTCGGCTATGGATTGAGATATAACGTCCCGGCCTGTATTCCCAGCCCCCAGCCTACGAAGAAAAGTCCATAGAGCCAGAGACAATGGAATCGATAGCAAGTAGTACGATGATTATTCCAACATCTTGAGACTTGCAGCAGACGAGCCCAGAGTTGAGCTTTTCGTGCAAGTGATAGTGACCGTCATAAAACACCAAGACCTAGCAACCACGAGATACGTGGCAACGGTGCTGTCTTACTTCAACAGCCTTTTATAGACTTGGAAGGGCCGAGCACCCTACATGCACCCACATTGGCAACAGAGATTAGCCGCAGTCCAACAAACTACTACGACCCTGTGCGACCGAAGTGTGCCCTGCTTGTCTGCCGACTTTTGCTGCCTTGTTACGCAAGCATCGCAGCTAGAAGTCAAGTAAATAACTTGACCGAAAGTTTAAAAGTGTATTTCAGACATATGGAGTTCTTGGGTCGATGCCCAGCTATTCGTTGAGACTAGGCAACATCCGAGGTCGTATCTTGCCACTGGTACTGAGACTACTCAGGCATGCACATAGAGAAAACTGACCAAATGCGGTGTACTTGTCGACAGCTCCCTGTATTAATTCAAATGCGTCAATTGAGTCTTCAGAAATCCGCAGAAGCTCTCGAAGACAGACAACTCGAGACCCTCTCTCCATCGGCACGATACCACCATGCCGGCCCTCCTGATATCGATGTCAATCTCGAATCCAAGCGCGCAGAAACTTGAGTCATGATCGCCATCTGGAGCTTTATTCTTCCCTCCTTCCTGTTCTCTCGCTTTCTTGCGCCGCCAGGCTCGGCTCCAGACATTCTCCCGTGCGCGCCCCGTTCCGCGGAGTTTGTGCTTATCCCACGCCCAACATACGAGCTCGAGCGAGGTCATGAGCGAATCGACCCTCTCAGCTACTGCGCCGACACCAACATCCAGCGGAATGGTAAGAATCTCGACCTCGTTACTCGGCGGAAAGTATCTTTTCCATTTATCAGCTTTCATGCCCCTCGACGCGTGTGCTGATGGCCTCATTGGTGCAAAGCTCCATGCAACCGCCCATCGCCTCGTCTTGTTCCCCTGCACGAACTCGGTGACGGCGTAGTTGTTTATGCCGTACTCGCGCAGCTTTTCTACGATTGTCTCAAGGCTGGTCTGCTTTCCAAGCATGGACGTGTACCACTGAATTGCGTCGCGGAGGGTAAGAGACTCTTCGAGAATGCGCGTGACGAAGGCAACTTCGCCGCCGGGTGTGACCATCTCCACCGCGGCGCCCGTGCACGCCGACAAGGGAGGACGGGATTTCTGCTTCGCAGAGGCAAGGAGGTCGGCGTCGGATTCGTAGAAAGGGGGATTGGTCATTGTGAAGTCGACGGTCGCTGGATGTGCTGGGATGAGGGGGTCTGAGCTTTGCCGAGAGATAACCTGAATGCGATGCTGGACGTGATTTAACTCAATATTCTTCTTGGCGAAACTGAGGCTCTTGGGATCAACGTCTAGGCTGGTCAGTCAATCGGCCGCAAGAAGAGGGGAGGCGTACTACCGGTTGCAATGAAAGACCAGTTGCGCTGTTGGCAAGCAAGTAGAGGGTAGATGCAGCTTGCCCCGGTACCAATGTCGAGGCCCGTCACCTTTCGGCCTCGCTCGGCATAGGATGAGCCGTCAATGAGCTCCTTGAGCCATAGGATGTAATTGTGGCGGACGGGGACCTGTATGTGATTAATTGGAATCAATGATGATGTCTGCCAGTGTCGAACTTACAGGAGGGCATAACCTGTCATGAGGAAGTTCTATCTTAAGACCATAGTCGATTTTGAGCAGCGTTTTGGTAAGCTGCATGACAGCAGCTGGATTATTGAAGTTGAGGTTTCCACTGCGAAGCCTGTCGTCGTTAGTAGTAGTAAGAATGCATGTTACTTGGGCAGGTCTACCTACAGCAGGCCAAACTCCGGATCCTCACGGCCAAGTTGTCTGAAGTCAAGTTCGCTCAGATACAGGTCGCGAAAATACGTATCGGCGTCAACTCCAGGCGCGGGACGTCCCCTCAGGAGTCTCGTGCCGTAGGTCATTGCACCATGTCTCGAACCATCGGCTGGATGACTTGACGTGGGCTCCCCATCACTGGGCTTCTTTCTCTTCGTACCGGTCATTTCTACAACAGTTGGCAATCGCTTCGCGAAGTTGATGTTGCCTTTTGGCTTCTCGACATGGTCGTGTATTTGCGATGTTCCTGAGAAAAACTTCTGGAAATGGTCAATGGTGAGCTACCCCGCCAAACCCTTCTCTGGGAAATGGGAGGCCCGTGCATCCACCAAAGTGCTTTGCCAGTCGCCATCTTCGTAGACACCAGCGAAGGATCAAGTTTGGTAATGTTCTTAGGCAACATATACACGAGTGCCTAGAATAGCCGCAGTTCATCTGTTTCATGGATGTCGCTCCCCCAAGTTTCTGTCTTTTCAGAGCAATCCCCCAATCAGCCTGCACTCAACACATGTCAATACCACGAAATCTCTCTAGCAATTCCATGCGGTGCGTCTCATACGAGGAAAAGCTCAAATAAGGAGTATGACTCCAATGTAACATGTCAAAGTGAGTGCGCTTGGTTTCAAGTTCGAACCAAGCTCCTGCAACCACATCACGTAGATAACGTGAGAGATCAGTCTTGCAAAACATGGGTATCATTCGCTTCTTATAACCTGTGGAGGCCAACAAACAACCGATTAAGTGCTCACACGGTGCGGCTCATGCAACCTTCGACAAAGTTCTCTCGAGGCAGGCACGACGGGGACCTCACAGCTCTGATCTTCCATGGATTTCCGTTCTTTGCCGCCCATGTCAGTTCTCAAACTGAGGCAAAGGAAAGTTGGCGAGTCCATCCTCATTTGCATCAAATACCTGGTCGATAAGCCCATGAAACGGCTGCCGCAAGCGTAGCAAACACACTGGCCACGCCTAAGCCCCACGGCAGCACGACCCCCAGCATGGTGATACTCGCCGTGGTCGAGAGAATGCCGCCCGAGGGGGCATAGCCGTTGTACATGTATGACTGGAATGCAGCAACAGCGACTCCTTTTCATCGAATCAAGGTCAGCAAGAGAACAACATGGGTCCCGGGGTAGTGAGCACATGTCGACATACTCACCTGCGCTAAAGCCAACGAAACCAAAAGCAACGCCAAGGACAACGATGCTCGCCATGGCAAATGTTGCTACCCATATCATAAACGTGGCCACTATGTCTGATTCGTGAGCTGATAGAACGTCATGGACACAGACAGCGGCGTGCGACCTACGAGGTTCTGAGTACCATTCTGTCGGTGAACTCCAGATCTGCTGGAGTGGGTGGCTGGCACTGAGCGCCACTGGATCAGGATGGCATCCGGGGAACAGCCATGCCGGTGAACGAGCCATCAGCACATGGCCTGTGGTGCACGACGCTGCGGGGCTCGGGATTATCATCGTATTGGGGTTGATTCTTACAAGTTGACGCTTCCATTCTTTCGTGACGAGGCGGGGGGAATAAGCTGAGTATATGGGGACTGAGCCAGTTACGGATCGCGCGGAATGAAATATCTTGGCGTCTTCAGATGATGATCGCCACTCGGTCGAAGCCATCTGCGGTGTGACTTGAGGTGTCCGGTGTTTCCGGGTTGGCCGGATCATCGGGCTCCCAGATCGTCCGTTTAGGTTCAGCGGGCTGGGCTGATTCCCCTTCGAATTCGACCACACGTCAGCACTGCCTTTTGACAGGTGCATACTATTTTGCAGTGTATGGATGCTCTTGAAATGCCGTATATTCGTCATGCGTCGACGCTAAACAGGGTAGATATCCAGAATGTCTCCATCTAGTCCGCTGCCTCAATCGTGTCATCATATCATCCAGCGTCCCCCATCAGTGATAAATCATAAGTCATTGCCCAGAATTCACTGCCCCAGAAGCAATACCCGCCACCGCCATCCGTCCAGGAGTTTCAGATCCTTTTCTTCTAGTAGACCGTCGCCCTTTTCGATCCTTGATGAAAGCTTCTTGAGCCTCTTGTTGACCGTTTTGGCCACCAACAACGTCACCTCGTTCGAAAAGACATATAGCACGGCAAAGACAAAAAAGGCGATACTCGCAATACTATTGCGACCGAGGACAGTGTCCTTGATTTTCGCCAACAAGGCGCGCGTTCGAACGAAGGAGTGCTCAGTATCAGTCACCGACTTGTCCTCTTTCTTCTCCGATGATGAGCGGCGAAAGATAAAGTTGACAGTAGGAATAATGGTCGCGCTGCGCCTGTTGGTAATGGAACCCCAAGTTTGAGGAGAGGAGGACGTACACAATGCTGCCGATGAGCCACTTCCGCCACCGGTGCTTCTCGGCATCGCTAATGAGGATCTTGACCTCCTCTCGCAATGTTCTCAGGTCAAAGCTCGCCTTGTTCAACTGCATGCGATACTGCTGTTCGAGCTCAAGGGGCACGGGTGTACCACCGAGCCGCTGCCTGTTCTTTTGCAGGGTGTAGAGCTCGCCAAGTGCTTCGAGGGTCTGTCCTCGAACATAGCGGATATCTTGGGGGGACGTGACCATGGGCGCAGACAAGCCCGTCTGCTGTTGAGCTAGCAACGGGGCACCAGCCGTTCCATCGTACTGGGATGAGTACGACATGGCAGCTGGCCCCGGCATCTGCTCTACGCTGGGGCCAACGGGACCTGTGGGGGTGGGATATAGGGAAGGGTCGTAAGGCTTGGTTGAGGGGTCATAAGGTTCGGCGGCAGGTCCATATGGCTTGGGCGAAGGATCGTACGGCTTGGAAGTGTCATACGGCTTAGCGGGCGTGTCATATGGCTTTGACGGGTCATAAGGCTTCGTGGTTGATACATTCGGCCTAGGAGACGGATCATATGGTCTGGATGTTGGCGGCAGCTCGCTCGAGCCTTGAGGGTATGCGCCGGAGCCAGATACGGGATCGGGGTAAGACGAGGGCCGATCCCACGGCCTCGACGACGACGGCTCTTCAGGCCCAGCGAAGCCGTTGCCCCCAGACATGGCGTACTGCGAGGGGCCGTCGTAAGGCTTTGCCGACGTCGTAGTTTGGTGAGCGTCCATGCTGGGTGGGGTGACGTGCCCCGTGGTGAGGACTGGCGGTATGCGCTCTTGCGGAGCCTTGGGACCTTAATGCGCGGGGAACGTGGCAGCCGTTGTCAATTCTGAAGGTTGACCTTGGGATATGAAGATATCTCGAACAAAGATGGCGGGGTCGCGGGATCAAGGAAGAGCAAAAAGACAAGACATTCACAGTTGAGCGAGGCGAGGCGAGGCGAAGGAAGACAATGTGGCGTGGCACCGATTCAGAGGGCGATGAATCGATGCCAGAAAATGAGGTGGCAGGCAAGGTCGGGTCAAATGTAGTGGCAGGGAAGCCGCCAGCGGGAAGGGCGGGGCTGTTGACGGCAGGTGGGGTATTACCGATTGGTCTTCTGCTGGCGGGAGGCGGCCAGTGTGTTCTTGCCTCGTCTCTCTGCTATCGCACTGTCCGAAACTTCTTCTGAAGCTGCCAAGTGCGACTGGCCACAGCTCGTCAATTGGACATTTATCTCCCAGCACCACGTACTGTACCCGAACCATGGCCGACAGCAACGCCTCACGGTTCACACCCCAAAACCAGACAGCTACCCAGCGCGTGGCGACAAATACTGTTGGTCTCGTTGCCCTTTCCGACTTTCGCAAGCGACGCGCCGAGGCCATCGAGCAGCACGAGCGTGAAGCCCGCGAAGCTGCCTTTCCTGGCGGCGCGACACCAGACCGATCCGACTCTGCGACACCGGCAAATGCTACGAGCGACTCTGGCGACTCTTCAGCGAGACCAACCAAGAAGAAGAAAAAGAAGAGCAAGACCGTCGGCAGCAAGCTATCTTTCGGCGACGATGAAGAGGACGAGGACCCCGTGACTGTGGGGAAATCAAAGACCGGTGACAACAAGGCTCCGTCAAAGCTCGTTGCGAATACTTCTGTCGGCATTGTCCCGAAAGCCCAGACTAAATCCGCACTACGACGAGAAGCTGCGGAACGAGAAGCGTTGCGACGTGAGTTCCTCGTCATCCAAGAGGCAGTCAAAGCCACCGAGATTGCAATACCCTTTGTATTCTATGACGGAACCAATATCCCCGGTGGCATTGTTCGAGTGAAAAAGGGGGATCACATATGGGTATGCCTTGACAAAAGCCGTAAAGTCGGTGCTGAGCTCGGTGTCGGCGAAAAGGCGAATGCGAGGAGAGAGTGGGCGCGAGTTGGTGTAGACGACTTGATGCTCGTGAGAGGATCAATGATCATACCGCACGTAAGTACAGCAACGCCTTCGTGAAGACGACTTGAATCTAATGGCTCGTAGCATTACGAATTTTACTTCTTCCTCATGAACAAGAGCATCGGCCCCGACGGCGAACGCCTTTTCGCATATTCTGCAGAAGCACCCCCGACGAAAGACTTGCCCACCGATGCGGAAGACGAACCTGTCGCACCCCAGGGTGGGCTTACCACGGCTGCAGCGTTGAAGGCTGCTGCCATCAAGGCTTTGCCTGACATATCCACGTTGGAGGGCTACAACGACGACCCAGCATACACAAAGGTCGTGGACCGACGGTGGTATGAGCGGAACAAGCATATTTATCCTGCCAGCACTTGGCAGGATTTCGACCCGGAGAAAGACTACCAGGACGAGGTGCGCAAGGACGCCGGTGGCAACACGTTCTTCTTTTCGAAATGAGCAATCAACGATTCACAATTTGGATGAACCTGTTCAAACTTGACTCTGCAGACGTCAGCCAAGGTAGAGACACGGCCAGGAAGACCCAACATACTGTGCAAGTAGCTCAGCCGAACAGCAACTTGGCAGCTACAGCCGCACCACAAAGCACCCACCAGCCAGGCCAGAAGACCAGGACTATGAGTGTGTTTACTCCTGGCCCAAGTATGACCATGGCAAAGTCATACTCCATTTGCTTGCAAATCCGCCGGACACGTTTCGACTTCCAAACAATGTTGCAGGCCTTCGCCGAACCGAGCACGATTGATTTCGTCAGGGCCAAGGAATGTGTTGCGATGATTCGTGACGCAAAAAGCGCAGTTGCCGCTGCGTAAGCCGCCAGGAAGTAGGTCCTCGGAATGACAGATAGCCAGACGGCGCCGAGGAGACGTTGGAAACCGAGGGCGAGGTTGACAGTCCTCGCGAACAGAGTGACAAACTCGGACCCCGGCCGGATGACCATAGAATCGAGGGGGGCTATAACGACGGTATTCATGGTGCAGATGACCTGTTGACAACAGAAAGTTCGTGAACAGTCACGGAACCTGGTCCGAATCATAGAAGGAGCATTGGGTCTCTCGACAGGAAAAACTACGACGGGCGGACCTGATGATGCCCAAGACTGTCTATATACCGCACGTCTGCAGCAGCCTCCCTCTGGAAGGACCCCGCCTCTCAACCCCGCCCGCGCCGGCCGTGGCTCCGACTTGTTTCCGTGCATCAAATACGGCACCGGCGGTTAGCCAGCCTCCATGCATGTTTGTGCAGCAGAACCGGCGAATTCAATTCGATTCATCGACCCTTGAGATCATTTTGACGTGAATATACCCCACAGGCCCGGGCCCCCCTGAGGCGAACGACAGCAGCACGTGGGACGCTGATTCGTCGGATTCTCGACGTGCCGTGTTGGCTGGTGCCCCGCGACGCGGGAACGTGGGATGGCGATGAGAGTGATTCGCTGCCCGAGGTGAGCTGGACCAGCGAATGGTCTTATGCTGGGGAGCTATACGTGGGGGTGACTGATGGGCCCCTCAGCCGTTTTCGTTCAGTGAAGAGAATCCGGAGCACCCTGCCTCTATCCTCGGCGTCGACCTTCTGTCGGGTCACATGACACCCTTGTCGGAAGCGACAGCTCTGTATTGAATACAGCGAGCGACTGACCCATAATGCCTCAGGGGAGAACTCCAGACATTCCAGACCACGCGAGCATGGTGGGGGATGCTTGTGCGGTTCTGTGGCACGGTGGAGATGGAGATGGATCCTGAAGTGAATTGCTCCACATGAAGACGGATAATGCATACCCTTTTTCGCATGGTGTCGCCTGGTAAGCGGCTGACGGCTTCAAGAAGGGGCTGGCCATGTTCACTGCTTTCAGACGGAACATGCGTCCACATCATTTCTGCTCGCGCACGTAGCAGCAGGCCAACCATTTTGCCCTTTCTTTTTTATTTCCTTTTTTTTTTCTTTTTTTCTTTTGGAGAGAGGCGAGGCGACCCTAAAAGTACTCTCACCGTGTGCTCAAGTGTTCAATCTGCGCGTTGGCATCGTCACCAATGAGGCCGGTCGTAATCACAAGTCAATCTCTCAAAGCTCACAGCCGGAGCCGCCCGACGCACCAGACCCTCTGCCATTTCGGCCGAAATTGCAAAGAGGGGTCTCTTTTCCTCATCCAACGCGCCCTTTGTTCGACAGCCTCGGACCCTGGCAAGCATTCGTCAAGCTAAGCTTTTTGACCGTCGCCCTACGGCCGGGAGCGCAGCAGGAAGCCGGCTGGGCACCGCAGGGCTACAGGAAGACCAGGGGCATCGGAGTTTGCTTGGATGGGTCAACGCACCAGAATGCGCACGAGCGCGTGTCCAATTCCCAACCTCGGCCCCTTGGACGACTCGCCTCCTTCTAGCTTTGGCACTAGAACGGTAGCCACAATCTGTTGGCCGTCTGGCGACTGGCAAATTGGCGCGCAGGGCGCAATCCGGATAAACGCCTCCTCGAATCGACCTTGATTCCCGACCGTTGTCCGCCAAGCTATGCCGCTTCCTGCCAACTTCCGACGCGACGCCTGCCGAAGAGCCGTTCTGGTGCGGCTCTGCGTGGACACCTTGGACACCATGTTGCGCCAGACCCTGCTTAGGTGCATCTCATGTTGGCCGTGACTGGTCAGTACGTAAACCTTCTCCACGATTGCAGACCCTATTACGAGCATGTTCGTTTGGCTATCGCCCGAGGGCCCTTGGGTGGCCCAACACGGCGACAGTTGGCCGCCACCACACCAATGCTGTTTGGCGCAGGTATCCTGGGGCTCGATGCCAGGAGTGCCGTTGTAGCCGGATAGAGCCGCACTCAGTTTCCCACAAAGGAAGGTCGTTATCGACAAGGTGGATGCGCGCGTACACGACCTCGTGGTCGGGAACTTCCAGGTCTGGTTTGGGATCAGCGCACTCTGAAGTCTCCATTGTGTACGCGATGGCCCCCAGATGCGACGTTCGCAGGCATCTTCGCGTGAGCTTGGGTCTCCGTCTTTGTACGTCCTTATCTTGGATCCATGGACTCGGGTAGCCCGCTGGAGTAGTAGTTCCAGACCCCTTGACCCATTGACAAGGCGAATAGCAAGCCGGCGAGCGCTCGACATGCGCAGGTGAGACGAGACTTATCATCTGGAGGTACGGGGACCCCTCGTCGGACAAGGGCGCCCCTCCCATGTCCAATTCCTACCCGACTATCCACCCCGCAAACGACTAGACACTGATGTCTCATGGACCGATAGCGCGTGAGGAAGGTGAGTGTCGAGAGGGACGGCGCCACGTTGCATGGGGTGGTGTGCTACAGAGTCTGTGTATTTGGAGATAAATATGATGGCCGCCCATCTTCGATGCGTATATGTTTCTCGCCTTGAAGTCTTGTCCCTCCAGCCCACCTGGCATTGTATCCAGCGTCTCGAGGATCTGTTTCAGACGCCCACAAGATGTCTGTCGAGAAGGACACCGTGAACGCGTCCTCGGCCGTTGACGGCATTGGTGCGCCAACTCCCTTGGACGAGAAGAACACGACTGTCGACAATGTGTCGACCAAGCTCAGGGACGATGATGAGCATCACGGGGAGGATCTCTACCTGCCCCTCAAGATGGATGCCGATCTGCCCCCCGAAGGCAACCCCCTCACCATCCGTGCCGTCGTCGTCGGTTGCATTCTCGGATCGCTTGTCAACGCATCCAATGTCTACCTAGGTAGGTCAAAGTCTCTCAACTTTGAACCTCCAACAACTGCTGACTTTCTTGTCAAGGTCTCAAGACTGGCTTCACCTTCCTCGCCAGCATGTTCGGCGCCCTTTTCGGTTACGGCATCCTCAGGCTCATGTCGCGGACCAACATCCCCATCATCGGTGGTTACTTTGGTCCCCAGGAGAACAGTATCGTTCAGGCTGCTGCCACTGGTGCTGGTGGCTTCGCCGGCATTTTCGTGGCTGGCATTCCCGCCATGTACCGTCTTGGTCTGCTCAGCGACTCGCCCAAGAATGATATTGGCAAGATTTTCACCCTGACCATCTCTTGCGCCTTCTTTGGTATCTTCTTCGTTACCCCCCTGCGCAAGTTCTTCGTCATTCGCGTTGCGCGCGAGCTGCGCCTGATGTTCCCGACTGCGACCGCCGCGGCGCTGACGATTCGTTCCATGCACGCCGGCCTTTCGGGAGCCAAGGAGGCTTTCAGCAAGCTCAAGGCCGTGTCGACGGCGTTTGTCGTCTGCATCGTCCACCGCGTCGTCTCGTACTATGCCGTCGGCATCCTGTACGATTGGCACTTCTTCACGTGGATCCATATCTGGAGCGGCTACTCTTCATGGGCCCTGAACATTGAGTCCTGGGGATGGTACTTTGAGTGGACCACTGCCTTCATCGGTTCCGGCATGCTCATCGGTCTCAACTCTGCCCTGTCCATGTTTGCCGGTTCCGTTCTCGCATGGGGTGTCATCGGACCTGCTCTCGTCCACTACGGCGAGTGCATCGGCAAGGACGTCTCCGACGGCGACCCGAAGTGGGATGGTCTGTACAGCTTCTATTCTCTGGCCAACATTGGCAAGGGCCCCTCGTCTCCCCGGTACTGGCTGCTGTGGCCTGGTGTCATGATCATGGTGTGCGCCTCCATGGCTGAGCTGGCCGTGCACTGGAGGATCATCTCGTACGGCGTCAAGGCGCTCTGGTCGTCTTCGTGCGCCTCCATCCACTCGATGGCCGAGAAGCGGGGCAAGCGCATCGAGTTCTTCGCCAAGCGTGCCGACGCATACAGCACGGCATCGGAGGGAGACGTCATCAAGGACCCTTCGCCGCCTGAGGATCAGGTCCCCATGTGGATGTGGACGTCTGGTCTGCTGGCCTCGATCGTTCTCGCCGTTGTCCTCATGGCCGTCGAGTGGAAGATCCACGTTGGCCTGACCATCCTGGCGCTGGTGCTGGCGTTCCCTCTTCCTCCTTCTTGGCTATCCAGATTGGTGCCGTGACTGACCAGACGCCTTTGACGGCCGCCGCCAGGCCTCGCAGCTCGTCATCGGTGGTGCCACCTCGGGCATGGGATACGGCGTGCAGCACGCGCAGCGCGTCAACCTCGTGGCCGGTGGTCTCGCCTCGGGTGCCGCTGACGTGTCAACGGCCCTGACCTCCGACTTCCGCACCGGTTTCCTGCTCGGCACCCCTCCCATCAAGCAGTTCATCGCTCAGGCCATTGGCACCTTTGTCTCGGTCTGGCTCGCCCCGGGTCTGTTCATCCTCTTCACCACTGCCTACCCCTGCATCATCAACCCGGATATCGATGGCGGCCACTGCGCCTTCGGCGCCCCCGCCGTCGGCGCCTGGGCTGCCGTCGCGCAGGTCGTCACCGAGCCCAACGTCAGCATCCCGCTGTCGTCCGGCATCTTCTCCATCGTCATGGGTGTCCTCTCCATCATCCAGGTTGTCCTCCGCCACCACTACCTCGTCGGCGAGCGCGAGAAGTACCGCGAGTACCTCCCCAACTGGGGTGCCATTGCCCTGTCGTTTGTCATTCCCGGCCCCGTCTTCACCAACGCCGCTCTGCTCGGTGCCATTATCTCGGCCGTCTGGCGCAAGTGGAAGCCCGCCAGCTTTGAGATTTACGCCTACGCCATCGCTGCCGGTATGATTGCTGGTGAGGGCATGGGCGGTGTCGTCGGCGCCGTTCTGCAGCTCGCCGGTGTTTCGGGAGACATCAAGGGCACCATGGTCGGATGCCCGATGAACTCGTGCTAAGCGGTGTCGTCATCTTTCTTCGGGGGCATTTCATGAGACACGAGGGGGCAGAGGCACGCTACGGTAATGGGGAGGTGAATAGTCTTTAGGAGCGAGTATCTAGGCAGCAGCCGAATCAATCACTTTTTATCGAATGACGGATCCTACTCAGCAATATGACTGTGTTTGTGGATCGGATGATGTGATTCTGTTCCTACTTGCTGACATGCAGTCCTTATAGGCACCGAGATTGAGTCACTGAGGTGCATTTTAAGTGCTTACATTGTTTCTTTACAAGGGGGGGTTCTCGGAGCCAATGGAGGATTCCGATCCTGGGTGTCAGTCGCCGTGAGGATGTTAGGACTCAAATCCTCCGGGTCACGGACAGACTTGCTCTTGATCTTGCTGGGATTGCTGCTGCGTAGGGGAGGTTTTCGGTAGCAGTTGGCGCTGCCGCATGCGGTTGCGCTGAAGCTAGTCTCCGTCTCCCGCGTCGGTCCCATCGTCTCCTCGTCGCGAGAACAGTGGAGTTTCCCAATCGAGCGCTGTTTGACCGAATGCGCCCGCAGCTTGATCACTGGCCGCCCACCGCCTCATTCAGTGCCAGCATGACATTGCCAGGGCGGGGCGAGCGGGGGAGGGACAAGAGATCCAATGAAGATGACAGGTCACTACACGAAAGAAGGAGGGCACCAGTGTAACCTGCGAGCTGCAGTTGAGCAAGCGGTCAGTGGCATTACGAGAGCCCAGGTTCCTATTTCGAGAAGACGGACGGCGGTCGGTCCCTTGACGAGATGCGTCAGCAGGCTTCTGCTTCTGCTCCGTCCGACTGCGACCGGTGCCCGTGCGACGCTGAACGTTTTTCTCGTGACTGAGGCTTGCGCTGGCGGTGAGGGAGGGGGTTCGTGTTGACGGCGATTGCAACGTTGCGCCTGGGTTCGTTGGGACACGAGCCGGGGGTGGGCGGCGCGGCGCTATTCGGAGACATTGAGCCATTGCTTTCGTCCAGGCACGGCGGGCGACAGCACGGCATGCATCTTGGATACTTACTCTGCTCGGTGGCCTCGTTTTCCTGGTAAGGGGACGACGTGTCAAGGCGCAGACCAGAACAGGTAAGACATGACCACGAAGGCTCTAGAAAGGTAGCTGTAAAGAGAGGCGGGAAGAGGGGTACATGGTACACGGGAGAGCCAAGCCGCAGGGATCGGAGCTTCGGCACCTGGCCCAAGTGCCGCGCCCAACATGGCTGGTGGTTGAGGGGGAGGTCGGTCGCCAGTGGCCTTTGAGGAACAAGTGGCCTTGAGGAACAGTGATGAGGGATCCTGCGCCCCCCGTGGGTCTGCCGGGCGATCAATACTGCAGCCCAGCAGCCGGGGCAGCCTCCCGCGGCGCCGATGCCCGATTGCAGCTTTGTTCGCCTACTCTCTGCTGCTCGTTCGGGCCTGCTCGTGTGCTTATCAGCCAGGAACCAGGTACCATGGGAGCTGAAAATACTGACGCTTTCGTTTGTTGAAGGCGGCGCTGTTGTGTCGGAGGAGAAGGGGGCACAAACTTCTCGAACACAAAAGTCGTGTCTTGCAAAAATACTGTATGCCCGAGACATGGTCCCTCGTGGTGGCGGACGGGAACAGCAGCCAGCACCTCTTGTTCGCACTCCACCAGGAGCCCGGCCTCCCCGGTTCCTCGCCATCGAACGTCTGAAGAGACCCTGCGTCGGCCGAAATACGAACAGATCTGCGGTCACGGACCATCCCCGACCTCCCAGTCGGCGGCGATCGACGCATGCCCACACGAGAGAAAGGTCTCCGCTGATGCTCGTCGTCCTTGTGCTCGCTACTCGCCGGACGCAACGATCGGATTCTTTGCTGCCGCCATTGTCGGCGGGGTTGGTCGGAGGGTTCACAGGCTGAGGTGGAGCGCAACGACTACACTCGATGGACGGTCGCGGCTGGAGGGGTATACGAGCGTCGTGCTACGTCATGGTCCTCGCTGGTGGTTGGGATTTTTGGGGGTTTTCTTTTGGGGAGGGGGACCGACATTCGTTCATCATGGTAATGCAGTCGGGCAGTCTCTCGGAGGGAGTGCTCATGGCAAAGATGGGCATGGGCTTTCTTGGTATATAACGCCATGGATCGTCCACGTTTGAAGCGTTCCTGGATTCTCCAAAGCACCTGTTCCCATCCGGCATTCTCTCCACATACGCATTCCAAGTTGCTCGCTTGTTTTTAGATTTCTCCATCCGAATACACCCCTCAACACCAAAGATATCCACATCGTCACACTCACGATGCACACCTCACTTCTCTCCCTCATGCTGGCCCCCTTGGCCCTCGCGAGCCCCATCCTCTCCCGCACCGATAAGCAGACCTGCTTCTCAACAACCTCGGCTGTAAAGTCATGGGAGCTCAGATCCTTCGACTTCCACGCCAACTACATCTTCTCGACCCCATCGCACCAGAACTCATGGGGTTACGTCTCCTTTGTCCTAGAAAACGCCAGTCTCGGCACCAAGACAAAATGCGAAGCCTCCAGCAGCAGCCTGAACGACTTTTTCTACGGCGATGTTGACTACCAGTGTGAGGCGCCAGAGGGAGACGTTCCCGAGGGTGCGCCTAGGTTGTCGCAGACCACGTTCCGTTTCGACCGTCCCGGCGGAGAGGTCCAGGTCGCGCAGAGCTGGTATTGCTTCGACGACCCGCAGTTCCCGTAAGTTTTGCCCCGCCTCGCTTGGTTGTGGATGGTGACCACCTCGTGCTGACATGTGCAGGTCGAGGATCACGGCGAAGGGCGCAGAGCACGTCAAGCTCGACTGCGAGGAGACGTATACCGAGAATGGTAACTGGACCATTGGAGAGATCTACTCGCAGAGGGACATCACCTGTGGCATTGTTGACCTGACTGTGCCGGTGAAGGAGATTGCAGCGGTAGCTTGAGGGGCTAAGCTATGCCAAAGCACGGTAGTAATGTCATTTCAGCGGTACACTCAAAATAATACGCGTCGGATCTTTCAGGTCACTCCCTGCCGTGTGTTGCCTTCTTCACAGTCGAAACTAGCTCTGGGATATTTTTTGCGTTTGCAGATTGAACTAGTTGATGTGAGCTGCATTATAAATACCGCCATCCGTAACGCACATATGAATAGATCTACGTAGCAAAGTTAACCCAGAAGTTGGTTGGGTACACCGATGAGAGACTCCTACTTTGGCCATCATGTAGTGGGCAACATTGCACTAGCCATGAACTTCATGCGTCAGCCTATTGCGACATGGCCACGAACATGGTGTGCCGCATCTCACATTCACAGCCTGAACAATGACATACCTAGGTAGGTGAAATTGTTGCAGTTCCCCCTCAACAAACAAAAATGTGGAATAACTCGGTAAACTTGTCGAAGGGGTAGAGCTCAACACAATCATACAAGCCAACGTATCCTGCCGTTACCACCGATACCAACTGATGCGCTCTCCAGCTTGATCAAAGACAACTCGATGGCTTCACGCGAATGAGATAGCTCTTCTGTGCGTGACGGAGCCGGACTGGGCAATCCATTTTTCGTCATCAGCAACATCATATCCATAATCCGCGTCTCATGCAAAATAGACGGGTTAGTGTATCCTTGGCAGAATATCAGAGATCTATGTATACGAAGGGGAAAGGCCCACATTACGATGCATTTTCTTCGCTAAAGCTCATCTTGGAATCTATGGTATGCTTCAAGTCGTAAAGAAACCAATAATAGTGTGCAGCCGCGCTCTCCACATGCAATCTACTACAGTTACCGATTTCAGGCAATCTATCCACCACTGTGAAGCTATCACAGGGATGAGGCACAGTACTAACCACTGTCGAAAATCATCGATCCAGCACTCCGTATTGAAAATTTGAGCAGGAGCTGACACCAAAGCAGCAGTGGCTTGAGGAAGGAGGCTGATTTCAGGGCCTTGGCAAAACGCCTTTGCGGATGAAACCGCCTTCGATGGTAGCATTCAGTGGCCGGTTCGGCCAAGGTGCTGGAAAGCAACCCGATGGCGCTTTTTCTGAGTCGATAAAATATGAAAGGACCATGCACGGGTCTATAGCCGAGTTTAGAAAAGCCCGTTGAATAAGATAGCCTTCTCTCCATTACCGCCAATATGGCCATTCCAGAGTGCACTTCACTTGGCAGTCACATTGTAGCAACGTATGAGCTTCGTAGTGATGTGCCATAGCAAACGGCATGCTTCGCATGAGACGGTTCGTGGCTTGCGATTAGTTGATGAATCAATGAAGCCACTACAACTAGCAATGTGAAAACTTGACTACTATGGCTCTTCCTTACGCCCGGTCACCTGGAGGTTCTGGTGGAGGCATTACTCGGCTCTGGATACGGCTTGGTCCGGTTTCCGAAAATGCCCGACTACAGGCTCCCTATCTTCTTCCCTCCCCACGGGGGACTGATTTTGGACCACCAATGAACCCCATGAGACAAGAATGAGCGCGACACAGGATTCCTTCCTCATTGGACATCATGGGGCGGCTTTCTGGCCGACGTCTGCAGGACGGTATGCGGGGAAATTCGCTGATGTTCTTGGCCTCATCCTGGCTCCTTGGCACATGAGTCTGGTCGACACGACACTCTAATTCAAGTTAAGCTTGTTTTCGCCCGGAGCTGACCATTGACCACATGCAGACCAAGCTCAGTTGGTTGCTAGTGCTTGACGATCACTTACTCCCCGCTGGCGAGAGAGATGGCGTGAAATCAACAGATAATGCGCAAAAGAAGTCCCCGTAAGGGGTCTTATTGATAAACCCCTCACGCATGGAGTCGTGATCATCAAGAAACGGCGAAGACGATGCAGTTGGCGCACACGCAGTGCAACCAGCCTTGCGTTAGTCCGGGATCTCCACACTGCATCCCGAGAAGATACGACGGTGTAATAAGCCAACAGCCGGCCTGAAGGATCTCTTGGCATGACACGATGATCAAGGAGGACCAAGGCAGATTGTACAGGGCAACTATTTGACACCTATAAAGTAGAAGCTGCTGGCACCCAGTTGTTGGTCACTTTTCTTTGCCGATAGTAGATCATTGTCATTTATTCCAGCATGTCTCCGACGATCCAGCCCGCAAAGTCTGGAGATGGCGCTGTGCTATCTCCCATCCACACCGAGAATGTCCTGAAGAGTGAAGTCGAAGAACGTCGGGACTACTCCGGGGCCCGCGAGAAAACCGACCCCCGCGAGATCGCACTTGTCCGCAAACTGGACTGGTGGATCATGCCTATCCTTTGGCTGATGTATTGGTTGAACTATCTTGTACGAGCACAATCTTATGGCAGTACTCGACCCGTGCAGAAAGACTGAAGCTAACGTCTAAACACTAGGATCGAAACGCCATTGCCCTTGCGAAACTCGATACTCTCGAGGAGGACCTGAACCTCACAGGATCACAATACCAAACATGCGTGTCCATCCTGTTCGTCGGTTACGTCATCGTCGGCATCCCAGCCAACATGGTGGTCACACGAATTCGGCCTAGCATATGGATGGCCTCATGCATGACGGTATGGGCCATCATCAGCGGGCTCACGGCGATTGCTCGTAACTACACTGGCCTGCTGCTGACCCGTTTCTTCCTGGGTATCACTGAGGCTCCTTACTATCCAGGTGCCCTCTACATCCTGGCTACCTTTTACACGCGAAAAGAATTAGCCACGCGCATTTCAATTCTTTACACCGGCAACATCCTTGCGACGGCATTTGCCGGTTTGATTGCGCTAGGCATCTTTGAGATGCACGGCATGGTAAGCATAACTCTCGATTGGGGTTTGAAAGATTGCTAACATTTTGGAGGCCGGCATCTCGGGTTGGCAATGGCTCTTCATCATCCAAGGCGCCGCAACGCTCATCGTCGCTCTCGCGGCCTTCTTCATCCTTCCTGACGAGCCCCTCAGCACGAAATGGCTGACACCAGAGGAGCGCAAGCTAGCTCATGAAAGAACCCAAGAGGATACTGTGGCAAACAAGGGCCAGACTACCACCTGGTCAGGCATTCTGGATGCAGCCAAGGATCCAAAGGTCTGGCTGTTTGTGGCGATGCAGCACGGCCATCTCGGAGCGAACGGATTCAAGAACTTCTTTCCCACTGCCATTCGCACACTTGGATTCAACCAAACCATTACTCTTGTTCTTACGTGCCCGCCGTATCTCATTGCAGGCTTTATCTCGATCGCTTGGTCGTGGTCATCTGGCAGATACAATGAACGCACATGGTGAGCTAAATTGCTGTCGAAGTCTCCTGTTGCCTTGCTGACCTTGACAGGCACATTACCATAGGAAAGGCGATCGCTGTCTTTGGGTTCGTCTTAGGCTGTGCAACCCTAAACACCGGCGCCCGGTATTGTATGACACCCCCCCCCCCCCCCCCCCCTACCGTGGGTGCCAACCCTCTTCATACCAGCTCCTAAACACTTCCAATCCCGTTCACATCCATGGGCTACATTTAGTAGCGTGGACAGAAGGCTAATTCGGTGCATTAGTTGCCATGTGCGCCTTCTCCGTGGGTACCTACTCTTGTAACTCGATTATCCTCGGATGGGTGTCGGCAACTTGCTCGCAAACAAGAGAGAAGAAGGCTTGTTCTCTTTCCATCGTTAACTGCTTGGCTGTCGCAAGTTTCATTTGGACGCCGTACCTGTGGCCTGAGTCTGACGAGCCTCGTTACACGATGGCCATGTCGACGAGTGCTGCTCTAAGCATTCTGGTGGCAGCTGGCGCGTGGGGCATGCGGTACTGGCTGAAGCAGGAGAATGAGAAGATCCGGCAATCGGAAGATGAGACGACTGTTTTCTATGCCTACTAAATCAAAGGCCTTGACGGCGCCTTGAGGCTCAATCTCGACGCGGCTTGATTTAATTCTGGACAAGAGATATCATATTTCAAGCTCAAAATTGATAAAGCTTGCAAAATGGACTGCCTCAATTCGAAGTATCCGATCGCGGCCCTTTTCCTTGGCTTCGGTGAGCAAATGACAAAAAGGCAAATTGAAAAAAATACCTCTCAAGTGCCAGTCACTCTAGAGACCTCGTACTCCCACGGCCTTTCGACGCGTCTCTGCTCTTCCTCGGCTTCACGAAGTCGTGTCCTGACGGCCATCAAAGCTTTCCCCAGCCGGTTCTCCCCCCAATGCTTTCTTTGCGACATTGCATGCTTAGCCGTATACCCGATTCCCCACACGCGATCTCTGGATGCCGCTTCACAGAGTATCCTGTCGCCTGTTGCCAACAGCTTCCTCTGGAGATGGATGTTCTGATTGAACTTGGCCAAGTTGCCAGCTTCGACGACCTGACTCTTCACCTCGTCCCACCGTGCTTCCGTAAAGTTGACGGTCAGCTTTGCCAGTCTCTTCTGTTCTTTCGGGCTATCCGTTGCCATAATTCGACGCTGGCGATCGTAGTCGCTGAAGCGAGCTGCCTTGCAAAGCATCATGAATTGTTCGGCGCAGTTGAATTTGATCATGGTAGGGACCCCAGATGTCGAATCGACGCTTCCCGCCACTTCAGTTGCCAAGCCATTCCCCACGAGATCTTGGATCACCGCCCTTGAGACTTCGAAAATGGAAGGATACCACTGGCAAAACTCGCCATGCAACGCATCGGGCATGTAGAAGAATAAAAAGTCCTCGCTTCTGGTGTCATCGGGCCTTTCGCCGACGACCGTTTGATTGGTCATGTTGCGTATGGCGGGACTGCGGCGGACCTGGTAATGAAAAGATGCACAGAGGGAGGATCTCCGAGGGGCAATACCGCGAGATAGGACACGCTTTGAATGAGCAAATCGTTACGACATGCATTGGCCGATAGGCGGAAGTTTGTTTACTCGTCGAAGCTTAATCCCGACAGGATGATTCACCACAAGAGCAGCCACACAAGAAACGACATGGAAGGTTTTCTTTCGAAAATTGAAAGGTGTACAAACAGGGGGAATCGTTAATTGACGCTACATAACATATACAGCTATCATAAAGGTCGTATCGCTCAAGCCAAGGGGGCGCAGCTGAAAGGGCTGCTGACAGTGCCATTGCGGAACTTCAGGTTCTGTGAAAGATTATGATTAGCATTTGAATCCCGCCACACTTATCAGGGTGGGTGACGAAAACTTACAATTTCCTCGATACTGGCGTAGGTACCGCAAACCAGCACGACGATACCAATGACAAACGCCAGGCCGTTACCCGCAGACTTGAGAAGGTTCTCCTTGGCGTTCCACTTGCCCTCCTTGATCAGCATGAACCACATGATGGCGGGGAAGTAGAAGGTGAACCCGGAGATGAAGAGAGACGAGCTGATGGACAGGAGCTCGGAGAAGAAGGGAATGGCCTCCGCGATAATCCACGCGATAACGGTGATGACGGTGATGAGCGCCAGCCAAGTGATCCAGCCCATCTTGGTGTTGATGTAGCGGACAATTGAATCCTTGTACATGCGTCCATGAATGTAGCGACCAACAACGGTGGTGTTAATTGAGCCGGAAATGAAGATGACGGGAAGCGCGACGCCAAAGGCAATCTTGGAGACGGTGGGGCCGGCGGACAAAAGGGCCGGCGAGCGGACCTCCTGGCCCACGAAGGCGTAGATCAGGGCGCCGGTGAGAGTGTAAATGAAAATCTCGATGATGCCGAGGGCCCAGATCGACTTGACGTAGTCCTTGGGGGTGTGCATTTCGTCCATGAAGGAGAACTGGCAAACGGCGAAGCTGTAGGCGAACACAATGTTGGTGATGGCGATGAAGGCCTCGGCGAATGTGATGCTCTCCTTGGGCCAGGCAGACCAGGCAGCCGTGGTGATGTCGCCGCGCTGGACACCGGTCGCGATGATGGTAATTCCAATGGCGAGGACGATCGATACGAAGTCGATGTAGCCGAGAATGGCTACCTCGGCGAACGAAGGTGGGACCGCAAGAATGAGGAGGATAATGGCCGAGACAACGCCGAACACCAGGGAGCAAGCGCCGTTTTCTGTCAGATTGAGAAAGGCGATGGTGCCCGTCAGACAGTGCGATCCGACGAGGAACGTTAGCTGCAGGACGAACATGGCACCGACGAGCTCGTAGCCGAAGCGACCCATGATGAGGCGACCAGCGTCAGCATAGTGTGAGACGTGAGGGTACTTGAGCTTGACCTGACCAACGACATAGCTGGTGTAGATGGCAACAAGACCGAGACCGACACAGAGAATGACACCGGCGACCATGCCGAGAGTCGCAAACGCAGAGGGGATGCTGAGACTGCCGAGGGCGATGGCCTCAACGATAAGGACAATGGTAAGGCGCTTCCAGCCGAGTCGGTGGAAATGTGCCGAGCCTTCGGCGGCCTTCTGCTTCTCCAGGTCGGCACGGTTGAGGTCGGTGACCTCGCCGACGACCTCGCCGAAGGGCGCACCTCGGGAGAATTGAGGCGCGATGGCTTCCTCCTGTGCCATGTTTTCGCTGTCCTCGGCCTGCTTAACGTCTTGAGCCTTCTTCTCGCTGTTGGCATCGGCGTAGCGCGATTGAACAATCTCGTCGTGGTCCATATTGTCGGTCAAAGGAGGATAAACGTGAATGATTAGAGTGTGTTGGTTCCGCAGCCGTATGTTGAGATAGGGCTCACGGGAGTATTATGAAGAAGGCTTGGTTGAAGAAGGACAAAAGCAGCGGTGAGTTGTTGGAAAGGAGACAACATCTGGATCAAAGGGAAGGGCGGGCTTTACATATAGGTGGCAAACGCGGAGACCCCGGGGTGAGGCCGATTAGCACTACAGTCGTGGGTCAGGCCCAGGTCCATCGAGACCAGGTTTCACGCCTCACAGAACCGCATCCACAGATAAGAGTAAGTAAGCTTTGCTCCGTTGCCGGCTCAGATGGCGATGGGTGCGGGGGAGACGCAAGCCATCGCGGGTTCTCCGCAAAGTTGGTATGACCCCAAAGGCAAAAATGGGAGTATTCTGCCCGTTATTCACCAGGGCACGAGGCAGACGCGTGCGTGCGACGTTTCGGGAAGCCATCATCATCTGATGCAACTGGGGCCCTTGGACGAGGATGCAGAGTTTTGTGAGGGTAAAAGAAGGGTAAAAAAAGGGTAATAGTGTGGATATTGTGACATACGATAATGGTGTGTGGACGCAGTGAACGGACCAGATGGGGCGGATGCTCGTCGGGGGTGCTCATCACCGTGGCCATCGATGCGTGCGTCTTTTTTGTTGCTCAGGGTCGAGTCAGTATCTTAAATCCATAATCGGCGGCCTGAGTCCTGGCACCAGGTGCCTCAAACAGCAACATCTGATCCCGTTCCTGAGAATAGCTTGTCTTTCTTCCTTTGTGATGGATGTCGTCGGGCCAAGAAGTGAGGCTCTTCGACATCAAGCAGGGCCAAGGTGCGAGTTTCCCGATCAGGCTCACTTGGGGCTTGGATCTTCGAACAAATGCTCCCATAGGCTGCCCTGGATCTGTTCCGCCCCTAGTAACCAGTGCCGAAATTCCGTAAGGCTGTACGTAATTAGTGCCCCACGACTCCGAGCCACTCCGACGCTGTCGATGCTTGAGGACTAGCTCTACTGGGGTCTCACAGTTCAGAAGCCTTCTAGAAGATCATGAACCATGGTTTTCCTCTTTCGTTGATGCAAAGCCTGCTGGTGTCGGACGCGTCGGGTACGGGGGGGCTGGAGGGGCAAAAAGAGGATCCCGCTTGCTGTCATGTCTGGGCGTCGTCAGGCTGCACCACTCTTGTCTCTCGCTTTTGCAATGTATGACATTCCGTCTGTCATATTTCTTATGTCACTATCAAAGCTTGGGCAGACTCTTTTCCTTCTCTCGAGCTGGCCACAATGTGAGCGACATCTCCGACGGCATGTCCGGAGACTACGGAGGTAGGACGGCGCAGCGCACCGGATGCAATTGACCGGCGTAGCGATGTCGCGGATGCGGTGACTTGACCAAGCATCATGCTGAATAAACAATAAACGCCACCAAGAATCGGCTGTTCTTCAGTCAACCGCTAGCACGTCCGGTCTGACCCGACGAAGGCGATGCGTAAAGCTTGGTTGTTCCCGTGCCCAGCCTTGAATTCTCGTGCTGTACGCCAGCATGACTCGACCGATCGACCAGAAAAACGCTGCACAAAGCGGCTCAACAAAACAAAGGATAGTCTTTGAGAGGCCATTTTACAAAGCCGGACGAACCACATAATCTATGTCACGGTCTAGGCGGCACACATTTCCTCGGGGGGACCGCGCCTTGCGCCCTTCCTGCGACATCGTCGCATCCTTGCTTGAGTACGTTCAGCTACCGTAGCAACTTGAACCCTTAGCCGGCTTCTGTCAGGCGTCATCCAACTTCCCATGGTCCAGGGCAACAGTGGGAATGAATGGACAATCCACGGCAATGCGTTTGCCGGCCGGTGGCGGCACGCAGGTTCTGTTTTGAGTCGAATCATGCACAGAGGCCACGTTATCCCTGGCCACACTTGCATTACATTCCATCGCCCCCTTCTTCTCGATAGGGTGTGCCTGTTGGTATCTAACACCTGTAGACTCTGGGAAAGCGCCTTTTTCTTAATCTTGAGTTCCACTTTAAGTGCATACTCTTTTCCGTTGCGTGAAGCCATATCCAAAGCTTTCAGAGGAGGTTACAGCTGATAAGCACGGGTCTCAAGTTCAACCCGACAGTCTGGAAAACCCCTTATGTCCAAGCAAAGCGGAGCACGACCAAGGTCGTGCCTGCGTACCTAGGATACTTCTACTTAATCACACCTCTTGGTCCTGCAACAATCCCCAATCATCTTTCACATCATATCCCGCAAGCAACTGTGACTTACTCGCCCTTTATGCAGCCGAAAGCTTAGCCATCGCGATTCATCGCAAGATAAATCCATGATCGTCATCATCTGATTCAATTATCTTCCAATCGAGTAATCTCTTCGCAGTCTTCGCTCCTTACCATCTATCGACCATCAGTAGCTCACCGACAACATCGCATTCAACATGCCCCGCATGCTACTACCACCAACCGTTCACATCCTCATCATCACCATCGTCGCTGCAGCCCATTCCAAACGAAGCGCTTGAACCCATGAGTTCCGTGGAGTGGGATCATCTCTCACCTGAAGCAAGGATTCAATCAGAAGGCGACAGAAAATGGGGCTGGGTCGTCTGTCGGAGCTGCCACGCATCAGAATTCGACCCGCGCTGAGAGGAAATCAAGAGCCATATCGTAGACGAGCTTTGTAAGGATATCGCTAAATCCGACACACCCTCTATCGCGAAAACGATGGATTTCGACTTTATCGAGGACCCTGCCTTTGAAGGCGCCACGGTCACGCAGCTACAGCACTACTTCCAGGCTTGGGCGCGCACAAGCGAGGGATACCATTTTGTCGAGGGGACAGACGTATCCCGAGACTCGAGGCATGAGTTCTTCATCATGGTCGACGAACAAAGACTTCTGTGTGTTGTATAAGACTGATTTTGGCGCCGGCGAGGGAGGCCTCAGAACGTATCCAGGTTAGCCGCTCTGATTCGCGGTCTCCACTCAACCATGAAGTGGTTACCTAGAAGAGTAAAGTCGGGAAACAAATATGAGTCCGGGCGTGCGCAGTGGCCGACCTGTGATGCTCAGAAACTCGGGCTGCTTCGTCTTGACAGGCTGTGCTTTTCTGCGACAGACGTGCCCCACCACCGCCATCGAGGCCCTACAAACCACAGCCTTGGCCTAACCAGAACTCCTGTTGTTCTGAGACGTCATCCTAGCTAATGAAACTTTCCATCACCAATCAACCACTGAGCACATCAAGAATTCTCTGGTAACACAGGCATCGGTTACCCATACAGGCTACGGGATAGCCCTCTCTACCATGAATTCCCTACAGAAACAATACGGTCTTCCAAGGACATCAGACGGCACGCCACCCCGACCTCTCTCAGCAATCTCCGACTCTCAGTCCTCATCTCATGGCTTCATGATGCTTCAACCGGCCTTCTGTGCGAATAGGAGTTGTTATCTCAATTTTGCCGCTGTTCCAAGTCTCCGCAATGTATCCACCACGGGCCCTACCCGATATGGTGGTCTCTTTCGTCGTCTAGCCCTGCCGTATGGCTCAGGCCAATCACAGGATGTCGTCTACCCTCCATGGTGTGGTCCTCTTCGCGAACCAGTCTCTGTCTTTGGTATGGAACCTCCCTGACCCGGTGGTAATCCCCAATGATGTTCGTGACGAGTGAAGTGGACCGAGACACTTGGGCCGAATTCCACGCCCGGCTTCAACTTGACATATTGTAGCCTACCAAAACTTCTTGGCAGATATATGGCCATAGCCCCTTCACTCTACCCATCTCTCAAAATCTCTTTCTGTTGTTCAAGATGGACTTTTCCCTCCCCAGTCTCGCATCCAGCTTGTTTATAATTGCCTGCTAGTCAGACTTGTGCATTTCTTCCTAGAGCAGGACTCTTATCGCGGGCGATCTTCTCCATTATTTTTAAATCACGATGGAATTCACCATCTCAAAATCCGTGGCCGAAGAGCCCTCCGAGTTATCCACCAAGCTGTCAGCGGGAAGGAAAAGTGCAACTACAACGAACAAGTTCATCGGACTTCTGCTTATTCTCTCTGTCTTCGGCGTCTGCCGAGAGATCCTGACGCAGTACTTCCCGCGAGAGGCTATGAGAAACTTGGACACCACTTATACAGCGTCAAGGAAAACGGCCCTAGACGACTTTGTCACGCCAGAGACTGCCCAAGCTCTGGAAAACGATGTCAAACTTCGGCGAAGCATTCTCGCCATGGTCGACTTCACTGCGGACATGTCCAACATTTTGGCGACCCGTTACGCATCTCCTGAACTGCACGAGGCAACCGAGGTTCTGCAGGCCTATCGTTCCAAAATGCTTCGTAGCATCCCCGAAAGCGAAGCCTCCGCTATTGAGAAGCGACAGCTGCCTTCCCTCGGCAATCTAATCGGTGGTGGCGGAGATGCCACCCCCGGAGCTGGAGGTTTGATGGACGGCCTGGGCAAACTTGTCTCCGGTGGCTTGAGTAACATAGGAAGTAGCCTCGCTGCAGATGCCTCCGGGGCGGGCCTGTTCTTGGGCATCGGTGTTGGGGCCGGCGCGGCCCAGGGACTCAACATCTCGACAGCCGAACGGACAACACAGATCGCTGCCAAGGTGGCGTCTGATAACAAGATGGAAGCCACGGGCTTGAACCCGACCATTCAGAATCTGGGCGTTGGCCTTACCTCGAGCCTGCTTGGCGCTGTCAACGTTTCCTCCCTCGCTTCTGGCATTGATGTGCAGTCCCTCGTCATGTCACTCGCTCAGGGCCTAGGAAATGGTACTGTTGCTGGCCTCAATCTCAATCCCGCAGCGCCCATGTTGATGGTCAGCAATGAAACAAGCATCGCCAATATCGCTGGTACCCTTGGCTTCGGCTTGACGCAATCGGTTACCTCAAATATCGACACAAAAGCCATTATTGGCTCACTGAACAATCCCAATAACACGGCTGCCATCATGAAGAATCTTCCAGACGCCGCCGCCGGCATCGGCAGAGGTCTGGGAGAAGGTGCAGCCGTTGGCCTCGGCCTTCAGGCAAGTATGCCTGTTGCCATGCGCCAGATGCCCGATGGCGCAATCGACATCCTCGGTGTTTCGCAGACCTTCACTAAGGAGCTGACGGCTAGCTTCTTGCAAAATGGTACTGCTTCAAAGCTAGCCGGCATGCTTGGCGGTTCCATGGGCATGCAGCCTCCTGCCAACAATGCCGGTGGCATCCCGAGTACCATTTCCATCAACGGGCAGAGTGTTGAGATCAGCCGTGTTGCTCAAGGCTTTGCCAGTGGTCTGCTGCAAGGTGCAGGCGACACCATCCAAGGCATGGGAGGCGTCCAAGCCCTGGCCGATTTTAGCTCCAACACACAGACAGGAAATGTGCCCATGGACGCCATGCCCCCTACGAAAGTTCAATTTGACGACGGCATAGGCGGTGCTGCAGCTGGCCTTGGTGCTGGCATCGGCGGTCAAGGTGTTCTGCTGGTTTCAATGCTCATCGCCAACCCTACGGGCACCCCGGCGGTCGCCGTGCCTCCTCCAGCTGCACCGGCGCCCAGGAGCCCAACCCCAGACATGCAAGTCCCGGCAACACCGGCTCCCGGCGATATGCCCTCCCTCCCGACACGTTTGCGCAGGGGCCCCGGGCTAGCCTCCCGACAGGACCCCTCTGTCAACGTTGACACGTCAAAAGGTTTCAACCTGTCTGTCATCATAAACGCGCAGACTGTTTCGTCAGCGGCTCAAGGGGGCATTGACGCCCTGACCTGCCAGGGCGTGGGTGGTGGCCTCGGCAACATCTTGCTCGGCTTGCTTCGAAGCAAGACCATCTCGACAGGCTCTCTGAACAATGATAATACTACAAAAACGATTCGGCAGGTAATTCCTACGGGGATCATCAAGATCAAGAACGAGGGGAACACGTACAACATTGATGGCGGCGTCATTCGTGAAAGCTTCGGCAATAACATACTTGGCGCCGTCAATGGCATCGAGATTAATGGCATGAAGCTGGCCGCCTGGATTGCCTTCATTGTCATCCATAGTCAGTATTCCAAACCCCGGCTATCCTTGCACATTATTGCTTACTTTTCCGTTACAGTTTTGTTTGCCACTGTTGCCTTCGTCAACGTTCTACCCATCGCGCTCGGCCTCGAGAGCGTGCGAAATCTGTTGCATAAAGCCAACCTTCCTCATATTCTGCCTAAGATTCCCAAGTGGAACAACATTATGTGGTTATTTGTTATTGCACCTTCAATTCTTATCGTTTTCGTTTTCGGCGTCGTCCTCTATGGCAACACGCGCCACTTCCGCACCGCCCATGGAGTAAGTTTCAGTCACCTCCTCAAGCTTTCTCACCTCAACTAACACCAAATAGATCATCAGTCTTATCACAACGCTGGTGGGAATCGGAGCAGTGGCGCTTCACATTTTTGTCAAGGTCATATCGCCGCCTCAGAGCATCCGCGATCATCTCCCCCAAGGCCTTTTCAGCCTCCCCAATGTCCGGGGCATTGTCAATCAGCTTTTCCTGTTTTTAGCCGTGGCTTCAGCCATGACTGGCTTCGCAGACCTCAGCTCCGTTGCGCTTTGCCTGACGCAGATCATTCCCTTCGACATTGCACTCAGTGTAGGCTTCGGCCTATCGACACCATTTGCTCTAGGGTCCTCTATCATCGGTCTTGAAGCATACCTGAGCTTCCGCGAGGCTCGGATGAAGAAGAAAGCCCTGAAGAATGGCAGCAAGAACAAGGAGGAAGTTGTTATTGTGAAGCTTGCCAGTGACGGATCTGAGATGATTTAAATTCTGCGACAATGTCATGCCGTTATGTATCCGGTGGAGGTTTTGGCCCGCGAGGCTGGGATGTGGCCTTGTTCGTGGAACATTCGGCTGCGATGCCACTGAGTGGCCGCTGTACTCTCTTTATTATACCCGATGCTGTTTGGATATTTCAAGCCCTTGCTACAGATAACAATCTTTCGGAGAACTTGCGTTCTTTATTTACGTGTCGGTTGTCATTTTGGGCCTACATTATAGTTGGAGGTTAAACGAAGAAAATCAAATTTCTCCTCACTGGGGATGCCATCGACTCGATCTAGTATCGCTACATCAAGATCATGTCGATCTCGGAATTTCTTCACGAACAGCCGGCTTGACTGGCATGTTGCTCTCATCCCTTCCGTGGCGAATTCGGCAGGGATCGCTGGATTTTGGCTCCAACCATGGTGCCCAGCCGGTTGTCGAGTGAGGGATGGCCAATGGCACGAACGGTTCCGACCTTGGGTGCCCAGATGCGATCTCGCCATGGCTTTGACAAGCTTATGGTACCAAAGACCTCCGTTGTCCAAAAGAGGAAGGCTGGTTGGCAGGAAGTTGAGATAGCGCGGCCTTTGGTCTGGTGTCGCGTCATGTGTAACACGGTCCACAGCACGCCAACAAAGACCCGATATTTTTGATTGACCAAGGCCTCCAATACTATGAACGTGTCTCCAGCAATCAAAATTGGTCCAATGAGCTATCTTAAAGATGTGCTTTCGCAGGCTTGCGACCCACGTGGATAGATTCGCCCTGGAGCAGTTCAACTCATGAGAGCAATACATTTGCTGATCTTTTCGGTTCAAATTATAAGTCCTTCTGTTATACAACCTTTGCCGCAATGAAGAATCTTGGAGCTATCTGGGAATACGGCAGTGGTCCCGAGGTTGGATCTGCCCCCATCTCTGAAAGGCCCTGGCAGCGAAAGGCCCCATCCAGAAAGCCCCCAACCATTGTGCAGTTCTTGAAAGATCAACCAACCTTGAATACGATCTTGGGTCCATATGCCAATCATTATAAGATGGCGGCGAGTGCCATCTTGTAACATGGCATCTCTCAGCACCCACTCATCGTATGCAAATACTTTCGAGGATATACAGCCATGAAATACGCAATCTCAGCCTTGGCGCTTGCGGCCCTTTCCCAGGGCCACGCCATTTTCCAGGTTAGATTTGTTTGTCTAGTTTCCTTAGTCGTCGCATGATTTTAATCCATACGTAGGTCGTCTCCGTCAACGGTGTCGAGGCCCCTCCCCTTTCCGGGCTACGAGCTCCCGGCATCAACAATCCGGTTGAGGATGTCAGCTCGAATGATTTGACTTGCGGTCTCGTCACGCATACTTCAACTGATGTGATTGAAGTTGAGGCTGGCGATGAGATCGGCGCCTGGTATCAACACGTCCTTGGCGGCGAACAATACCCTGGAGACGTCGACAACCCGATTGCCGCATCCCATAAGGGACCTATCACTGCATGGCTTGCAAAGGTCGAAGACGCTGCGACGTCGTCCCACGCCAACCTTGAGTGGTTCAAGATTGCCGAAGACGGCTTTGACAACACGAGGGGCATTTGGGGCGTCGACAACCTGCTACAGCAGGATGGCTGGACCTACTTTGGTATTCCAGAATGCATCGCACCCGGGGACTACATTTTGCGCGTGGAGCTTTTGGCCCTTCATTCTGCTTATGTTCCCAGGGGCTCGCAGTTTTACACTTCGTGTGTCAACTTGAGAGTCACCCGTGGAGGGAACTTTGCACCAGAAGAGACTTTTGCTATCCCCGGTGTCTATGAGGCGAACGACCCGGCAATCACCATCATGATCTACGGCAACACGGGGAAGCCGGACAACAATCTGAAGCCATACACGCCTGCTGGCCCGAGGCCCATCACTTGCTGAGAGGGTTCACGATCTTGAGGAAAGCTGTCTACTCCTTTCTCCACATCATGTTGGCGATACCCACGAGACCCTCCGCCCCCCTTGTTCGGCGGGGTAGGAGACCATTCGGTTGGAACAGGCCACTTTCGTCCTAGCCGCAGGCTCAACAAGCTGGGGGGCCGAGGGAAGGTAAAAGGCCGCAGCTTAAAGCAATTGAACACGTGAAATCAAGACCGATAATTTCCACCATGACATGGGTCACCTAGTTTTGATCTTCCAGCCCCATTGATCGATCGCCGGAGTGGAAGCTTTTGTCTCGCACCTCGTGCTCGTTGTCCTCCCCCACTGACTTTGCTGTGTGCGCGCTTGTCTCATCTCGGTCCAGCCATCTTGATTTTAGCGTTCACGTTACTCCTCGGCCTGCTCGCCATGTCCAGTCCGACCCCGCAAGCCACTGCGGCCCAACCGGATGTCCTCGACGTTGACGAAGCCGCGATCCGCGGCGACGACGCCGACTCGGCGTTAGGGTCGGTCGCTAGCTCGACCACGTCCATCAACTCGAGCATTCTTCGCTACCGTCAGGAGAACGGCCGAACGTATCACGCGTACAAGGATGGCTCCTATCCCATGCCCAACGACAATGACGAGCAGGAGCGCCTTGACCTCCAGCACCACCTGTTCCTCATGACTTTCGAGAACAAGCTGTACCTGTCGCCCGCCGGCCGCGGCGGCCACCAGATCCACAACGCTCTCGACGTCGGCACGGGCACGGGCGTCTGGGCCAACGACTTTGCGGACGAGTTCCCCTCGGCGTCGGTCGTCGGTGTCGACCTCAGCCCCATCCAGAGTCCCTTTGTCGCCCCCAATGTAAACTTTCTCGTGGATGACATTGAGGCGCCGTGGACGTTCCACAAGAAGTTTGACTTCATCTACAGCCGCATGATGACCGCTGCGCTCGCCGACTTCCCGGGCTTCTTCCAGAAGGCGTACGAGAACCTGACGCCTGGCGGTTGGTTTGAGATTGCCGACATCTGCCCCATCACCAGCGACGACGGCACCCTGACGGAGGACACGTCCACTCACGCGTGGGCGACGCAGCTGCTGGAAGGCACGCGGAAGATCGGCCGGCCCTTTGACGGCGCTTTCGACTACAAGAAGCAGCTCGAGGCGCAGGGCTTCCAGAATGTGCAGCAGGTCGTCTTCAAGTGGCCGCAGAACACGTGGCCCAAGGATCCCAAGTACAAGGAGCTAGGTATGTCTGCCCATCATCGGCGCGATGCCCATCTGCGAAGTCAAGAGTGACACGCAAGCTCACTTTCTTAGGCATGTGGAATCTCGAGAACATCACGTCTGGTCTTCATGGGTTGAGCGCGGCTGTGTACACCCGCGTTCTCGGCTGGTCGCACGAAGAGATGGAGGTCCTGCTGGCCAAGGTGCGCCGTGAGCTGAAGGATACCAGGATTCACTCCTACTGGCCGATGTAAGTGACTATCCTGTCCTCGCATTTCTCCTGCTGACATGAATCGCTCAGTTATGTCGTGTATGGCCAGAAGCCCGAGAGTAAGCAGGTTGAGAGCGATGAGCCGGAGAGCAGTGCCGAGGCTTAAACTGTTCTGCATGATTGCTGTGTCGGGGTTGGTGCTGTGGGACGCTTATTCTATCAGACTATTGTGACTTTTTCTTAGCCTGGTCGTGCTATTCAAACTGCTTGCGTCGCGTTTCTCCCGCCGTTCGCGGTCATGGATTTCTCAGTGATGCCGTTGCATGTTCCGCGTGTCTTGGTGGCAGTGCAGTCGGCGACGGGCGAGGCCTTCCTGACACTCGGTCATGGACCTCTGTATGGTCATTGGTCTGTTTTCCAGTGTATCTTCCGCGAGGAAGAAGTAAACCAAAAAAGGACATCCTCATTTATTCACCAAGGGGCAGACCCCCTCCTATACTCGTTTGCGCGCCAAGATGAGACGTGTCCGAGGTCCGAGACACCACACTAAGCAGTCCAAATGCGAAATCTTGAGCGAAAAAATCACAAGACCTAGCATGGGATAGACAACTTGGTAGAATCAAGTCGCATAGTAATACGCCCAATCCAGAACTCAAGTCTCGCTGATGTGTTCTCTCGAGAGTGGCGCCAGCCAAGACGCTATCCGAACTCGAGCAAGAAAGATCGTGGCCCGATCGGCAATCCGTCACTGTGAATACGGCCATTAGGTAAGGACAAAACAGCCCACACCGGCGTCGTTCATAACGAGGGGTTTTCCACGAGAGCGGGGGAGGCGAAATCTCCTTGCCTTCATCGTCCATACTTCAACACACTGCAGACCAACACTCTGTTTCAGTTCCATCCCGACGCCGCAGAAGGACAACCTACAAGACGAAAGACACACGCAGCATGGCCGCCTCCACAGACCTCCGCATCGACCCCATCACAAGCGCCGACGACTTCCCCGAAGCCCACCAAGTCGTCACCAACGCCTTCGCCAAGCAGGCCGGCGACGAGATCTGGACGCACTTCAACCCAGGCTGGGACACGCCAGCCGGCCAGGCCGCGGCCGCGGCGCGCATGGCGGCGCGCTTCAGCAAGACGACGCGCGACGCCGCCGGCGACCCGAACACGGTGTTCCTCAAGGCGACGCTGCCGGACGCGGACCGCGGAGCCGGGGCGCGCCGCATCGTCGGCGTCGCCATCTGGGTGCAGCTGTCCATGGTCGAGGGCCGCGGCGACAGGCCGGTCGAGGACCTCCGGGCGGCGGCCGACCTCGAGGCGCTGTACCCGGGCGACGCGCGCGCGCAGCGGTACTGCGTCGAGGTCGAGAGGGGGCTGCACAGGCGGCGGGCCGAGGTCGTCAGGGCCAAGGCGGGGGAGGCGCAGCCGGCCGTCATGGTGCTGGACTTGTGCGCTGTCGAGATTGGGTTCCAGCGGAGGGGCATCGCGCAGAAGCTCGTGCGCTGGGGGCTTGAGGAGGCGGCGAGGAGGGGAGGTCTCGAGGCGCTGACGGAGGCGTCGGCCATGGGACGCGGGGCCTATGTGAAGCTTGGCTTCCGGCAGGAGGGGCCTGAGATTGACTACGGCGTGAGCGAGGAGTTCAAGGACTGGAAGAAGCCGTCCAACATTTTCATGAGGACGGGGCTCGAGGGGCCTGAATGAGATGGGAGGTGAGACTGAGGGAGTAGTAGATCCTTAAGGTGAAGATGCCGTGAATCAAGGCATTGGGATCCGGGTATTTGAGCGACCTTGAAGATGAGCGGCCTTCAGTGAATATTTAAGATGTAGCTGTTATATGGAACCCCCGATAACCTCCGGCCGCGAGGCGTGCTTGACAGTATTAGCCACGATAGCGTGGCCAAGAAAGGGGAAGCCTTCATCGAATGTATCCCTGGGTAACAGGCTGTTCGTAGAGAACAACTCATAGGATCCTCCAGAGTAAACAGAATTTATTCAGATCTTGGAACAGGCCGGCGATGCTCTACGAATGAGCAAGATTGAAACTGATCAATTCTCTATCCCCCACCCAGCAGACTTGGCCAAGGCTCTGTTTCGTCTTCGTATTGACAGCTCAGATCTCCCATTGAATATTCATTGAGCGCGGCCGGGAGTATCGTAAAGGCTACAGGCAAGGAGCAGTGCCAGAGTGTTAGAACAGACTTAATAGGCGCACAAGAATGGGTAGGTCACGATATGCCATGCAACAAACTTCACATCATTCCCGCATGTGATATTACTTTCATTTACACAAAACACGGCTAAGGGTATCATTCTGTTTCATACTATCTACTACGTACGCAGTCAAGCCATCATTGACCAAACGCCAAGTCCATCCCAAGCTCACTCGTTCATCTGCGTCCACGTCTTGCCGACTTCCTGACACTGCACGGCGTGCTCCCCACCCGGCAACGCAACCACATACTCCAGGCCGAGTCGGACGCCGCGGCCGGCCTTGAGGCTGACATCCCAGCTGACCTCGCCTTCCTTCTTGAGCGACGCGACGGCGGTACCCCAGTCCCTGTCCTCCTTGCCATCACGCGTAGGCGCGCCAGCGCCGACGCCACCCCCGCCGACGGAGAGACCCTTCGGCTGCAGGATCTCGACCTTGAGACGCTCGTCTTCCGACACGGGAATCTGGTCATGCACGAGCAGCCTGATGGCCTTGCCGCCGCCGGTCGAGCTGCGCGTGTTGATGAGGGTGATGGCGCGCGTGTAGACGCCGCTGTTCTCGACCTTGAAGATGCCCGTGGTGCCGCGGCGAACCTCGGGCTTCGGGTACAGGACCTTGACGGCGGGATCGACGCCGAGCGACAGGCTGAAGGAGTCGCCAGGGCTGCAGCGCGGCAGGTTGGTGCGGCCCATGAAGGCGCCGTCGAGGGTCAGGCCCGTGGGCCCGCGCAGCAGTGTCATCTTGCTGATGTTGCGGAGGCGCGCCTTGAGGTAGGCAACGGGTCGGTACTTGGCGACGACGGTGTGACTGAAAACGACGTCCGGCAGCGTGAGGCGGACGACGCGCTGCTTAGACGCTGTCGAGCGTGGGGCCAGCGTCTTCGAGTTGGAGAGGTCATAGGTCGTCGTGAGGCCTGTCTCCTCCATGGCGGACTCTTCGAAATCGAGCTCGGGTTCGACATCAACGTTCACCTCGGTCTCGTCATCGGCCAGGTCTGGCTTAGAAGCAAACAGTCCGCCGCCTCGGCTCGCGTGGCTCCCGAATCCGCCTCCGCCCACACTAAACAGCCCTCCGCTCGTGGCCGCGCCTGCATGTAGCGCTGAACCGCCACCGGGAGCGGCAGCGCTCGGGGCAGGCGGCGGAGGGAAAGCAGAGCGAGCGTTGGGTGCAAACGAGGATGAGGCGACAGCCATCATGTTGCCTGACTTGGCTGCCTTCTTCCGGAGAACCTCCTCGGGAGCACCGAACACTTCGGCGGCAGTGCTCTGCAGACTCTGATGTTGCATTTGCTGCTGCATTTGCTGCTGCGGCTGTCCTGACCAGCCATGGTTTGCTCCCCATGGATTCTGCTGTGGTCGGCCAAAGAGGGTATTGCGCGATTGCTGCGGGGGCAGCTGTTTGCGCTGTGCTTGCCACGACTCCTTTTCGCGGAGTTCTTCGCGGCTCGCCAGCAGGGCCGTGTTGTCTCTGACGGTGCCCCGGGTGGCGAGCTTGATGCGCCAGGGCGCGAGGGTGGGAATGGCATCGGCAATGCCGGAGAAGGAGGCCTGGGACGTCGAGAGGACAATCTTGCAGTTGCTCCAGGTCTCGGACGTCTTGTTGGTGAGCTGGGCGTCGAAGCAGAGGGTGGCTGTGTTGGTCGTCGTCGAAAGCTGGAGATCATAGCTGGGGGACCAGAAAGCGGCCGTCGTGACATAGCTCAGCACAAGGTCGCACGTCAACTGGGAGGGGTCGACGGCGTCATCCGACCCCGCAACGGGCACCTTGACGAGGTCGCTGGAGACGGAGTTGCGCCGCGACGACATGGGGGTGAAGGCGGTGGCGTCGAGGGTGATGCAGACGGCGTAGCACTGGCGTGGCCAAAACTTCTCGCGCTCGGTGCGGACGCGGGCCTTCTCCTTCTGCTGCTCGGCCTTGCGCCTGTCCTTCTTGGTCTGCTCAGTCTGTTTCGTCTTTTGCGCCTTGAGCCAGGCCTTGACGGCCTTGCGCTGGGCCTTGGCGGCTTCGGCGACGAGGCGAGTCTCGACCTTGGTGGCTTCCTCAATGCGGAGAAGAATGTCGCGGGATTCCTTGACACCGGTCATGTGGTCGTCAAAGACCTTTTCGCGCTCGGTCCGGTATTTGTCCAGACTTCCCACAATGTCGGTGCCATCCTCCTCCGCCATGTGTTTGCCGTAGGCGTCGAGGATCTTGAGACGGTTCTCGGCACTGGCCAGCGATTCCTTGGCGCGGGTCTGTTCATCGCGCAGGGCCACGAGTTGCTGGCGGACCTGTTGAAGCTCTGCGGCATCCTCCTGGGAGGCGTTGGGATCTAGAATCTGTTCTTCGTCTGAGGTTTCGTCGCTGTCATTGTCGGAGTCGGGGTAAATGTCCTCGTAGATGTCTCGATTGGACTGGAGCTCAACGGTGATGTTGGAGATGACGGCGAGACCGGTGCCTTCAACCTTGATGGAGTGTTCGTCGACGGTGGGCGTGAGACCGATGACGGTGATCTCGTTGACGCCGGGCTATTGTTGGTGTGTTAGCGTGTGTTGCTGGACGGGGGAGGCAGTCAGGCAGCGAGGAGCGAGACAGGCGGGGTATGGCGGGGTTCGGAAGCGTACCTTAAGGGAGACGTCTTTGAGCTCGCGCACGACTTGGGCGCGCGAGGGAAAGAGGGTGACGGAGCGTGTCGTCAGGTCACGGACCTTGTACTCCTGCTTGTGGGCGGTGTCCATGGTCGGTGGAGGCCAGGTGTTGCTTCGATGGCAGAGGCTGTCCAGTGATGGCAGAGGCTGTCCAGTGATGGCAGAGGCTGTCCAGGGATGGCAGAGGCCTTGATCGGGTGTTGCTTCGACGGCTGAGACCTGGATCAGGGTGTTGCTGCGGCGGTAGCAGGAGGTGGCAGGAAGGATGGCATGTCTGGATCAAAGCAGAAGAAGGAGAGAGAGGCCAAGCTAATTATACCACAAGCATGGCGCGACCAGTCGGTTCGCCGATCCAAAAAGGCGGCTCAGCTCCTGTTGAGGCCTGCATCTTGGGCGTTGCTGGCGGGTTCTGATTGGCAAGGCAGACTGTCTGAGCGATGAGGACTGGTGCCTGGTGCCTGGTGCCTGGTGTGGTCTGGGGTGCCTGGTGTGGTCTGGGGTGCTTGGATGCTTGGATGCCTGGATGCCTGTGATGATTGGGATGCTTGGGAGTGGCTCGCCCGTCGATGAAGCAAACGACTGCCAAAGGCTTGGGCAGCTGTTTGATGACTTGAGCAGTGGTGGTGGTGGTGATGATGATGGTAACGAGAGCCCTTCGGCATGAGTTGATGCTGCGCCGTTGGCAGATGCAGTGGCTTCAGGCGAGGCGGCGGCAGGGGCAGCAGAGGCATAGTTGCCCGGACTGCAGCTGCACGCCGCCGCTGCACCTCGATGCGGGGTCAAGGGGGTTCAGACACAGCGGGCTCGTCTAGCCCTACGGTACCTCCCCAGGTACCTTAGCAAGCGACCCAGGTCCCTTAGGTACCTGAGCCTGGGTACCTTGAGCTACCTACCTAGGTAGGAGTGGCTTATGTGTGGCGGATCAGGGCGCAGTCGTGCTGTCTGGACACACCTACAAGTGTCTCCATGATCCTGTCTTTTGTGCAACAGCAACCGGTATCACCATGAAAATACGTTCTGAAGGCTCCCATCCCGGTTCAATATTATTCCTGTAGCATCGATGTATTTTCAGGGGCCATTCCTACATGGAAGCGTGCACAGAACGATCCAAACATACAGTCATGGTTGGTTGCTCACAAGCAGGCCCTCTGAGGTGCATGAGTACTACCCCTAGACTCACTTTGCATATCGAGAGCACCAGTCATGGTCCTGATGATCCAGGGCACAAAGAGCCGGGCGGCAGAATAGCAGTCCCAGTTTCACAGCGTTTGCAGCTCATCACAGACTTGCCAGGACAGACGGAGATAGTAGGCGGCCACGCCATAACCTCAATACCATGCGCCCTCTAGGTTCGTGCTGGAGTTTTGTCACCCTTATGAAGTCACCCTTATGAAAATAGGGAAGCATTGCATTACACCAGTACAAGAATCTGTATGACCTGGCATTTCAGTTGGCATTCTGCACTATTTGGCACAGGTGCCGTTCTACGCTATTGGCCCAGCTGCCATTCTACACCTTTGGCACAGGTGGCATTCTACACCTTTGGCACAGCTGTATTTCTCTTCGGCGGCGGCAAGGCACGCGCCGTGCTACTGAGCCCCTACATTGGCGCTATCGAGCGCCGCCGTTGGCTGCCTCCTGCAGGCTCCCTCGCCCGCCTCAATCCACTCAAAACGGACCACGATGGAGAGAGCTTGATGGAGTCCCGCCCTCCTCTATTTCTCGCCATGAACCCACCCACCCTCTCATCTCGCCCCTCCGTTCCAAAGCCCTAATGAAGCCCCCGATTTTGCGCTGCACACATCCCTGGTGGCCCAGCTGGTCAAGGCGTCCGACTGTTACTTGCATAGTATATCGGGAGATCGACAGTTCGATCCTGTCTCGGGGAGCATCTACCTCTTTTGTCTTTGCTAGTGCATGTCAAATTTGACATGATAGTTTGCTCTGGATTGATTTTCTGTCATCCAATCAACATCGTCCCTGGTGGCCCAGTTGGTTAAGGCGTCCGACTGTTAACAACAGATCAATCGGGAGATCGACAGTTCGAACCTGTCTCGGGGAGAGTTTCCTTTTGCATGGGAGCCACTTGAGGCTACTCCTTTTGCCATCTTTGTTATCATGTTTCGGTTTTCAGTTTTCGGTATTTAGGTGTTGGGGGCGTGTTGAGGCTGGCGACTCTGCTTGCTTGCTGTGCTGGCGATTGTCATGGAATCATCACGACCAGTTTGTCCATTTCTGATTCATGCCTCTTGTAGTTTGTCAATCAGAACATCGAAATGTGTTGGTACAACGCAGATCTGCCCTCTTAAGACACCTTGGACACCCACCATGCCACTCTTGAGATCTGCTGTGAAAGGGCAAAGACATTGAGCAACCTGTGCCTGGAAGAACGAGAACCATCACCATGTTTCGTTCACCCTTTTGCGGCCCAGGCCATCATCATAACGTTCGTCACGGTCATCCTACCTGTCACCACTTCGAAAACGGCCACCCTGCCGTCAACGTTAATAATTACAGCTACCCCCCAGACCACGACGCCAGACATCCCCTCGCCATCTCGAACCAGCACGCCTGTGACCCCCATGGCAGCCAGTTCCCCTCTCATCTCGTCTCTACCCAAGCCGCTCTCCGGCTCTCGTATCCCCACCTCCAAGCCCGCTGTACCGTCATCCTCCACTCCGGCGAACGCGCCCTGCTCGATCGCCACCACCTCCTCGCCCTGCTGCCCCGCACCCGCAACGCCGCCAACGCAGGCCGCGGCGCCGTCTTCGACCTGCCGGCCTTCCTCGCAGACTACACCCCCGACCTCGACGACATCCCCGCAGCCCTCTTCGTCCCCGGCTTCCACGCGGCCCTCACCTTCGTCATGCGCCACGTCGAAGCCCTCTCCCTGAGCACCGCCAGCAGCGGCGGCGCCGCCAGCACACCGACCCCCCTCTTCGCCCGCCAGCGCGCCCTCCTCGCCAACGTCCCGCCCCGCGACGAGCCGCCCCTCGTCTTCGACCTCTTCCAGCACGCCCTCTTCGCCTGCTGCGCCCTCGACCAGGACCGCGCCCTCGGCTGCTGCGACGCCCTCGGCCTCGAGGTCGTCACCTGGCTGCTCGACCTGCTGCCGCGCGTCCAGCTGCACGGCACGCGAGAGGCCGTCGTCTACCTGTTCGTCGGGCTGGCGAGGGTGTTTCGCGCGACGCCGACGACGACGGGCGCCGGCGCCGGCGCGCAGGTCGCTGTGCTGGGGCGGTTCTGGAACGCCCTTGAGCCGGACGAGCGGGCTGTTGCCGGGGTTATTGTTGGGGACGGGGCTGGGGACGGGGGCCGCGGGGGCAATGCGGCGAGGGTGTTGCAGGCGCTGCGAGGGCTGCGGGATGCTGGGGTTGTGGAGTGATGGGTGGGCTTGCTTGCTACGGCATCACTGAGACGGCATGCAAATTTCCTGGGGTAAATGGAAATACAAGGCCTTGTCAAGTTCGGTATCATTGTCATGGGGACGTGCATGCGGGGAAACGAGAGGCAATCTACGGCGATTTTGACTCTGGTCGTGGCATCTCTCGTCATGTCGCTGTGACTTCAACCCGAGCCTGAGTCTCCCCAATGGAGACGGTTTGCCGACTTGGCAAATAGTTTGCGGGGAAGTGGCTGTATCGCAAGACCCGGAGAAACCCGGCGTTTCCCTGGCATCGGTCCGGGTCCGGTCAAGACAGAGCCAGCCGAGTTAAGTGACGATGAGAGAGTCTGCTCGAGCGGAGCGTGATAGCCCCCTCACAGCAAAGCGAGCTTGCTATCGTTGTCCGGCTTTCGTTATCTGAGGTGGACAAAGTCCAAGATTGCGCCAAGCGTCAAGAGTCTGTTCGAGCAGCCCACGTGGTGCTGCCCTCAGGTTCTCCGGCGTACTGTTGGAAAACAGGCTTGACAGGGTACCACCAGGACTCCAGACCGGGCACGAGAACCGAGGAGCCAAGACCTTTTTTATCATCCCAGGCCTAGGAGTCCCCCCCCCCCCCCCCAGGCATCGTCCCGGGACGTCCTGCAGGAACCCAGGAACCCAGGAACCCTCGGTGGCACCTCTCGCGACCTCCCCCCCATCAAGCAACTAACCCCCAGCTCGGGAATTATCACCATGTCGGCCTACAGACTTGATCAAGTAGGAACCAGCGTCTCCTAGCGGTAGAGATGCCCCACACCACCGCTACCACGTTGGGGAGTGATTGGCGGTGACAGGGGATCGCCAGTGACGGGGACGGGGAAACACTCACTGCAGGTTGCCCTTCTCCTCACACGTGCTCTCTCTGCTCTCGACTCGTCTGTTTGCCCCCCTCACCATGTCAGTGCGGATCAATGTCCTAGAAGAGAGACTTGCGAGCTTACCCGGGCCATTGGGTCTTCTGCAGGGAGCCATGGCACCGTCATCGGCAGCAGCTTCACCAGGTATAAAGGCGAGTCGGCCGCCTGGCCCAGCCGTGTCTCGCCATGTGATGTGATCGCCAGATCCAGGTTGCAACCCTCTTGTCCAATTCCGCCCTCCCTCGACGCTCACGATGAAGGGTTTCGCTCTCGCTGCCACCGCCGCCGCCGCCTTTGCGCCTACTGCTCTCGCGCGGTGGGCCGAGGCCGTGGGCAAGTCGATCAACTTCACGTCTGTGCCTGGCTACTTCCAGCAGGATGACCTGGCGACCAACCCCACGGGCTTCGATTATGTGAGTGCGCCGTCGTGAGCAGATCAAAAAGCTGCCGACAAAGTCTCTCGCTGACCCCGAAATATCGCAGGCCACGACCAACTTTGGCCTCATCGATCGCGAGTACCCCACCGACAAGCACTTTGACCCCAAGGGCGAGAAGAGCCAGTGGCAGCGCTTCGAGGCCTGGCTCAGCTACCTGAACTCGGGCTGCCACAAGGACGGCAGCGTCACCTACAAGATCCTCTTCATGGGCCGCCACGGCGAGGGCTGGCACAACGCCGCCGAGTCCTTCTACGGTACCCCGGCCTGGAACGTACGTCCTCCATCCTTTGGTTTCGCATGGCCTCCTCTGCTTCAGGATTGGCCTCATGAGAGGGGAACGAGAATCGCTAATGGCGGAGTAGTGCTACTGGGCTGAGCAGCAGGGCAACGGCACGGCCATCTGGGCCGACGCCCACCTCACCCCCGCCGGCATCAACGAGGCCCTCAAGGCCAACAACTACTTCCGCGACCGCATCGCCACGCAGAAGATGCCCTACTTCGAGTCGTACTACGCGAGCCCCCTCGCCCGCTGCGGCCAGACGGCCAACTACACCTATGCCGGCCTCGACCAGCCCGCCGACCGCCCCTTCGTGCCCCTCGTCAAGGAGGGCTTCCGCGAGGGCATGACGGTGCACACGTGCAACTGGCGCGCCAACAAGACGTCCATCGCCGCCGAGTTTCCCTTTTTCGAGTTCGAGGCCGGCTTCACCGAGCTCGACGAGCTCTGGCGCGAAGACGAGAACGAGACCAACGCCGCCAAGGACGCTCGCGCCCGCGCCGTCCTCGACGACGTCTTCCGCGCCGACGCCAAGACGTGGCTCAGCATCACGAGCCACTCGGGCCAGATCACGAGCCTGCTCAAGGGCCTCAACCACCGCCCCTTCCGCCTCGCCACGGGCCAGATCATCCCCGTCCTCGTCAGGGCCGAGGCCGTGGCGCTGCAGCCCACGGCCACGTTCCTCGCCCACGAGCCCTCGGCTACCTGCGATGCGCCGCCTGTGACGAGCCTTGCCGACAAGGGATGCGTGTGCGCTACGTCTACGTCCGCGGTGCTTCCGGAGCCTACGGAGACTGATGAGTGTTCTGTGTGAGGAGTTGCCAGAGAGGAGATGAGAAAGATGTTGATGGAAGCAGTAGAATCGATTAAGTAAAGTAAAACAAAACATCTAATATTTGAGGAGTATCCCACGCGTGAACAGGCCAATGTCGACCCGGCAAAATACACAATCCGTAACCAGTTGCCTCACACCTTGTACACACGTAAACCCATAATGGTTCATCATCAGCAGCCAAACCGCAACGCCTCAGCCTTTGAAGCTCGGAGGTGGCTGTGAATATACATCGGCGCGGGTTTTGCGTCTGCCGTGATTAGATCCCGGTTTGGTGCCGTGCTCAGTCTCCCCTGGCGATCCTTCGACGCTGCTTAATTCAGAGGCGAGAGACCCTGTCCTTGAGTGACTTGGGGACCAGCCGAAGCCACTCGGCAACGACGATGAATCATTCCCCGGCGTGACTATAGAGGGAGTGCTTCGAGATGAGACAGCTGCTACACGGAGGAGATAGTCAGCACGGCGGCTCAGGGAAACGACGTCTTGGGATCAATCGCTGGCACTCACCACCACCACCACCACCGCTGCCGCGAGGTCTGTGTCGCCGACAGATTCCAATGGCATTCTTCAGTAGATCGGCCTGCGTCTGAATCATCTCCCTCTCGGCCAGCACGTCCTCTGACTCTAAGGCAAGCTCTTCGACCTTTTAATCTTCCATGCGATTGACTCTGCCAGGGGTCATTATGTCTGGCAGGCGGGTGATCAGACAACTCTCGAGCGCGAGGTACGCTACATTTTCCGTGAAGGTCCAACGCGACATCTAGCAGAAGCAATGAGCACCACATCCAGTGGAGCCACTCCATGAACGAGACAGAGGGAAAAGATGAGGAAGCCCACCTCGTAATACGTTTCCATGTTGTCGATCGTCTGGTCAATGCCGAACTCATCCCTCAGCGACGGCGTCTTCTGAATGGTGCGGGCGACATCATAGCGATCCATGGTCCCCTCCGCAAGCCCCTCGGCCAGCGCGGATCCCATGTTCTGAAGCACGTCGACAACGCGCTCCGTCACCCGCTCAACCTCCCTCACAGACATGGTCGAGTTGAACTCCGCCACAAGGGGCATTCCGAATACGGCTTCATAAGGCAAAAGCAGCTCGTCCAGCTTGGCCTTGAGCTCCTTTTTTCTTCTTTTCCAAGAAAACATCCACACACGAGTGGAGGATTGCGTCGAGGGTTGTCTTGTCGTCGCCGATGATATGTTCAATCAGCTGCTCCACGAAAGACTTGCTGAGCTCTGTCACGACGTCCAGGTGCCGTTCGGCGATCCCCCACCAAGGCTTGGCCTGCCGCCGGAACATCTGGATCGCGAGATCTGTGTTCGGTGACCCGGGAAATTCTCTGCCCTGGTTGGCGGCTGCGAGAGCCCTCATCTCTGTCTTGAGGGCCTCTTCAAAGACAGGCTCTGGCTTGGGGAACTGGAAATACTCCAGTGCCTCCTGGAGATGCACCGGCGGCGGAGCGACGTCCTGTGACTGCGACGGCTCGCCAGGCGGGCCTCCACGAAGGATCTCCTGGCTCATGCCCCCTCGTCATGAGGACATGGTGGAACGCGCTGTTGAGGTTACGCAGTTGCGCGCACAGCTTGCGGAGGTTCTTCTCGTCAAGGTCATCAAAGAAGCGCTCGCCGTAGTTGCCGCTGATGGCGTTCCGCGCGATGCGCTGAAACTCCTCCGCAATGTCGACAAGGTGCGCTCGCATCTCGGGCTGCGTGGAGCGGGCCTTGGTTCTTCGTTCCTGGCGAGCTGGAGGTATTTCGCTTCGTTGGAGAGACCTGGCTTTGGCACGTTGGGCTTCGTGATGACGCCGAGCGTGCGCAGTCTCTTGGGATCGTGCTCCCTGGTCTCGTCAAGAATCCGCTGGGAGGCTAGCTGCGTGCTCGCCGAGAGCACTGCCAAAATGATGCTCTGTTCTTGAGCCATGTAGCTCTTGACGAGGCGGTTGACAATCTTGATGCCCTCGAGAGACTGTTCGCCCGTTGAAGAGTGGTAGAAACCGGGAAGGTCTACGAGTGTAAGAGATGGGACATCAGGCCCAGAAACCTCGATGCGCAGCACGTCTCGTGAGAACCCGACATCTGAGCCAGGCCGGATGCCCATGCGTTCCGTAGCCTCTTCGATCAGGGACGGGAGGCGGCTGAGGTCGAGTTCTTCCCTGTGGAAGGGCTCCTGATCCCCCGAAGACCCCTTGGCGAAGCGGATGGTGACATTAACATAGGAGGTGGAAGAAAGACGGAGAACCAGCTCCGTGGCGAATCGCGTGCACAGATCGCCTTTGACAGGAAAGGGGACGCGTGAGATTGCTTCTAGGACGGACGACTTGCCCGAGGACTGGTCGCCGACGACGATGATCTGTGGGAGACTGATGATGTCGCCAACATTGATAGAACGGAGCTTATCAATCGTGTCCAGGAGTGCCTTGGCCTCGGGGCTGTTGAGGTCGTCCATGACGGAAGCATCAAGGGCAACATCATCGGCAACTGTGGTAGCCATGTTTGAGTAGTAAGAGTAGTAACGCGTGCGGAGGAGGCTGGTTGCTGCAGAGAAGATGGATAAGCATGGACTTGGGGGATTACAATACAATTGGCGTGCGTATGATGTCTGAATATTACGATGTAGAAGTATGAGACGGAAGAGTGTAATGTAGTGCTGGATGTGCCCACTAGCAAAGAACACTGATGCGTACAGTCCTTTTAACATATTTGTTTTGCCTGCTCGGTAATTCTTACTCGATGAATCTACTCGACATGAGATCAAGAACCTGGTGCTGTGGGCCATTTTTCCATTTCCCATTTCTCCTGGCGTAGGTGCTGCATCGTTGTCATCCTATCTTTGGAAACAGTGTTGGTGTAAACATGCAATATTGATGGCAGTTGGTAGCAGGTTTGGTGCTTGAAACCTGTGGCCGTACTGACTGTGGGCAGAAGAGACCAGAATCATATGGCAGCTCCAGCCAAATGGCAGACCCATGAGACAAATGTGGCTGGACATCTGCAGGACCCTGGATTGCGCGATAGGTCTATGTCGTGGGCCAGCGACTAAATCATTCGTGAACATGGGCGGAGCTGCAGCCAACATGGTTGCATCCCAAGCTCAGCTTCTTTTGGCGGACAAGCAATGACCTGCCATGTCGAGATGCACTAGTCCCGGCCATGGCCGAGTGTGGTTCGCCATAAAACATGTCAGGGGAACAGTCCCAGAAGCCTATCTCCGGATCTGAAAGCTTAATTGCCACTTGACCGCAGATGGTATGTGAAAATGGTACTTTTTAAAACTACCTTGTCAGCCTCGATGACTGCCTGGGCTGTGAAATTTGTATGCGACCGTGGGCCAACACGAAGCTTAGGCGCCTGAAGATGGCTTGCTTCTAGGACCACAAGGACCATCTCAAACCTAATGTTCCAGCCAGCACCCCCGCCACTTCCTCCCTCCAGTATTGCAGTTCTGGTTTCTTTGAATGCCGATTTAACCAGAAGCCCCCGATGTGCAGGTCAGTCCAAGGTTGCTCGGAGTATTGGCACACAACACCGTGTTGGCACCGCTGGGTGCTGTGACACTGAACCGCTTCACCGTGATGCCACACGTTCCCGAAGGAGAGCAGTTGATGTTGGCCACGTTGTTCTTGTAGTGCCCTGACGTGGTACCGGTGAAGCCGTCAAGAACGATACCCTGCATGTTGGCCACGGCCGGATGCGCTGTGCAGTCAGCCGTCGTGGTGGACTGGTAGCAGGTAAGGACGCGGAAGGCATAATCGCACTTGTCGCAGATGATGTCTTGCCATGTGACGTTGCTGACACTTGCGCTGCCGTGGCCCGATGAACTGTCGAAGAACTTGATGCCCGCCGCCTTATCTGAGCTGGCGACTGTGCAGTTCTTGAAGATGCTGTTCGTGACAACGTCGTTGGCTCCCGCGGTACCGGCAAGGCTGCCGACGGAGAGGCCGTGGGAACCGGTGCAGGTGACGCCTTCGACATGCACCTGGTCAGCTCCAGGCTTCAGAACCACGCAGTCATCGTCGTTGGTGACCTGCGAGTTGAGCACCCTGACGTTCGATGCGGGCCCAATGTCAAACCCGTCAGTGTTGTGGGCGACGTTGGCTGAGGTGCTTACAGAGTGCAGAGTGAGATCGGAGTAGGTGATGTCTTTCGAGTTGCCGTTCGTGACGATGTGGAACATGGGCGCATCCTTCACCGTGAACCCACTGAAGTGGATGTTATTGCATCCCTCGACCCGAATGAGCTTGGGCCGAACATAGTCGGTCGCTGTGATTATGTGGTCCCCTACTTTGGTGTGAGGACGTCTACTTGTATGTGCAAATGTTGACGCGAAGGACACATGCTCAGCGGCTTTGGTAACACTCACAGCTTGCTTGGCCGTTGCCGTTGATGGTGCCTGACCCTGTGATAGTCGCACCAGTGATCTTTGATAGGGAGATGACCTGTGATTTGCCGTTCCAGTAATTGAAGTCGGTCGACACGGATAGCACGCCGTCTAGTTGCAGCGTACATCCAGTACAGCCAGCGAAAGACAGCTGACTGTTGATATGATAGGTTTGGCCAGCGGGAATCAGAATTGTACCACTTGCGCAGCTCTTAATGGCAGACTGTATGGCCGGCACATCGTCAACAGTACTTAACCCGCCTGCTGTCGGGGTACACGTTGTTGCTCGGGGATGGAGGGCCACACGATCCGGTGTTAGGGGAACCGGCTCAGAAAAGACGAGGCCATTAAGACTGCTCAAGAGGACAGAGATGACAGTCAAATTTATGAACATGGCTGTTGGACTTTCTCAGCTGGCGTCTAAGAAGATGGATATGAGACTCGTCTCCAGAAGTATGGACATTGACTGAAGCTACGACGGCTATATATACTGCTCAGACGACGAGTCTTCAGGTGTCGGGGGTCCTTCCCAATGCCGATGCCGTACTGCTAAGGGTGCCGGACACTGATGACATTCGCGCTAATCTCATATTGCCAAGACGTCTGGACTCTTGGAATGCTGGAGTTGACTTGCGTCACACTAGGGGCACCTGAGCACGAGTCGCCGTCTCAACATTGGTGGAACTCTGGGTGGTCTGTTTACAACAGGTCTGTAAAGTAATGTTCCCATCATCAAGCTGGCGAAAGGGAGGGGTGCGTGTCGGATTAAGGGCCTTGACCCGGGCCCTGACCGGCACCCACAGCAGTAGTAATGACTAAATGCGGCAGACTTATATGGGACTCGTACGCAAGGCCGCTTGCAACTATCATTTTGTTACCATACGTCACACCATTGGCAACCATAGCTGGTGCCTCACATGACGCAGTTTGTAACTACCTATAGGTGGTGCGTACGTGAAGCCATTGATAACTATGATTATCCCCCAGCTCAATCATACGACGTCGAGCAGGATCCTCCCCGCATGGCATTGTCGTACTGACCTTTCCTGGACACGCTTTGCGACAGCATCCGAAGCGCGGGTAGCTGAGACTACTCCTTGAGCCGAAGAAACCGCATTGAGACAATGTGTAGATGCAATTAAAAATCATCCTGAATGTGTAGGCCGTAGGCTTCTGCACCCATTTGATACCATTCACAATGCGATGCATGCTGTGCGTCGCGTGGACATAGTCCGGACCGCTACCCATGGGTAGACCAATTGATTGGGTGGCTTCAAGTAATCTCATTGGAAACCACCAACTCCGATATCTAGATGAATCAACCATCCCAAAAGGAAAACGTCCATGGGTGCACCGCCTAGGCACGGATCACCGGCCGACTGGAGGGTTGGCATCCCGCTATGCCAAGACGGGATGGCGCAAGCCAAGACGCGCGTTCATCCTGACAGCTGCGGCACTTCCCCTGAACCGACACACCAAAGCGTCGTCCTCGGCAGACAATGGCCATGACTAGCGATGTTAATGGAGAGTATCGCCGCAGGTGTTCACCCGACTGTGCCGAGAAACCCATGGTACTGGAATTTTCCACGAAAGGAAGACGACAAAATGGGCCCGCTGCGAAGCCTAACCTAAGAGATCCAGCTGTTGCTCGCCGCAGGCCAATTTTAAACTAGACCGTTGTCCTGTGGAGGTCGTGAAGCTGAATCTGGGGTAAAGGAGGACTCTCTTCCCCCGCACCACCCATTCCTGGCCCATGGAAATTCGTCTCCCTCAGAGGCGCTCGTGACCAGGCTCTCCCTCCGCCTTAGACACGATGGAGAAGGCCGCCCATCACCTGGCTCGTAGGAGTAGCTGACCCAAGCTCCCGGATGTCCGGCACAGACGGAAAAACCAAGATGCGGCCCTAATCCATTTCCACGGGTCCCCGACAGGTACGTTAGCATGTCATTGGCTCTCAAGCTCTATGGCTGTAGGGATCAAGGACCTGTCTCCTGTACAGTTTAAGCAGAGCTTAATCTTGCGGCAAAACATGGATATCATGAAGGACAGTAGCTCAGATGAGCAGATACAATATAAGAAAGGACCATAGACCGCGACAAAAGGACTCATAGCTTTTGTCCAGCATCTCCATATCAGTCTCTCGCCCCATTTGATCAATCATCATGCTCGTCTCAGCCAGTGCCTTGTCATTCGCATGGCTGGCGGCAGCCATTCAAGGCGCCGTTTGTGCAGCACCAGCCAAGGCCTCAATTGTGCGCCCCAATATCAAGGCTTGGCCGCTCAATCCCGGCAATCTTCACTTGAACTCACCCGCGCGGGCAGCCGATAAAGTCTGCTATGTCAAGCCCAGTTGCGTTGGCAAGGACGACGCCGCCGCCATCCTCAAGGCTTTCCAGCAGTGCAACAATGGAGGAACGGTTGTTTTGGACCGCAACTACACCATCGCATCGCCACTAGACTTGACATTCCTGAATGCCATTGATGTTGCTATCACGGGCACCATTAATTTCAGCGACAACATGACGAGCTGGACGGGTCACATGTTCAAGTACGCCTACCAGGATTCCCTTGCCATGTGGCGCTTTGGTGGTAAAGACGTCAACATCTACGGCCAAGGAGTGGGTGTCATCAACGGAAACGGCCAAGCGTGGTGGGATGCGTTTGCCGCCAACGCGGCTCTGCTGCGCCCGATTCTGTTTGTTATCGACGGATTGCACGGTGGCTCAGTGACTGGCCTAAACATGCGCAATCCTCCCGATGTAAGTTCCGTGCCCCAAGCGAACCTCTCAACGTGAGGCCGGTGCACTAAGCTGATGATTACAAGTGGTTCAACCTGATCGCAAATAGCTCCAATATCATTGTGAGCGACCTTGATCTGAAGGTCAAGGTAATGAATTCCCAAGACTTCACAAGTGTGCGTCAACTGACAGATACTCCAGAGCATTAGCAAGAATCTCGCTAAGAACACTGATGGTTGGGATACCTACCGTTCAGATTCCATTGTGATTCAGAACTCGGTCATTAACAACGGTGATGATTGCGTTTCGTTCAAGCCCAACAGCACCAACATTGTGGTTCAAGGCCTTCAGTGCAACGGCTCTCACGGCATTTCCGTTGGTTCCCTGGGCCAGTACATTGACGAATTTGACATCGTGGAGAACGTCTATGTCTACAACATTTCGATGGCCAACGCCTCAGATGGCGCCCGTATCAAGGTCTGGCCGGGCATGTACACGCCTTTCCAACCCACTTTGTCAGGTGGTGGCGGCTCCGGCTACGTCAAGAATGTTACCTACGACGGCCTCTTCAACACCAATAACGACTGGGCAATTGAACTCACCCAATGCTATGGCCAGAAGAACCTGACCCTCTGCAACCAATATCCCGTGAGTTCAAAAATCGCTTTTAGCATCCAGATGCAATAACTGACGTCTACAGTCGAACATGATCATCCAAGACGTTGTCTTCAAGAACATGTGGGGCACAACATCCAAGGCCCACGACCCTAATGTCGGCACACTTGTCTGCAGCGCACCAGGGGTAAGCCGATTTGGAAGCCCGTCATATTGAAGAAAGCCAGCTGACCGTTCTTAACAGCTCTGCAAGAACATTCGAGCACAAAATATCACCGTCACCCCCCCGAGCGGTAAACCGTCCAAGTTCATTTGCACCAACCTAGACAACTCACTGCTTGACATAACCTGCACCTAACTTTGGAGACTTGAGCGATTAGACTGTACATAATTTGGTGTAATAGAAAGAGCAGATTAAGTGAGCCGAATTCAATGATGATAAAATAGGATAGGGCTTGTGTTCTTGCGAGAAGTTGAATTTCTCCGTACTGCCTTGGGTAATAACACCCGTAGTTGGCTATCCCTACCGCCGTTCCTCACTAACGTGCGTCTTTCTACCCACTCTATCAATTGTGCTCCCGCTTCTCTGCAGCTAGGAATTCAAGCATCGAATCAGTGACTGTTGTGGCCAGGGGAAACGATTACTCAATTGCCCAGTTTGCTGGGAAGACTCTTTTGAGCCATCTACTTGATAAATGCGTTCTTCGGCCTTTGATTTCCCAGACCCAGGCTCGCCAATCGGAATACGACTTGCGAGCTCTGGGTGGTGCTCTCTCGCTATATCCGCTGCGGTCTGCCAGTCAAAGTAACGAGCAACGAGATATCTCTGACCGCTTGCCTCGGGCGTCTCAATAGCTGCCCTGATGATCGCAGCACAGTCGCGGGCGTCGACACAGCCACCAAACATGAGTGCCGGAATAGATGCGGCATCAACAATCGCCCATAGCATGGCGCCGGTCGACGTTGTTTGTGTTGACTCAATGCGATCCAGGTGTGGCCCTAGGATCATGGAAGGATTGATGCAGACGAGATCAAAGCTCGGCTTGTTCTGGCTGAACCAGTCCCATACCGCGCGTTCTGAAAGAGACTTGGAAGCGATGTACAGTTCGCTGCGGTCCGCTATTAACACTGCCTCATCAAACGTGATCGGATTGTAATCTTTCTCCGAATACGTGTAGCCCGGTCGAAAGCCCTGAGCAGGGTTTAACATGGCTGACAACGAAGACAAGTGAATGACTCTCCGGCCTGAGGACGAAGCCAACCGCGATACTGCATCCAGGATGGCGGTTGCACCTTGAATGGCAGGGTTCAGCATGTCCCGAATGTTGTCTTCAACAACGCCATGTACAGGGCTGGCGGTATGGATGACAGCTGTGATCGTATCGTCGAGGGCACCATTATAGTTTTCAGAGTTCGTAATATCGGTCACGATGGCGATTTCGAGTCGAGAACCCCAGTAGCTAGGAAAAGTTTCGCGGACTTTGTCACTGGCCTTCTGTGATCGTACAGCGCCTCTGACTCTGTAGTCGCTTTGCAAGAGTTCGTTGATGATATGCAGGGCAATGTAGCCGTTTGCGCCTGTTACCAGAATCGTTTGCTCGGACGGAGACACCATTTCGAATGACGTTGATGACAGAAAGATTCTCTCGCCTGGGTCGAGTCATCAGGTCAAACAGTGATAAAAGTCTGATCGACCTTACGAAGCGCTCAGTGTCCCTTAAATACGTCATGAAAGGTAGATTCCATGTTCCATGCTCCAGGCCTAAGTCCGGCATGCCACATTGCCTCAGTGCTCGGTTCTTTACTTGACCCCGTACCAAGCTGACCCACAACTGTGTCGCGGGGCTAGGAGTGCCAAACAACCCCTAATCCGACGCCCTGTACGGAGTTAGGAGTTATAGGAGGCACTTGTCGTGCCTCGAGTGAGAACCGTATCAAATTCGTATATCAGGATCTAGTGATTCTGAAAATGCCTTGAGGGATTATTAGGGAACTTTGCCGCCATGTAAATCTGCTGAAGAAAACCTCATTGTTGAACCAATATTAGGGAACTCTGTGGTTAGGATGGTGATATCTGGGATCCACTGCTCTCAGGAGCACGTGAACTACGGCTTACGTGATCGCTGAGAGCAGATGGGTATATCTGACTCACGTAGGTAGCAGTAACTCAGAGAAGCAGACAATTACACAAGAATCAACCATCACAAGACTTATCAGATACCCTACCTATTCAGAGCTCGCAAGCACAGCGGAAGTACTGGATTGGGGTTCACATAAGCAGTGAAACCCTCTCAACACTCATACCCTTTTCTGAATTTCACGAAATCGTTCCCGCTTTTTGCATTCCATCAAATTCTCCATCCGACAATATTGGCGGCTCTGAAAGCTGGCGAATCTCAATCTAAAGACGCCTAAGCTTGCGGCTTGATTTGAAGGCCCTGGGAGGAGCATTTCACCCCATCCGCCCTTGCTACAGAGTGATATATCTTCCACTGTTGTCTGGAGATCCCAGATGAAAGTTTGACACTTCAAAGAGTCTCACGAGGTATGCCTGCTTTCGATGACCTCCGGAGCTGCTAGGAACGGCGGTAGTAGTCAAATCAGTGAATTTAACAAGCCATGTTCGAGCGGATTGAGGGGGCCTTGAAGGCCTGCGACAGCTTTCTTCATCTAAGCGAGTTTATTTCGGCGACGTATTGAAGCTTCTTGGGCGAACTATCGAACTGGCTATCAAGGTACCTAGCCGACAACCGAGAAAGGATGCAGGGCCTTCGGGGAGACCGTTGATAGGATCTGGCATGTCGCGTGGCTCGATCTGCGAACGGGACCCCAACACGTGCAAAATGTTGATCGCGGTTTGCATGCGATTTGATCAGTTACAGCTTTCCGGATTCAGGGGGCTCACATTTTCGATGTCAAGAGGGAGTTGAAAGCCCTTGACTCAGCGATGGACTCAAAACACTTAGCGAATGCCCACACAGGTGTCAGTAAATGGGAGCCAAGTCCTTAGAAGCTCGGATCTTGCCAAAAGAAGAAAAACAAGAAAATTTGTATGAGTTGATTCTGCTTGAGAATGATTCCATTCGCAGGTAGCATCATGAAGTGAGGTGTTTTGCGGACCATTGAGGCAAATTCGCGCCCAACCATCATAACACCGCAGGTATCCATCAAGACGCACTGCGAATGTCACCTCACGCTTTCGGGTCCAGACCGTTGGAAAACACGAGCAAAATCGACGACGGATACAACCCTGCCTGCAGGTACGACGGGCCAGTTTGCCCGAATTGGCAGGCTATGGGTCCTTATCCTCCTTTGATGTACCCGGATGGTCGAAAAGGATGGGTGTCGGCGTCCATTGTACCGGGATTCAGACGGATGTCAAGGCGTGGTAGAGAGACTGATGGACCACGTGCGAGAAGTTCCGGAATCAAGTGATGCATACTTAAGCCTGGGCTTGGCTGTTGACTTCGGCTCATCGCGTCCACCCTCACCCAACGACAGTGATCGACACCTGACGAAATGCGTCTGTCAAGCATTCTCCTTACTCTGCCCCTAGCAGCGGCGACAATTCAGGATATCATCCAAGCCCGGGATGACGAGAATGCTGGAGATGCCCCGTCCCTGGTGGTCAAAAGGTTCATTGTTGAGGCAGAACCAGTGAGCTCTGGGACTTATCAACTCAGCTATGACGCTCTCAGCTAATTTCTCCATGATAGGGTACCCCCTTGGCCGACCTGTCACGGAAAATTGAGGCGAACGGTATCAAGGTTTTGAAAACCTTTGACACGGATGTCTTTGCTGGGCTCAGTGTCGAGACTGAACACGACAATGTGGACACTCTTCAGGAAGTCACCGAAGTAGCACGAGCTTGGCCTGTCAACAGGTTCAAATTAGCAGCTGTCGATGTATCTACCTTAAGCCACAATGCAATGGCCGGGAATTGGTCTGTTCACCAGGCCACTGGAGTAGACAAGCTTCATGAGGCGGGGTTATTTGGCAAAGGGGTCAAGATTGGCGTTATCGACTCAGGAATCGATTACAATCATACAGCAGTGAGTGCTCCAGTGTACTGGTTGATTTCTCTTGTTTGATTCTTCGCAGCTAACTGGCCCTTATCAGCTCGGTGGAGGAATTGGGCCTGGGTTCAAGGTCATCGGCGGATACGACTTGGTTGGCCAGAGTAAGCTCATCCATCGAGCGGCTTTGATCCCGCCGCGCCTGTTTTACTGACCGTCCAACGCAGATTACAACGGCAAGAATACCAAGGTGCCTGATGATGACCCAATGGACACAATCGGTCACGGTACTCATGTTGCTGGCATTATTGCTGCCAAAAGCGAGCAGTAAGTCGCCTGGACAGCCTGACCATGGGCATATGCCTGCATGGACTAATCGGTTTCAGTAACGTCGGTGTTGCGCCAGAGGCGACGCTGCTGGCATTCAAGGTTTTCGGAGCTGTAAGACGCCATCGCTTGTGAAACGCTGAGGTAGGGCCAATATGCTGATTTTTACTTCTAGGTGGACGGAACTGATGAGGACTCACTGGTTGATGCAACACTCATGGCGTATGAGGCTGGTGTGCGTGACTCCAAGTGTTGATTTGCCCCCTCAACTGTTTCCATGGCACTGATCTCGGTCTTAGGTCGACATCATTACAGCAAGTGTGGCTCGCGCAGCGGGCTTTTCCGACGGTCCATGGGCCTCAATCTGCTCGAGAATTGTTGACAAGGGCGTTGTCGTTACCGTTGCAGCCGGAAACGACGGAGAAGACGGACCTTTTTATGCGAGCAGCGGCTCCTCTGGAAACAACGTATTGGCTATCGCTTCAGTCGAAACAGGCGTTGTTCCTGCACGCCCGTGGAAAGCAAAGTTCTCACTTGACGGAAAGTCCGACTATGTACAGCTGGGCTACATCCCATCTGTCAACCGTCCTCTATGGAACATCACCGGTCTGCCGCTCGTCGCCATCACTCTCGATGCATCAGTAGCGGATGACGCTTGCAAACTTCCAGCCGATACACGAGACCTTTCCGGTTCTGTTGTCCTCGTTCGGAAAGGCACTTGCAATCTGTACGACAAACAAGACAATCTGGAAAGGTTTGGTGCTCGGTGGATCCTCCTCTACAACAACGACGACAGACCGTTCTCGACAGTCATGACCTCTACCCGCAAGTCTCAGATGGTCATGATTGACGCAAAGACCGGTGCTACTATCATCGACGCCATGAAGGCTGGGGCTAGTGTGACGGTCGACTTCACTGTGCCTAGAGATGACTCTTGGCGTGTAAGCTTCAATGATGTTGCTAGAGGCATCCCTTCCTACACCACGAGCTGGGGCGCCACCAACGAACTACAAATCAAGCCAGATGTTGCCGGGCCCGGCGGCAAGATTTGGAGCACTGCGCCCGGTAATAAATTTGCGCAAATGAGTGGAACCTCAATGGCGACGCCTTACATAGCAGGAGTGGCTGCGCTGTATATCAGCAAGTTTGGGGGCCGTTCTGTTCATGGATCTGGATTCGCCAAGCAGCTCGGAGACCGCATCATTGCCAGCGGTACTTCAGTTCCCTGGCAGATTTTCGAAGCGGTCGGCTTGCCCAAAGACTTTGGCTTCCTGGCTCCTGTTGCTCAGGTTGGGTCCGGCTTTATCAACGCCACGAAGGTCTTGGAGTATCAGACAACTCTGACGTTCGAAAGGTTCAACCTCAACGACACAAATAACTTTGAGCGATACCACAAGGTGGACATCACGAACAAAGGTGACAAGGATGTCACCTACACCTTCCGACTTGAGCCGGCCGGTGGCTTTAATGCCCAAGGACGTACTCCCGGGCTCCTTGGCGATATCCTCGACACGCGCCCCAGTAGCATGGTTCCGCGTGTGACCTTTCCAAGTGGAACCTTCCGCGTGCGGGCGGGCGAGACGAAAACAGCCCAGTGAGCATTGTCTTTCATCTTACATACAGGTCGCAATAAATTCTAACGAAGGACCAGGTTCAACTTCATGTACCCCGAGGTCGCAGATCCGTCGCTGTTGCCAATTTACAGTGGCAAAGTCATCATCGAGGGAAGCAATGGCGAGAGTCTCGGCATACCATATCTCGGTAAGCGATTTCGACCTCAGCCTGGTCATTTCTAATGTTATCAGGTGCGGCTTTCGACCTCAAAAAGAGCCTCAGGCGTAATCTGTTCCCCGCATCGTACCCGTACACTCGCAGTGGCCCGAAGGCGGAGGGCATCGATACATACCACAGGCGAGTCGTATGCGAGGCGGTTTTCTGGTTGTTTTTTCCTGACAGAATGTAGCTTCGCCTTCAACACAAGCAGGGCAGCTCAGGATTTCCCGAAAGTCTATGCCCAATTCCGATGGGGAGTGAAGGAGCTTCGCTGGGACGTATGTCAAACTGAGTGAAGCTGCAGAGGCGACGCTGACAACAACGCTAGATCTATGAGACGAACTACCAGGAAAAGAACTGGAAGTATCCTCCTGTCGTGGGCCAGAACGGCTACGTCGGCTCTGCCACATTCTCTCCCTATGCTTCTTCCTTTGGCAATTTCGACCCCGCCACGATGGACAAGAACCGTGTCCTTCCTTTCCCGGTAGGTGACATTGAACGCACCACGTCCTGGGATGAAGTCACGGAACGGTTCTGGTGGCTAGGCAAACTGGCCAACGGCACAGATATTGCGCCTGGCAACTATACGTAAGAATACTTCCTGGCGCATGAGTTCCCTTCTTTTATCGTATTGACAATGCCGATCTTGCATAGAATGAGGTTCGCAGCTCGTCTTCCGTTCAGCAACCCTGAACATTCCGACAACTGGCATATCTGGGACACGCCCAAGATCCAGGTTCGACCACTACAGTGAGAGTCCTAGTAGTGGCACTCATGATGCAGGGCGCGGATTAGTTGGTCAAGAACAATAGCACACCTAGACAGAACCACTCGCAGGAGCAACTAAACCCGAAAGACTGCACTTCGCTCAGGAACATCGAAATCTGTTTTGTGTCGCCCTTGTCGGCGCCGCTGATTCATGACCCTGGCATGCTTTGTCACAGCCTTGGGGAAGCACGTCAGCCGCAAAATGCAAGCCAGAGGAACTATCACTAGACTCGCTTGCCGTGCTTGGCATCCGAGCCTCCCGTTTAGATTAGTAGCCTAGCCCCTCGCACATGGAATGTGACCTCTTCCCCACACACACCCGTGAGTGTGTGACCCGTCACCATGGTGCTGCAAAGACTCCCTGCCCCGCATTTACCGAGCCCGAGCCGCTGAACTGCCCGTGGGGCCCCGGACCCCAAGTTTTCCTCTCTATAATAACGCGTGCTTGTTCACCCAATACGTCAGTCGACTTTTCCAATGCAGACAAGCTTTGACTCAACATGGTCGACTCACAGTTCACGTTCAGCAACCTTATCAACGGGGAGCTGAGGCCTGGTGCCTCGGTCACCCAGGGCATCAACCCTTCTGACAGAAAGCCCTTGTGGGATGTTCCCCTGGCTTCCCGACAGGATCTCGAAGACGCAGTCGCTGCGGCCAAGGATGCTTTCCCGGCCTGGAAGAAGACCGCTTGGGCGGAGAGGAGTCGCATCGTTAGCGCGATACGCGACGTTCTGCTGGAGAATTCAGAGCAGATGGCGACTCTGCTGACCAAAGAGGCCGGCAAGCCGGTATGCGCGGTCTTGAAACTGGAGGGCGGGAGACTTGACTGATCGCTTCTCAGATCGAATTCGCGAGAATTGAGGTTGACCACGCAAGCAACTTTCTCCAATTCAATGGTACGCTCCCGAGCTTTATCGTTCAGGCGAAAAGGCTAACATGCAACAGCGGGATTGCTCGAGCCGGAGGAGAAGGTCACGCTGGACAACGAGACACTCCGTCTCACTATCAGACAGCAGCCAGTTGGCGTTGTCGTGGCCATCTGCCCCTGGAATTTTCCGCTGGTCTTGGCAGTGGCCAAGATCGCCGCGGCCTTGGTTACCGGCAATTGCATCATTTTGAAGCCCTCACCATTCACACCGTACTCGGCTCTCAAGCTCGCAGAGTTGACAAACCACCTCCTGCCGAAGGGTGTGCTCCAGGTGCTGCATGGCGACGCGAACCTCGGTCCGTGGATGTGCTCCCACCCCGGCGTCGATAAAATCACCTTCACTGGATCCACAGCGACAGGTAAGAAGATCATGGTGAACGCCGCCGAGACGCTCAAGACCATCACTCTGGAGCTCGGCGGGAACAGCGCGAGCATCGTCTGCGGCGACGTCAACCCCAAGATCGTGGCGCCACAGGTTGCGGTGGGAGCCTTCTTCAACTCGGGCCAATACTGCCTCGCGAGCAAGCGGATCTACGTCCACGAGAGCATCTACGATGAGTTCCTTGCCGAGATTGTCAGCACGGTGAAGGGCTGGAAGGTCGGCACCACGTCTGATCAAGAAGAAGGCGTCATGCTGGGCCCCTTGCAAAACGAGATGCAGTACGGCATCGTGCACTCATTCTTCAGTGAGGCTGTCGACAATGGGTTCAAGTTTGCGCTTGGAGGACCTATCCCCAAAGCTGAGGATGTCAAGAATTTCATTGTGCCTCCTGCCATCATCGACAACCCTCCGGACGAGTCCCTGGTTGTAAAAGGCGAAGCTTTTGGTCAGTCCCATCATTCTCCTCGCCTTTCCTTGTCCCGAACCCATTGGCTAATTTTTCAAAGGCCCCATTCTCCCGATTTTGAAGTGGTCTACCGAAGACGAGGTGCTCAAGCGCGTGAACAACACGCAAACGGGCTTGGGCGGCACTGTCTGGTCGTCTGACCTCGTGCGAGCACGAGCCATCGCCGAGAGGGTCGAATCAGGCACCATTTGGATCAACAGCTTTGAGAAGCCGCTGCCACATGCTCACCTCAACGGCTACAAGGAGAGCGGCGTCGGCGGCGAATGGGGAGCGGAGGGTCTGGGATCGTACCTCAAGCCACAGGTCATCCACTCGTACAAGGCTTCGCCGGTGTAGATTTGTGCCCATTCCAAATTCCAAAGTATCAGCGCATCAAGTACCGTCACCAAGCAACGCGATATTCATGTGTCAACCTCGGGCTCGGTAGTTACATTTGGCATAATCGCCCAACATCTCGGCTAAGAAGCCGAAAACATAAAACCACGTTGTGACGTTTGGGGATGCGGGGATTTCTCCACCCCCACCAAGTGGCTTTGACCCTTTAGTGCCCAGCTTATCCAGCTATCAGTTATAGGGGAGCAAGCTGGGAGCTTCGGCAACTGGCATGCGGAGACTTGCCGTTCTCCACCGTGCCAGGGGGTTGATCTGGCCTGGAGTCGTGATAAAGAAGAAATCTTCATGCCGTCTTGACTCTCAAGAACTTGATCGTTAGTATTCTCGGGCGGGGAAAACAACTCATGGTCATGGCATCATCGCAGTCAGCTTCAGTCGTGGTGGTGAGTGCTCTCATTCCCCTCTCCACTCAAGCTCACCATGACCAACCTGACTTGATTCCCGCAGAGAGATGGGGCGACCTTTGAGTTCCAGGTCCGAGACGTTCCCATTCCAGAGATCAAACCCAGCGAGATTCTCGTGAAGCTCTCCGCCACCGGCGTCTGCGGCACAGATCTCGGTCTCGCGGCCGGCTACCTGGGCCCCAGCTGCGACATTCTGGGCCACGAGGGTGTCGGCCGCGCCGTCGCCGTGGGCGCCGCCGTCGACCCAGCCATCGCCAAGGTCGGCGACCGCATCGGCGTCACCTGGGTCCGCGACGCCTGCGGCCGCTGCTTCTCGTGTCGCGAGCCCGGCGGCGAGACGCGGTGCCTCGAGCAGCTCAACTCGGGACGCAAGATTGACGGCACCTTCGCCGAGTACTGCGTCGTGCCAGGACGGTTCGCGCTCGTGTTGCCGGAGCATCCGGCGCTGCCTGACGAGCTCGTCGCGCCTGTGCTCTGCGGGGGCGTCACGGCGTACAAGGCGCTGAAGATTTGCGGTGCGACCCCTGGCCAGTGGGTCGTCATTTCTGGCGCTGCTGGCGGCGTCGGCGCCCTCGGCATTCAGTACGCCGTCGCCATGGGCTACCGCGTCGCTGCCATCGACGTGGGTACTGAGAGGAAAGAGTACTGCCTTGGGCTCGGGGCCGAGATCTATCTCGATGCGCTGTCGAAGGACGTGGTTCAACAGTTGAAGGATGCCACGGATGGCGCTGGAGCCAAGGCCGTTATCGTGTCGTCTGGGTCGGGCGCGGCGTACCAGGCGGGCCTCGCCATGCTGGCCATGTTTGGAACTCTTGTGTGCGTTGGCATCCCGCCGCCGGGTCAAGGGCTGGACTTGCATCCTCTGGTTGTCATCGACAACAGTATCACCATCATCGGCAGTGCTGTGGGGACTCGGACAGACGTCATCGAGGCTCTCGAATTCGTGAAGAGGGGGCGCGTCAAGCCGTTAGTGAACCTCGTCAAGCTTGGGGACCTTGACCAAGTCATTCGCAAACTGGCAACGGTATGTACCGCACCTGCATCGTTCTTTGTTCCATGGCTGACACTTGTAGACTACCGGAAAATTCGTCGTCAAGCTTTGATGTATTTGCTGCGGTTGTGGATGAGGGGAGGTCGGGATTGATATGGGCAACACTCCAATGAGTGATACTGTCACTCATTACTATTCCGAACTTCCACCCCCGTATTAATTAAGGATGAATGTTCAAGCTGTAGTAAATGTGCAATTTGTGGTTTACCCAGTAAATTCAGCACATCGTGAGTGGGCGTGCCTTCGAATCGTACCTCGTCCATTGCCACCTATGTCGTACGTGGGATTCTACGATACTGGTAAATCCTCACATCTCGTATCACCTTTGATATCGAAAATAGCAGCCGTGCACTTCTGAGAGGCTGGTGTCAGCCCTAGGAGGCTGACAGTAATAGTCTGATAGTTGTGGCAGCTTCGCATAGGTTGCCTTAGCGATATACCTCAGCCACGATGCCAGTTAGTATTTGTCACTGTTCCAACAAACTGGGACGAGCTTCTACATTTGCAGCAGCTAATCAGGTGCACTTCGGGGATTGATTCCCACTTTTGTATCACCCACAAACACACCTCTAGTCGAGCTTCACGTAACCTGCAGAGTTCGCTTACTACGTCTTGCTGCTTCCTGACACATGAGCCAATGCATTGAGTGATGAGCCAGACACAATTGCCTACGTTTCTTTCAGACATAGTTCGAGTATGTCATCATACAGCCTTCAGCTGAAGCTGTGGTTCTGGAAGTTCTAGTGAGAGTAAGATCAGAGTCCGCCATCAGCTGAGAGGCGGCTGCTCGTCTCTTGTAAGACACAATGGCGCCTAGCTTGTGGAATCAACATTACCACCTCGTGGGAGCCTTCATTCGGCATTGCTCGTGTTCTTTTGCAGCATGCTGTTGCTGCTTCTCGATGGAAGGCAGAGGCCCGGTTTCGGGAATGGATCGCGGGCTACACCACCGCTTCGACTCAATATCGCACGATGTACATAATCAAGTACTGGTGTTGTATGTTTTGGCCCACGGCACTGCCTCTCCTTGCTGGATGAGATGACGTAAACTCGGACGATATGTTTTTGTGCCAAGAAGGTGGCTTGAGTTCTGTTACTCTATCAGCGTCGCCATTGGCGAACTGAAAGCCTCGGACTGGAACAACCAGGCGGACGTCAAGGAGTGGCTATGCTTCTGACATGTGACGACCAACTGTTTTCGTTACTCATCTTCAGCTCATCATCCTGCTTCGAGTAGGTCAGTGATTAGAGCCGGAATTTTGCTTATTTCACGTGATCAGTGATTCCGGAACGTCAGTTGGACTTCAAGCATCATGAAAAGTCGCTAAAGAAGACCTCTCTATATAAGAGTGACCCATCACACGACCACCGTTCGTTCTCATGCCTTCTCTCGCCCAGAGACA